CTTTTACATGTGACTAGAATACCTAAAATTACAGCTAAATTTGCATTAATTATGCAATCACGAGATTTTTCGTAGTTTGCCCTGTTTACAGCAATATGGGTACCCATATGGGTACCCATGATGGGTTATGGGTTTTGAGCTCCGACCCATAACCCATCATGGGTCGGAGATTTGGACCCAAAACCTAACCCATCGATGGGTTGGGTATGGGTACCCATGGGTACCCGTGGGTCGTGCCGAAGTCTACTATAGGGTAGACTGCAACCACTTTTTCTAGGGTAGACTGTAAGTAATTTCCTTCGTACGATTGACCTCAGAATTTCAGAAGTTCTAAGTTTGTATAAGATCTATACCTATTTTTCTTCTTAGATACTACAGTCTACTATAGTAGTTATAAGAGTTAACCCTAAATTACCTAAAACCCTAGAATAATTTTGTTAGGGTACGACCGAGAAGATCTACTTTTTGATTTTAGATCTATATAAAATTTTTGTAATAGTTTAATTCTATATATGATCCCTAAAGATAGATTACTATTTTATAAGCTATTTTCTCTAGTATTTTTATATACTATATAAATTTAATAATAACTATAGAAACTAATATTCTCTCTTTTATCTAGAAACTCTTTACTCCTCTTTCTACTCTATCTATTTTTATCTATTATAAATATTAATCTACTATATAGATTAGACTTCGGCAATGGGTCCAAATGGGTCCAACTTTTGGACCCATACCCAACCCATGATGGGTTATGGGTTTTTTCAAAATGGTGCACCCATCCCGATTAGACTGCGGCACGGTTTTGGGTTTGGTCTTCAAATGCTAACCAAACCCAAATCGATTTGGTCTGCGGCTTTCATATCTTTACCAAACCCAAATCGATTCGGTTTGCGGTTCTAAGATCTTTACCAAAACCTAACCGCAAATTTTACGGTTAACCAAAACCGCAATGCGGTTACCTTGCGGTTAACCGCACTAGCATAAAAGATGAAGATCTTACCTATCTAAGCCACCCCACCGTTTTTATACACCTGATAACTAAGCTCAAATAATGCATTCTTACATATGGTTTCGTTATTACTACTGTAATCATTTATTTTTCTTACTTTCTGTTGGAAATAATTTGAAATAGAGCGGTATTCTAAAAGATAAAATATTAGTCTACAAAAAATTCAAGTTCGAAGTTGGATTTTGGATATTGTTGGCGAGATTTACTGTGTGTTGTGATTAGTTTTTGTAATCGAGTATAGTTATCGCAGAAATATATATTTGACTTAGAGAGATTATGCTGCATCTTTAGGTCAGTAGAACATGAAAAGCCTAACTTGACTAATTTTTAAGTATTCTGAATTTTGATCATATGTTGTAAAAGAGCTAGTTTTTTTTACCTATCCCTAATAATTTTTAATCTAGTATTACAATATAAAAGTGTTAAAAAAGTGTGTCCTAAAAGTGCAAAGTTGCAGTGATAAATGGTTATCTTGCGGTCGTGCTGCGGTTACCTTGTGGTTATCCTGTGGTTTTTGCGGTTTTCAGGGGTATTTTGCGGTTATCTTGCGGTTATCTTGCGGTTTTTGCGGTTTTCGGTAATCTTAGTGCGGTTATTGTGAGGGGTCTTTGCGGTTAACCGCAGGATAACCGCATTAGTAGCTCTAATATCCAATTAGAGTATATCTTTGACTCCACTCTATAATTGCTTTTGCAACTCATCAATGTCCTCGGTCGCGTCTGGTGTTTGTGGTCCTCTCGTCGAATCTTGTAAGTTGTTTGTCTCTCATTTACACATATTGGCTCTTAAGACCATAGCCAAAGATGGCCTATACTTCATCAGTCTTCACCGATCAGCATTCTGATACTGACTTTCTCCTACCAGATGACCTACCATCACTCAATACATATTGTCGTACTGCCACCGAGTCAATTACACCATCCATTTGCTCTCAACAACTGCAATTACCGCGAGCGCCCTTATTCCTTACACGTACTGGGCCACATCTTCAGCGATTTTGGATCCTTGTAGAAATGGACCCCGCAACAGGCCAAACTCGGAAGGATTTCACTGAGTGGTGGCTTCAAACAGAGTATGGCACAAGAAAAGACATCGAGACCACCATTCATTGGGACCACAAAAAGAGAGCTTCAGTCTGGGATCACTTTGAGCAAGTAGCTCATGAACGGACAGGAGAGCCTAAAGTTATGTGTAAGCGTTGCCTTACTACACTTACTCATCCAAATATTCGGCGTGGAGGAACATCACCAATGAACACACATCTGAAAGGGAATACCTGTCATCCAAAGCATGGGATTGGCAAGTTACTTGCGAAGCAGGTAAGTATATATACTCTCTTTAAGATACTGCTTTTAGCTAATAACTTATAATTTGTAGTCACAAACTTCAAGAGCAACTTTAACTACTTTCTCTGAAGAAGCGCTTGCCCAGAAAGTCCTTTCTCTTATCCTCGTCGCACGGCTCCCATTCCGTATCCTTGATCGTCCAGAATTCCAGGAATTAGCTGATCTAATTGCTGTTGCTCCTTCACGGGTCAAACTACCCTCGCCCCGGACGATTAGCCGACAACTACACTCGAATATCCAACAAGGACAACAGAGTATAATAGATATGCTCCCAGAGGATAGTAGACTATCTCTATCACTTGATTGCTGGACATCACCTTTCCAGCAGGGCTTTATGGCTATTACTGGTTATTTTCTGGATAACGATTGGGAGTATCGAGAGGCTCTACTTGGCTTTGAACCCTTACAAGGCTCACATACTGGGAGTAACCTAAGCTCAGTAGTTATTGGTATTCTCGAAAAGTATAAAATTGCCGATCGGGTTCTGTCAGTAACAACTGATAATGCTACCAATAACAATACAATGATGCTCAGTATTCAGGATGAGCTCAAAAGTCAGGGTGTTGGAAGTGACGGGCTTGGTAATGGTATATTTCGTGTTCCATGCCTGGCCCATGTGATCCAACTGAGTCTGAATCAACTTCTCGGAAAAATAAAAGCAATGCCATCCAATAATGAGGCAGAGGATGGATGGTCAGATGACCGTGAGCGCCAGGCGCGTTCTCAGCAATCAAAGAGAGAGATTATCCAGACATTGAACAAGGTATGTGATGATTCAGCAAAAAGAGAGAGAGAGGATAACAGCTAATAATAGTTATCTGTAGATCCGAAATCTTGCTATCTTTATTAATGCAAGTCCTCAGCGCCGAGCTGCATTTCTTGTAATCCAGTCCCAGGAGCCTCGACTGCTTCCTCTTCAAGATGTACGGACTCGATGGAATTCTACATTTCTGATGCTCGGCCGAGCCAAGCGACTACAGAAGAGCTTTCAAGAATACTGTACAGCACACGGCTATCTCCATTTTCAGCTTGACAAAGAAGAATGGCGTCAGATCGACTACTTACTGTGTATCACTGAGCCATTCTTCAAGTTCACAACTGCTCTCTCAAAAACAAAAGACACCACAATCCATCTTATCTTTGGTGTTTACAATAAGCTTTTCAATCACCTGGAGAACTCCGAGAACCAGCTTCGCCGAAAGAGACTCCCATGGAAGAAATCAATGCTGAGGGCATTGCAGGCGGCAAGGGAAAAGCTTTCTGAGTATTATCAAGCAACTGATAAGGAGTTTTATGGGGATCTTTATGGTATTGCTACCATTCTTGCCCCATCAAAGAAACTTCGATTCTTTACCTCAAAAGATTGGCAAGGGGATATTGATTTTGGTGCAAGATATCGTGGGCGTCTTGAAAAAGAGTTCTGGCGATACAAACGGCGATTTTCAGATCAGGCTGAAGAATCATCCTCTAATGTCCAGCAGAACTCCAGTGATATTAATGAGATTGAGATGCTGTGTGACTCACAGACTTCATTTTATGCAGCAGAAGTACCAGCAGAGGAGGATGATGATGAACTGGCTCGATATCTTGCAAAAGGTAAGTCTAATTGCCTGTCTGCCTATCTCAGATACTAATTTTATCTAGGCCTTATTTCACAACAGCCCCGTTTATTCTGGAAGGAGCATCAAAAAGAGTTCCCAGTGCTGGCTGCTCTAGCCCGGGATATTCTTTCAATTCCTGCGAGTGGCGCAGGTGTTGAGCGTCTTTTTAACTGTGCTCGAGATATTTGTCACTACAGACGGGGCCGCCTTAACGCTGATACTATCAAGGAGTTGATGCTGCAATCGTGTGCTGTAAAATTCGAGGTTGAACAGAGAGAGATTGACTTTACAAAAGAGCTTGTACTAGCGGGTGAGGCAGCGATGATTGAACAAGACAGAGGATCAATAGCCCCTCTTCCAGCATTGGATCCAATTAGCGATATTGAAGAGAAGGAAGGAGAGAAGGAGGAGGAGGAGGAAGAGGAGGAAGATAGACAGGAGCCATCAGGAGAGACACAAAAACGAGCGCGTTCTGGAAGTACTAGCTCGCAGGAGGATCAAATGGAACACGAAGGCACACAGCGAGCGACGCGGATTCGCAAGAAGCCTAAAATGCCAGAGGGGTTCCAACTGGCGCCTTTGTAGCTTAAATACTGTCAGATTATATTTCTTGATTTGTTCTTCTATCCAGTTTCTTTGTTCTGTAGTCTCTGTATTCCGTATATCCTGGAGATGACTCTTCGCCTGAAAATTAGTCAGAGCTCTCATACATGACCAAAACAACAAAATTACCAAAAAAACTGCATAAAAATCTATCTGCCCAGCAGGTCACGAGGCTTAGCATGTTTGTATTGTTTACAAGACCGCGGTTAACCGCAAAACCGCAGCGGTTTTCATTTGAAGACCAAGACCGAACCGCAAAATTTTGCGGTCTTGGGATGAAGACCAAAACCGAACCGCAAAAATTTGCGGTTTTGATATGAAGACCAAAACCGCTGCGGTTTTGGTTAGGTTTTAGGTTAACCGCGGTCTTTGCGGTTAGTGCCGCAGTCTATAACTACTCGTTATAGGAATGTTATTGTTAGATTCTTCAAAGTCATTATGATCGGAACATCCACTGTTGAGTATATCTTCATTCGTATTTGCATCCTATTCCTTCACAATGTTGTACCAGTCAGTGTCTCATACAGCATTCTGTTACTTATGAACCCATTTTTTCACATGTCTTTTTGTCTCGAACACACACCCTGCGCTATCCATATCTGGCTCATTACAGAGGCAGTCTTTTTTCGCTACTTTTATCATGCCACTGAATTACGTAATCCAACAGACTCCTGTCCTCAACACATCTATACCCGCAAAATACAGAGAGAGATTATTCAGAGCTTGCAACGCAAATGTGCCAAACCTGGAGAAATATCTAAGTCGGTGGCTTATGGTCTCCGAAGCGGATTGCATCAAGCGCGATAACGTGAAAGATTTTATCAGATGGGCATTCTTCGGACCAGCATGTGTGCGGGGGCAGGACCGACAGAATGAGGAGGAAATCGAGGCCTATACAGCGGAAACTGAGAAGCTAATTGGTCGAAAACTGTCACCGGGATGGGTGAATGTGAAAGGCCTTGGACAGCTTCTAAATGAAGCAGACAGTTCACACCGTAGTCTTCTATGGTATACTGTCAGTTATATATCTTCTATCTGTCTACGTGCGATAGAACAGTATCAGGCTGACATCTCAGTTCACCCAGTGCGTCTTTCTGGTTGACACAATAATGCACTGCAAGATGTTATACAACGGATTCCACTTCCATCGCAGCATACTCTCACGGTTCTTTACAATCTTCCCGTTTCGCCCTCTCACTATACTCACAGCCTACCGGTCACCGGTGCGGCACCTCACATACTGGCATCGACAACATACCTCGAAGAAACGGCTACCCGTACTGTTCATACATGGCATTGGAATTGGCCTTTACCCTTACACGAACTTCCTCGGAGACCTCAACAGAAAGTTAGAGACAGGAGCTAGCAACGAGGGTGAAGTTGGTATCATCGCACTTGAGATCATGCCTGTAAGCTTTCGGATAACTCATCCGGCTCTGGAAAAAGATGTGATGCTATGTGAGATAATGGAGATCATGCGGTATCATGGGTGGAGCAGATTCGTGCTTGTGTCCCACTCTTATGGCTCCATTATCGCTGCACACCTTCTGAAGTCCGATCGATTTACACAGTTCATCGGACCTACGGTCTTCATTGATCCTATCTCATTCCTCCTCCATCTGCCTGACGTGGCATACAACTTCATAGCCCGCCGGCCAGTGCGGGCCAATGAATACCAGCTTTGGTATTTCGCAAGTAAAGACGTGGGAGTTGCGCATACTTTGGCGAGGAGATTTTGTTGGATTGACAATATAATCTGGAAGGAGGATCTGGGAATCAAGAGCGAAAGGAACCAAGAGCAGGGCAGAAATGTTACTGTTGTTTTAAGTGGCAAGGATTTGATCGTGGATGCCGAAACCGTGGCGCTGTATTTGATGGGTTCATCGTCTGAAGCCCGGACATCAGAAAAAGAAGTAACACAGGCATGGAAAAACAGGTCCTGGATTGGGCACGGGCTTGAGCTGCTGTGGTATGAGCATTTGGATCATGCTCAGGTTTTTGATTCCGAGGATACTAGGCGACCAATCATCAGGACGATCTCTGTATATTCAGAGAGGGGCTGAAACTATTTCTTTTTGATATGACATGACGTTGCCACCAGCAGTAGGGAGAGGCACGGCCTTGGTGATTGATATCCCTCACAAAGCTTCTAGTACACTAAATTGACATCTAACTACCACCAATACGTATCTGCTTAATCTGAACGACAACCACGCCGTAGGTGCTTGTCTAACCTTCGATGGCTCACTTCGATTCTAGGGCACACAATCTGACAAAAAGAGCCTCAGCGTGTGGATATTCACCAATGGCTCGTGGGTAGTTGCGCCAGCAGGTAAAGTTGGCTACCGATGCTTAAAGATAAGGGTAAAGCGGGATTCGCAGCGTTCTAAAGCCTTATCGACCATGCGCTGTTCAAACGTCTCATACGTTAGATAGCCAAGAAATGAGAAATAGTTCGTCCCAATCGGTATAAGCCGACATTTGCTCCTGACAAATGAGAAGACCTGTACCTGTTACGTCACCTGGTGTGTGAACTTGGAAGTGTTGTGTGCTAGGGAGACTCTCCCTCCCCCACCACGCGAAAAACAGTCAACCTCCCCCTCTCCCTACCACGCAGGTTCTCTAATGGGTCCGATGGCGCAAGGATACTTAGTAGATTACGCGATTCCAAGAACTTCACCCTCGCAAGATGGTTTTCGAAAAAGGGCAAGTTCGAATGTGGTCGCATCCACCCTCTGCTCAATCCTGCGGCGTACTCACTGCAGTTCCTCCGCCATCGATCAAATCTCCGCTCCCGACATTCGGAGTAACCTACACCCGAAAGACGATAAATTGGCTTTGCACTACTATAATGTTGGACCCTTGGCCCGTGCACAGAAACAGAAAGAACTTGAAAATGGCGCGTTGACGGAGTGCCCTGGACCTCACAGGCGCCAGCTGCAGATGACACTTCACTTGAGGACGAGCCATCCAGATATGTGGACTATCTCTCTCATGACTGGAGAGAGGATGATATCTGGTCATCCTGGCGCTATGTGATCAGATGGAGGAGCAAGTATGGTAACGGAGTTAGACTGGAGAACGCATCTTGGAGAACATAGGCCAAAACAAGAGGCAACCTCGGGACTATATCACCGGAGAGCCTACACTGGTGCGTTTTCCTTATTCTCTGAACAACCTTTTGATCTTTTCCTCATTTTCCATTCGTTGATTATCAGTATAGGGCTAAGGATAGAGATACCACCTGGCTCTACGGACCGTTGAAGATCCCTGACAATCGTGCGACCGCTATTTCCTCTACCACTTCGGCTCGCCTACGGATCCCAAACTTCTCTATACGCCAGAGGTCCATTCTTAAAAGAAAGTCTGTTGTGAAATTAATGTTTCAACGGTCAGAGTCCCAGCAGGATTTACCTCCAGAGGCTGAGCATTACTTCGGTCAACCCCTCTCTCGAATGTGCAACACAGGCCTAGTACAACTTCATCATCGGACAAGAGAACTGACATACCCGGAAATAGGTAGTCTCGCTGCACCTTTATCTCGCGGAAAGGTAGCAACAAAAGAAAGACGCCATGTTCACTTCAATGATGAAGTTGTGCAATGTATTGCGATAGATGCGAAACATGCCGATGTGGGCCTGTGGGCTGACATCTCTGATGTGATTTGTCATTGCGATAATCTTCATATCATATGGCACTGTTTCCAAAGTTGCTGGACAGAAACTGCTGGCCCATAGAATATTGCTGCGATTAGATACATCAAAGTGATCGACCCCATATCAACAGACCAACAAGGCCGACCCCGTATCGCCGCCTACGCAAAATGGGATACCTCCATGCCCGAAGAGCGCGGTGATCGCTATCCGCCTTGGCACGAGGAAATGTCCGCGTCTCTGTGCGATGAATTTTTCCGGAAAGAGGAGGAGAATAGAATTCGTGTTATGGGTGAGAAGAAGCATTTTTGTAAGTCCCCCCCACCTACTCACTACCTGTGGCTTTGGGGAATGACATTCTCATTGTCACTCACTTACGGTAACGATTTGTCAGACCTGGATACTGTTGTAACTCATCCGGATTATCAGCGTCGTGGTGCTGGGTCTATGCTCGTTGGATGGGGTTGTGATCTTGCGGATTTACAGGGCGTTCTAGCTTATGTTGATGCTAGTAAAGAGGGTGCGCCGCTTTATGCTAAGTTTGGGTTTGTGGATTATAGCATGCCCGGTGAAGAGATTGCTTCGATGGCGCGTATGGTGGGCAAACAGCCATATGCCTGAAGTTAAGAGATTTATTTTGTGGAAATATTGTTGTATACCTCGTGAGCAATTTCAACTATTCTTTGAGGTAGAGACCTTCTTTCGGGGGTTGAACCTCATACCAATCCAATTCCAATTTATCTTCGGGATCTGGATCAGGCATCTGGTAATATCCATCATATCGCCACCAACTTCGATACTCCCAAACATCCTCAACGGGTTGCACGCCTTCAGTTCTCATTTGATCGCGAATTACCTCAACGCTCTTCCACACCCTCAAAACATTTTCCCCAGCAACTTTAGCCAACTGTTCTTCCGTCGCGCCACGATCGAGGATATATTGGAGCAATCGCGGGTAGCATTTCACATCTTCCAGTCCCGGTATTACAGTTGCGATTCCGTCAAAATCAGGTCGAAGGCGAACATGATCCCAGCCAATCCGGCCCGCGATAGAGAAATTCTCAGCAGATCTCAGACACGGAACGCAAACTGACCAGAATTGGCCTCCAACAGCACCTGCCCGTGACTTTGGTTAGCCAAATATAACTTGAAGTTATCATATAAGATTTTCGTGTCTGAGTAATACCTTCACGCAGACGCGGAATATCCCTCCCGCCTCTTTCAAATCCATTTTCAAGATCGAAGTAGGGATTGTTGTATATTTTCACATGGAAACATGCTCTGGGTTGTTGGGGCAGGTCATTGTGGCCATCGATAGGAGGTGTGTTGAGGAGTACTCTTTTGATTCTTTCGTTAATTTCGAGCGATTGGTAGGGGTGTGATGCCATTTCACTTTCTGTATACCCGAAGACAAGGAATTTGTATGGTCTTTTGAAAATTGTGAAGATGGGAGACTATACACGACCTCCTAAGTCAGGAAAAACAGAGCCAAAAACAGATCTGAGGTCCTGCGTCTGATTTTCCATGGTACCACTCTCGCCTGATACGAGATAATTCAACATTTCACTGTCCATGAAAGTCGCCGGTGGTAGGGCTAAATCGGAATCTGTTTGTTCTGGCCAGACGTTTACCAAGGGAAGCTGTATACTATTCGTGAGCCAAGTTATTAGTAGATGGAAGAAATTTAACTGACGTCCGAGTTCATGTTATTGAAATCTATGTCAGGTGCATAATCCCATATAGGCTGAATCCCCTGAAGCATTTGTGAATTTGGAACCGTAGTTGCAGGCATTTCACTCGAAAGGTTGAGGACGTATTCTCGGGCGATCCCAGTAAAACGAGATATGACATTGCCTGGGAGCCCGCCTTGAGAGGCGTAGTCAATCTGGCCAAAGAACTCCGCAGCCTTATCAAGAAGGTTTATATTGTGAGAGGTCTCCTTGTGGCCGGGATTATGAATCACAAAATCAAAAATAATAAATACTGCAGATAACGGCATGATCCCTAGAATGCTGACCTAGGTATTAGGATTTCATGTTCCGGTTGTCATTGGGTGAAATTCTCAAGTTAGCGAGGATACTCACAAAACTGGCATTTGAGGACCGATATCAACCCAGCGCAGTAGATCAATGACACTACGCGCTGCGTTTATCAATTCACCTTTGCCACCCCCGCATCGGGGATTGCCATCGGAAGCAATGAGAAGAGACACGCGCTCCACGCCGAACACGATGTGGTAATATAGGTAGTGTGTCTCTATCGCGATCATTCTTCTTGTTGGCGTCTCCAGCTCGCTCGCTCGAAACGGCTCTTTTGGGCGAAATGCCATCGGTACAGATAATCGCCATTCTTCCAATCGGCGTCTTACATCCTGCACGGAAGCCAGGCGGTCGATTTCTGACCTCGAAGAAAAGCCTGTCGTAAAGAGGGTGGTGTAGGTAATCGATGTCAATCTTGCAAGCTGAATGGCCGACAAAAACCAATCATAATCCCGTACCATCAATCCTTCTGGCACAGTGGGAATTCCAGATGTAATATCATTATCTGCAAAAATCTATTTGAGGAATTCTGTTAGAAATTTCGGAAGAAAAACATTTCTTGTCGGAAATATGGATCATATGTAGATTGCGACTCACAGAGCTGTTGTCATCGGAGAAGGAGGCGATCTTTTCCAGGTGATATATTGTCCAAAATGCTCTCAAGTGAGACTCTTTTGAATTCGAAAATCTGTGGTATCTGAGTTTGTGTACCATTCTAGCGGCCTCGAATATCAGATTTTGATCTAGATATAGGCAGCAAGGATTCATGGCAAAGATAGACTGTCAGCTGAACATTAGCTTTGTCGAAATGGGTAACCGAGCTCTGGGGCTCTCACCATCGCTATCAAGGCCTAGAAAGTCATTAGCTCAGTGTCTGAAAGCGAAAATTGGACCTTTAATTACCTGGGTCTTCTCTAATGAATACGGAGGGATCAGGAGGTCCGGAAGGAAACCAAGACTTGACTGGAACAAGCTCCACGTTATCCCCGATCCCGGTTTAAAACTTCCACCACCACAATACTGACTGCCAATGGCAAGGACGGCGTAGTATAGTGCTGAGCATGCTTTGGCACAGTTTGATATCCCGCTGCGGTGGCATTCAATAGTCTGCGAAGTGAAATCTTGTCTATCAAGGAAAGGGTAAAGCTGGTGGGTATTGCGAAAGTAAGCTGTAAATATCAGTGATGAGCCCCGTGTGGTTTACTTTGAATTAGACCTGCCATCAATGTACTGGTCGGCTTGGTCCAGATCTGGGCTCGGCCTATGCAGAGGTGGCTGGAAGCTTAATTCGAGCGAAGACTCCGTATGAGAGCAGACTCGTGATACAAGAACATCTTCTAAGTCTTGAACAAGCTCTGTCAGTATACGGGAGCCTAGACGGTCCGCCAGTAGACTGATGCGTTGAGCGGAGAAGAATGAGATACTAGAGCTGTTTGCTTTATCTTTGTCAGGTTAGGTGGTCTAATGGTCGGATCGTTATCAGAGTAGTACTTCGCTCATTGCTGGCCTTTATAGATTGATGTTTAGTGATTTATTCACGGGGAGTTAAGTTGCTGGCATACTTTAATTACGGTAGAGTCCAAGTCGGGTAGGTACAATTGATAGATTTTTTGCGGCCCCGCTCGTAAAATATGATCGATAGGGAGATCACCGTTTGGAAGCGGTGATTGAGCCAGAGGACGCGAAGTTTGTTCTAAGATGGAGATCAGTTAAATACCTAGGCGTGTAGCGTACGTTGTCCAAGGAATGCTATGTACGCGTAGTAGATTTGCGAATAAATCTCCGCTTCATGGGACTGAATTGACAAGACTCTCTGCGATTCTATGCGAGCTCATACTATCAGTGGCTTTGACATATCAATAAAAGGCCGCGAGCACATACAACACAATGAACACATGAGGACGATTCCACTGCATTCAAGTTTCTTTGGGTTTCGGCAACTATCGAGAATTAGGGGATTGCTTTAGCCCCCGTACTGCCGTCACAACTTCAAGTTAAAGAGGTGCCTGCACGCTCAGGTGAGATATATACTTATGCATCTAACTTTTCGGGACCGGCACTGATCACAGGATTGGTTGAGTCGTATTACGGACCTGGGTCCTGGATTCCGGTGGCCACAATCCATTTGAACTGTGGTAATGGGGGCACCGTTGTGGTACGTTTGAAAGAGTGCCCAGGCGGTCTAATTGTTAACTTGCGAGGAACCATTGGGGGCCACGGGGGAACCTTCATCCGTCTTATTCAGCGAGCTCCGAAATAACATGCTACTAACAATACTGACAGCACCGCTTCCGCGACTTTGTCCCTTGTGAATAGGTTGACTCCAAGGCTATGGTCATTGGGAAGAAATTTTCGACACAGGGCGTTCGAAACCTTCTTGTCACTCTAAATTCTATGATAATCATGTTCCTCATCAAGCTGTTGATCATAAGTTGTTGTTGTGATATGAGGTTGGTGCAGATCAGGAACCAAGCCGAACCATCGGAATTAATCCCGAAGTATGTATACGAAGAACCAAGTTGATTGGAAATCAACTTGATCTTCTCGCTGTATATATAGCCTCATGTTTCCCACTAGAATGATAAAACAATTAATACCTCTGAACTACAACAGGTTATGAGCCCGGGAGCAACTCTCGGGTGCCGTCTCTACTCATCTGAGAATCATCTTAATCTTTCGTGATTATATCTACCCCGCTTTACATCAACCATCATGTCAGCTCTGGTTCACGACTCGCCCGACCGAGCCGTTACAGCCATTGAGCCTTTGACAGGAAGCGACAACTTCGCAACATGGAAACGTCTCATGACCTCCTACCTCAAGGCAAGGCAGGTCTGGGATGTCGTGTCGGGCGACCTTGAGCGTCCTGACTGTTCTTTCAAGTACGCCAAGCCCATTACGGCGGACATCCACCCCCTGGTGGAATCGCACCTCGTGGGGGCGGTGAGGCAACGCGCCATCGAAGCGCGCCTCGAAGTGGAGGTCCAGGCATTCGAGCGTCACCGTGAATGGTCGCGCCGTGAGGCCGAAGCCTACCACACCATCTTCCGCTATCTGTCCCCTCATATCAGTATCCATGTCGCGGGGCTGGAGACATCACGCGACCTCTGGAATGAGCTCGAAGAGCGGTACCGACGGATGGAACTCGCGACGTTCTGCGAGCTGTTTGCTCAGCTTCGTGAAACCACCGGCGAGCGCTGCGGTAGTGCCCGCGAATTTGTCGATCGTGTACGGATGCTAGTGCACCGATTGAATGCGATCGCCCCTGGATCGATCGGCGACAAAGCCCATATTGCGATTCTGCTCACGCAGATCGGACCAGAATACATCCTGATCGTGGATGCGATCCAAAATGATAAGGATCCCGTCAACCCAGCGACTATTGGCAACCGTCTAGCGAATGCTGAGCAGACGGTGCAGCGAAAGGACGCAGCGACGTTCCCGCAGCGAGTCCCCAGCGGAACAAGCAACCCTTCCATCAATACGGTGCAGAAGAACACCAAGAAATGCAACTACTGCAAGAAGCGCGGCCATGTAGCTGCGGAGTGCTGGAAGAAGCAGCGCGAACAACAGCCGCCCAGGGACCATGCCCTGAAGGCGGAACGGAGTGTTTCCGGCTCACCAAGGAGCAATCTACAAAACATACCATCAAGCCAGATGGAAGATCGGCAGGGCCCGCCGACTTCCAAGAGACCGCGGATCAATATCGTGAGGGCGAGGGTGACGACCCTTTATACCCACGCACCGTCACCCCGGTGGATCCTGGACTCGGCCGCCACCAGCCACATCTGCTGGGACCGCAGCTGCTTCAGCAGTCTTCGGTCTCATCGTGAGATGTTGGACACGGCGGGCGATCCAGTGGAAGCTGAAGGGATTGGTACGGTGAAGCTCACGCTCCGGGGGAAGTTCAACCAACCCCTGGTGTTAAAGAATGTATACTTCGCGCCACGCGTTGGGATGAACCTGATCAGCGTGCCGAAGCTGTTGCGAGACCGCTATTCGGTGGTGGCGCACCCGCAGAACGTCTTTGTGCAACGCCGAGGACGGACGGTGGGGACCGCCTACCATACAGAGGAGGATCTACTGATCCTGCGGTGCCATGTGAGCAAGAGATCCCGAGAGCGAGTCCAACTGGCGAGGGCGCCGGCGACCCATGACCATGCAGATTCCCTGGAACCACAGGCGGTGGCCATGGACGTCGACGACCCTCAGGAGTCAAGTGACGTAGAATGTACAGCGTCAACCTCTGAACTCGGTGGTGAAGCTCGGATACTCGAAGAAGATGCGAGCAAAGGAGTGGACCAGGCCTCCGAAGCGCTGTGGCACGCTCGGATGGGACATCTGAATCGGGGCGACTTGCGGGTGGTCCTCCGGCAGACCGGCACTCCGTATCGACCGCTGACGCAGGCGCAGCTGCAGGCAACGCCGCAGTGCCCGGCGTGCATGTCGGGTAAGCAGCATCAGAAGAGGAACTCCCGTGCACGACGGCCACGTCTGCATTCAACGAGAATTTTCGAATTGATTCATTCGGACATCATGGAGATGCCGATGGCCAAAGATGGCTCCAGGTACGTGATCACCTTTACTGACGATTATTCTCGTGGCTCGTGGGCCTATGCCATGAGGTGGAAGCATGAAGCGCTCCAGAAGTTCCAACAGTTTGAGGCCTGGATGCACCGACAGTTCGGCGCCCAGATCAAAAAGTTCCTCACCGACAACGGGAGAGAATATTTGCCCATTGGAACACATCTCGAATCCCAGGGAGTCGAGTTTGACACCTCGCCGCCATACTGCAAAGGGCAGAATGGACTTGCGGAACGCACCAATCGCACTATCCGGGAGCGAATCAACACGCTCCTGTCCGATGCCAACCTTCCTCCTTCCTGGTGGATCGAGCTGGTAGACACTGTGGTCTATCTGAAGCTGCGCGCGCCAGCTTCAATCCTTCAGAAAAAGACCCCGTACGAAATTATTTATGGGAAGCCGCCATCGCTGTTACATCTACGACGGATTGGCTCCCGTGCATGGGTCTTAATTCCAAAAGAGCATCGAGCAAAACTCGGACCGAGATCATCCGAGTGCCGACTACTAGGTTATTGTGAACCGAATCAGTATAAGCTCTATGAAATCCATTCTAGAAAGACGGTCTTCTCTCGTGATGTCGAGTTCGACGAGAGGACCCCGGTGGCGCCACTCGTCGAGGGGGAAACAGGCAACGACCTCCCGGACAACGCTCCTCCATCGCCCGTCTTTCCGATAGTGCCGATAAGTTCAGCCAGCGGGCTGCCCACACCACCTGCTTCGCCATTGCCTTCGTCGGCTGAGCGAGAGAAAACGCCATCTGAGCGTGAAGAGGAGACACCTCCAGCAGTCAATCCAAGCCAACAGGGAACTGACCTGACACAGGATCTTGGATATTCGTTGTATGGCCGCAGAAGAAGGCCTTCGCGAAGGTTGCTGGAATCACTCGGCAAGGTGTATACGGCAGGCGTATTGAATACTGCATCTGTGAGCAAAGTCGACCCGTCGACTTTCCACGAGGCCGTGTCGGGCTCGAATCAACTGGAATGGTGGGCAGCCATCCAGAAAGAATATTCGTCTCTTCTGGAACACGGAACATGGGAAAAGGTTCTGCGAACAGACGTACCAGCCGGAGATCATGTGATAGGCTGTAAATGGGTCTTCAAGACTAAAGCCAACGGAACCCGCAAAGCTCGATTGGTCATCAAGGGCTACCGACAGAAACACGGTATCGATTATCATGAAACATTTGCAGCTGTGTCACGAATGGACTCGGTGCGCTGCATTGTCGCCAGCGCAGTGCTGCGCGGATGGAAACTCCACCAATTCGATGCTGTCACTGCATTCCTGCATGGTGACGTTGACTCCTCCATTTACATGGATTTGCCCGAAGGCTTCGAAGAGCCAGGATATGTTTGTCGGCTTCGCCGCTCCCTGTATGGCCTCAAGCAGGCCCCGCGGATTTGGTATCAATGCGTCCACCGCGTCCTGGCCACCCACGGCTTCACCATGGCCCAATCGGACAACTGTGTATTCTACAAATCCAATTGCGTGGTCTGTGTTTACGTCGATGACTTTCTCATTGCTGCGGCAAACTCGCATGAGATAGAACAAGTGCAACGAGCATTGCAAGCAGAATTCCAATTGAATGACCTGGGGACGCCACGCTCGTTCCTCGGGATCCAGTTCGACTATCACGTCAATGGGTCCGTATCCATTCACCAACACCAGTACATCCAGAAGGTACTCTCAGACTTTGGCATGGAAACTTGTCAGCCGAAGTCTACGCCGATGAATCCCAAGCAAATCCTGAATCATCGGCCAGGGGAGGAACTTCCAGACGAGGAAGCAAAAGCTCGCTATACGACCGCCATCGGCTCGTTAATGTATCTGATGGTTGGCACGCGACCGGATGTTGCGTTTGCGCTGGGCACGTTGAGTCGCTTCACGTCTCAGCCGCAAACACACCACCAAGTTGCGCTGCAGCGATTGCTTCGCTACATCCAAGCCACACAGTCTCATCGTATCACTTACCGCAGTGGACAGCTAATCGGGTATACGGACGCTGACTTTGGGGGCTCCGTCGTCACTGACGGAGCATACTCCACATCTGGCTATGTGTTCCAACTTGCAGGCGCACCGGTTTCCTGGTCGTCCAAGAGACAGGGGAAGTAGCCACGTCTACAACACATGCCGAATACATTGGACAGTACAACGCTATTCTGCATCTGCAGTGGCTCCGCACCTTTCTGGCCGAAACGCAACTGTATCGGTCTCTGGTCACTAACATCATGGCTGACAACCAATCCGCCATTGCTCTCTCTCGCAATCCCGAGTTCCATAAACGGACGAAGCACTTCAATGTGAAATTTCACTATCAGCGAGCCGTGCTGGATGCAGGCGGGATTGAGCTTCAATATATTCCAACTGGGGAACAGGCAGCGGACGGCCTCACCAAGCCATTGGGACCAACGTCCTTTGCCAAGTTTTGTAGTCTCTTAGGCGTCAATGCTCCAGAGATCTCGAAACAAACCGCGTGACGCCGCAGGCGCTCTTTCCACTTTATTTTCCCCAGCGTGGGTTTTGAGTGGTTTTACTGAGGCCTGACTGCTCTACGCGATTCCAGTATCGCCCTGCCAGCAAAGCGATCCTGAGGGGGAATGTTGTGATATGAGGTTGGTGCAGATCAGGAACCAAGCCGAACCATCGGAATTAATCCCGAAGTATGTATACGAAGAACCAAGTTGATTGGAAATCAACTTGATCTTCTCGCTGTATATATAGCCTCATGTTTCCCACTAGAATGATAAAACAATTAATACCTCTGAACTACAACAGTTGTGATTGGTGGAGCAAATATCGGAGTAAAAACCCACCGCATAGTGTATGACGTTTCGTCTCATGCGTATTGATAGACTCAAGTGAATAATATGATACCGCTCAGCCATTGTGCACCCTAAATACCAGCCTGTAAAACGTTCGCGCATCAGCCGTAAGAACATCAGAAGAAGATGGGAAATAGGCATCACCATGGGCATAAGGCAAGCCCCTCGGAAGGGATCCACGGGAATAAATTTCCCATTCGAACCAGTCTCAGCTCACAGTCCCGGCCAATGCTATTGAGGTGGAGACGCCGATCTACCCATCAGGCAGAATCGGCTGTCAGGTACGGGTACTCCGTACAGTATGTAGTTAAGTTGACTACGTAAGTTACCTTAGCCAATAGTTGTTCGTATCGTACGAAATAGAAGTTTCAGACTCCTTCCAAGTTGCTGTTATTTCTCCGATTTGAATCACTTGATTCGTATTACCTGGTCATTGATCCCTGTCTGCCGCAACTACCAGCGGAGTCTCCCAAGCAACAACCCCTGATCCACCTCAGTCCAGTACGAGTACATTCACCAACGTCGGATATACTGTAGCTCACTCCCCTTTCAAGCCCAATAGGAAATTTTACTTGTATACCCACGTAGTAACAAGGGAAAATTGAAGCTCTGGAAGACCGGCATGTGGAATTGTACTCAAACGATCGAGAATGATCAGCGCGGCATGATCGGGCCAATTTTGCAACATGTTTCTCTCCTGACAACAAGAACGTGATAGTGGGTCGGATGTTTGTTGGAACAGACATTTACGATGTCTCTACTGGCACTCTTCAGCACAGACTGAATATTCGGGACAGCATCGCCCTCGTGGTAATCTTTCCCGATCATCAGCTCTGTGTTCTGAATGTGCGGCTTTGGACCATTAAGACTGGAGCTCGCCTGCAAGTCGTCAAACGCGATGTGAGTGATTGAACGCTATCATTTTCCGCGGATGGGAATTACCTCAAGGTGGTCACTGGCTTTTACAAGTTGGCCACAGAGATGCTGGATGCCCCCCCTTGACTTTGAACCGCAACCCAGACTATATGTAGATGGGGAGGTGGAATGGCTGAGCAGAGGTGGTAAGAAGCTACTTATGATACCTGCTGACTACAAGGGCCGTCTGTTAAATCTGGGGGAGAAAACTCATGTGCAAACAAACTTCAGAGGCCAAGTGGTTCTCCTTGATTTTGAATAGAATAGAGGATTGTTCGAGGATCCCGATGAGCCAGTCGAGAGAAGACAGATTGAAATACATGATGGATTATCTTGGGTATCCATCTTCCGTTCCTTATCCTCTCTGTTTCCGAGTAGTTATGTCTGAGCACCAGTCTTGATAGGTGTGCTCAGTTCGAAAATGCCGAAGCCTTCTTGCTACCCCTTCCTTTGGGAACCTTAAAGACCCAATAAAGCCCAAGGCCGGCGAGTATATTAACAAGAATGTAAATCCAAATCAGCCCAAAATCTCGCCACCTCGTGCTGTAATAAATCTGAAATCGTTGAAGAAATTCGTTCGTCGTGGCCAATGGACAATATTGGCAAATATCCCGCGATGCAGGGTTCAGGACCCGACCGCCAGCTGCGTCGATATATGCGCCGAGGAATTCGTTGCAAGTCAGGTTTCCAATTGAAGCCATTCGGAGGATCTCGTGATCAGCACAACTCACTTCCGCGTTTGCGACTGCGTTGGACATGATACCCCCGACGAGATATGTGGCTGGCGACACACGGTACATGAATTTCCAGAAGGTCGGAAGGTCGGCCAGCGGTACGCCAATTCTGTTTTCAATTCTTAGTGTGCTGAAAGGAAACGGAAATTAAAAAGGCTGTACTCACCCACAAAACAGGATACACAGCATCCAAAAAAGGCTAGTGAGTACGCCAGCGGTTTCGGGAAGGTCAATCCAAAAGATGGCAAAGTGGGCAAATGTGCTGGTGAACCAAAGATAAACCCATAGGAAAAGGAAAACGGCAAACCCGCGGATGGCATGATCATCGGCGGTGGTATTTTGGACGAAGCCGACGGGATAGTACCAGCAAAAGTACATTATAACGGCCATGAGAGTATGCCAGAAGAGCTCGACAAAAACGTTTGCCAGTAGGTATGCTGGAAAGTAATTAATTTGATCCGACAATGATATTGCCATTATTATCAGTAACTTGAATGTGACTTACTTGTCCATCTATAAATTTTCGAAGGCCCTTCACGTGCCTCATAGAGGGCCCGCTGAGGTAGAAGGATAGGCATTATTTGCTCATTGATGTTGATGAATACAACGAGTAGCATGAAAATAGCCCATAGCTGATTCTGAAGGCCTTGAATCGAATTATCGGCGTTGAAGCTAAATCCCAGATAGAGAGACTGGAATAGCGGATAACATTAGCCTGTGCATTGTAGGAAGATGCAGTGAGAAAGGTTGCCGAACCGAGAGAAGAATCAATATAGTTTTTGACCAAATATAAGTTGGAGATCTCCACAAGTGCCTCCAGGTTCGCCAAAGTACTAGTCCAAACTGAGGCCAGAAAGAGGCCACAAATTCTTGGTACTGTGAATTTTTCTCATTAGTGACACCATCATCAATTGTGCGGTCTGTTGCATGCGGGGTTCGCAGATTATGAAGCTCTTCTTTGACAGCTTGATACTCGGGAGAGTCTAGCCAAATTCGGTGCCAATCCGGTCCATTGCTGCCATCCGTATGCGGCTCTATCACCTGCAACATCCACTCAGCGGGATTAGCGCCCGCTGGACATGGCATGGCATTGTTCTTCTCGAGATATTGAATTAGAGTCGAAGCACCGCAGCCAAGATCTTAAATATTATATCTTCAGTACTTTCAAATCAATAGAATTTCTTCGGGAGAGGATAATCACTAACCACCAAAATAAGCTGTTTTGCCCCCCGGTGCGATAAGTAGGAGTCGATCAAATTGGTCGAAAAGGATAGAAGACGGTTGATGGATAGTGCAGAGAACTGCTTGGCCACTGTTAGTCAACTTTTTAATAAGCTCTGAAATTGCCCATGATGTCTGCGAATCCAGTCCCGATGTCGGTTCGTCCAAGAAGACCAAAAGCTGGGGTCGAGCGGCCAGCTCCACGCCAATCGTTAAACGCTTCCGTTGCTCGACATTGAGTCCCTCCCCGGGAACACCGATGACAGCATCCGCGAACTCTCGCATCTCTAGTCTGTCGATCACATGTTCCACGTAGTCGATCTTTTCTGACTTGGGTACTTCCGCGGACTGTCGAAGGAGAGCACTAAAACACAGAGCTTCGCGGACTGTCATAGTGCTCAGGTGAAGGTCTTGCTGTTGAACATAGCCGACCTTGTGCTGAAAGGAAGGATCTGTGGGCTTTCCGTTGACCATTGCATGACCACTCACGACGCCAGTAGTAACACGGGTTGCCAGAACGTCTAGGAGAGTCGTCTTTCCTGCCCCAGACACACCCTAATGGTAGTTGTTAAATTTAAATATTCGTGATCATAGGGATTAGAACATACCATGAGGATTGTGGACATGCCTGGTTTTACCCAGCCGTCAACATGATCTAAGAGGCGGCGAGTCCCGTCTTTGACTTTGATATCGTAGCAAAGATCCTCCCAGTGAAACACATCCCTTCCAGAAACAACATTTTTCTGCGGGGGCAAAGATGGTACTTTATCTGCGACGATGGGACGTGTCTTTTCTTGGTTCTCCGAATCCACGGTTTGCATATTTCTTGGGCCGAGAAAGCCCCTGATACGGCTGAACACAAGAATTTCTCCCCGCGTCTTGGGGGGGTTTTGCCAACTCAGCCGCTAAGATGTAGGCAGGGAAAAGGAAAACCACAAACGCGAAGAGAATTCCAATATTTCTATCCGATGATCTTGTTAGCCGGCATATTTCTTGAGATTTTTTCGCATTTACTGACCTCCATTTATGGACATTGTGGTAGTCGAAAGACTTGCCGATATAGTCATCTCCATTGACAATAGTGGAGCCGACTACCGAACCAACAACAGAGCATACCTGCGATGCGGATGGCAGGGCTGTATACCCTGGGCCACTGGGTACCATGCTTGCGCATGGAAAATCTCGACCGTGAAATTCGTTGGCCATCAAGGACTCAAAGCCATATGAAAGAGGATTGATGTACGCCATCCACCGCGACCACCCCGGCATGTATGCCGGCGGGGTAGTAAATCCGGTATATATCATCAGTCCAAGGCTCAGAACTGCAGTAGGTATCATTGCTTGATCAGGGGTCCTGGTTATGGAAGCCAAGGTGCGAAAGAGAGCCGATAGAATCAGTGTGGTGAGAAGCGTAGCAAGGCAGAAGAAGAAGAAAGCACCTGCCTCTCGCTTTAAGCCGGCCATGAAGTAAATTAGTATATTAAAAACAAACATGTTAATGATCTTGTAAGGCAGGTCGGTGAGGTAGCTTGCAATGGCCTGGGCAGACTGGTGATAGAAGGCGTAGCGATTTTGCTTCTCGACGACGGGCCGCTCTGCATAGATGGTCAAGACCTGAAGTCAAACTAGTTAATTGAAGATAAATCAGGGGTATTTATAGGCTAGCTTACTTCAAGCTGGCTCCCAAATGCATTAAAAAGTAGTGAGAAGAATATAAGCCCTCCACGGTAGTAGAAGGTAGAGGTGTCAGGGCTGAGATCGTAGAACATGCTCCCTAGAATCAGCGCCATAATGACGTTGAAAAGGAGGGAAGCTATCGTGAATCCGGGATCAGCAAGCAGTCTCCGATATGCGCGCCAGAGAGTCAGGGAAACTTGTTGGGCATATGATATGGTGTAGGGAGACATGGCACGCTGCTGCTCCGCTTGTTCGGCACGTCGAGATATTTCATATTCCATCATTCGAACCTCTGAAGGATGTTTCTGCTCATATGATGCCACTTCAAGAAGTAGCTTCTTCCGTTGCTCACTTGACTTCCATCTTTCTGCAAAGTCTTTTGCTGAGCGAGGTGCGGATCCTTCACACCCGGGTTGCACCCTGCGCTCCTCTGCGCTCGTCATCGATGTTAGGAAATCAGGGATGGTTTGCCTAGGGGGGAGCTATAAGACATGTCAGACTTTGAACACTATCGACTGGGGTATATCAGAAGCTCACCGATGAATCCCAGGTTCTCAAAATAGCCTTTTGCCTCGGTAATATGACCAAAGAATATTTGTCTGCCTTCACATAACAGTGTGACCCGATCAAACATCTACATTGCAACGGTTAAAACTTGTTGAAGTGTGAAAGGACAGAAATATGGATTGAAGACTTGCATCGTAGGCTGACTGTGGTGCTTGATATAAGGTCACAGCCGAGGTTATATCAAGAAGATCTGCCTGGAGTCGTAGATTGTTGCAGAAATTGATAGCATTGGCGCTGTCCAGGCCCCGGGTAGAATTGTCCCAACACTGGAACTTGGCTCCAGTAAGAGATGCCTCTGCAATGCTAACGCGCTTTCGCTCTCCACCGCTAACACCACGTACGAAATCGTCTCCGACCCGAGTATCGATGGTATGGTTCAGGCCAAAGATCGCCATCATGACATTGCGACGAACTGTATCCAACTGCTGGCGAGTGAAGCCTTTCGGGACGCGTCTAACAGAGCTTGCACGAGATGCGAATGTCAAAGTCTCACCAACTGTTAGATGTGCCAAGTGAGTATCAAGCTCGGCGTTGTACAAAACATCCCCGCGGAGTGAAGAACGAATCTTGGAAACGTCCAAACCTCGAAAGTTGATGTATGACTCCGGCGTCACATTCAAGTCTGCTGTTTCCCCTGCCAGGGATTTGAGAAGAGTCGAGCATCCAGAGCCAGGGGGGGCCTAGAACAAGCAACATCTCCCCTTTCTCAACGACCCCTTCGAAGTCGCGTAGAATATCCACCCGTGGGCTTTGTCGATTTCCATCAAGCCATCGTGTAAGGTAGGTCGCGGCTTCAATCACGACGCTTGCTGTGGTCTTCTGAAACTCAGAAGCAGTCCCATATGCGAATACACCCAGCCTTTTGAACGCAACGCCAAGGGATCGAGGAGGTGCAGAGTCAGGATCCGATTCGAGCAATCTGTTGAACTCCTTGACCCAAAAGCGGGCATCAAATGTGGGAGATGAAGGGTCGAGATTACCCCCCAGGCGTCGGTTGCAATAAGCGCAGGTGCCCTTTTTCCGAGGCCGAAGATAAGGATAATTGCTTCGCAACCTGTGCAACTCCATCACTTAGATTGTTTCCTTGTCCAGCTTCCGAGTGATTTTTATTATGATGTTCGGACTGTAAAGATTCTCTGCTCGCTGCACCGTCGTTAGTCTGAAGGCTTTGACTCATCGTGATGTGTTTTCCAATCGGAGTAGAGCCCAGAAGGACGATAGAACGACATAACCCGTTTTATACGTTTGCCCAGCTCTTCAACGGGCAAATTAAAGAGTTCGGGGCTCGGTGCTTGGCATATAAGGAATCGGAGGAACCGATCGCCCGGTTGATTCATTATGGCCCCATTCAGTTCGGTGTTCGGTACTTGGCATGCTAAGAAGGCGTAAATAGATGCAAGCTGCACGTTCTTAGTATATATTATGTACTGTAGTTAAATTGATCGGTGGTTTCGGCCCGCAGTCCTGGGCGATCAGTGATACCTGCTTCTCCCCAACCACACGACGTTTTTCCCCGATGAAGACGCAGGGTCAAACATACAAAGCGAGAGCTGACTCGACATTTTGACACTCCTGAGATCTCGTAGTATGTGTACGTAGTAAGATACAAACATCAGCAAGCGGGAACGTCCCTTTTGCAATTAAATCAGTTTTCCTTCGTAAATCATGTAACCTTTTACCAGAAATCGCCCGATTCCGCAGTCTCCCCAGCCTATCTCGTTAGCCGATCTGGAGAAACGCACCTCTCAATTGCTGAAAAGCTACCAGTCATGAGGCATCATCTCGAAGAGTAATCAATCTGCAACACGAAGAGCCGTCGCTGTCGGCCACAATGGTTGCCATTGAATCCCGCGGGCGGCGGAAGACATACTTCTTTCCTGTAGCGCCCAACCGGACCGCCACTGGGACCAATGTTCCCAAGAGCCAGCCATCCACTGGAGGGAAAGGTGAAGACGAGACCAATGTTTCCAAAAGCCGGCCGTTCCCTGGAGGGAAGGGTGGAGACGGGACGGCGGCTGAGCCAGCTCGGCACAAGCCTGATCTCGTTATGAAACCAGATAAACGGACGCAATTTTTCAATCTCCCCGTCTTTTATGAGGACCCATGGACAGACTACGAAAAGGGCATCGAGATTTTCCCCAAAAGACATACGTCTCTTTGTCGGCACCGTCGGAACAGAGAGGACCTGGTCCACATTCAGCAACTGAAGGCATGTACGGCGACAGAGTCCCTCATTAACGCCGTCGGTCGTTATTCACATCCGAGCTTCCTTCGCCTTCTATGCTGTTACCACTATGACCAATCGACATTTTTGGTGTGGGAGCCCGTGGAGTTGTCGTTGGCACAAGTCATTGGATCCAAGTACTCGATTCGGGAAGCCGAACTGACCTCGATAGTATGGCCGGTCAGTTACAAAGTCCGCTTCTTGCCACTGGAATATGAGCGTCGCGCTCACATACATACTCCAGATCATCCAGGGTATTCGGTACCTCCGAGACTCAAGCCGAGCCCTAGGCTCTCTCACATACGATACTATTTTTCTGACCAGTTCTGGGGGTGTGAAGATTGGTATGTGCTGCTCCGGCTTCTGATGCTAGGACTGACTGAGTCTCTATGAGTACTGATACCGTCCCGTTCTGCGTCGCTCAGCGGATGTTGATCGCAGTTGCGTAATTGATACGGAGGACATGAATGCTGCGACGCTGAAGCTCTTTGCACTATCCGATATGATAACCGGACTTCGGAAGCAAATGAGTCCGATGGACCCTTGGAGCCCCCGGGCGCAGAATCTGCCGGCACGGCTGATGAGCACGCCTTTGGACGATCTATTCGGGGTAGGTTCCTCTTCCGAAGAGAGCTGGGATTTGGGCTGATTTGACCTAGGACGACGATCTTGTAGCCGAATCGAAAGGTGGGGAGCTGAAGATGTTAGTCAACATTCTCAGTAAAATCAGCCACTATGATGTCAAATTTCCTTAGCAAGCTCGCGAATATTCAGAACGCGTTATCATTTTGCTGTTCGACGGCGGCAAGAGGTTGTGGCCCGAGTTATTGAGTACTACGCGTTAGGAAAACTAAAATTTACAAGCATGCACTCTGAGACCGTAGAAGATCCAACCCCTGTCAATCCAGCTAGGTGGATGCAGGTGTGTTAGTTCAACCATGTACTTCTTTGATCCTTTTCTCGAACGTAGAATATAATCTTGCTGAGCGTGCTTTACTAAGACAAAATGACGGGCTTTCGGTGCGATGCAGTATTCTGGCTGTTTCTTCACAACAGGTTCGGAAACGATTATTGTGCCAGACTCGGCGACCGCGTTTCGTCCCGAAATGGGTCTTCACTTTCACTGTAGCATGACTGCGTGTCCTGGCGGAAACTCTGCAGCAGCCTCACCGCTTCGGCCATTCCATCCTGCACGTGTCGCAACTCTTCGTCTAGCTGATTCACCAGGCTTTGGCTCTCTGTGAGCTGCTCTTCCATGACCTGCGCCCACGTCTCCCATTCCTCGACCTTTTCCAGCAACGCATCGGAGTGGGATTTGCCACGATCGAGCTCATCGGCGAGCTTCTTGTTCTCACATTCTAGGCGTCTGATGGTGGCAGTGAATGATCCGTCTTCGGTCTGCGGAACCGGGTTCTACAACAGTCCACATCGCCGTTAGCAATCCGCCCTAGCAATCCACACAGCAGTCCGCCACGGCAAGTCGATTGATGCTCACCGGGGAAGGGAGTGCCTTTGTGGCTTGATCAGAGTCCGAGTCTGTACAGTCTGGCATCAGAGACCTCGGATCGACGGCCTCGAGGGAACGGCCCAGGCTGGCGATGATGTTGTCGTATACACCGACCGATCCGCTGCTCAAGTTTGTTGCCAATAGATGCTCGAATCCTTCCGCGGCGGACCATACATAGCCGTCTTTGGGGCAGGGCTGCAGGCGAACCAGATTCGGGGGAACTTTGAGCTCCCGTCGTTCATCTGCAGCTCGTCATCAGCCTCTCGTGTCTTCACGCAGACCCGGCCCGCGCTCCCTACAGATATGAGCCACCAACGCATCCCGGCACTCCTGTCTTCGCTGCGCACGCTTTTCATTGCTGGTCAATGTCATGGTGAATGCGTGTCAATACCTGCACTCTAGCACAGATTAGTCTGTGACAGGGGTAGGACCATCCAGTATATGAGGTATTATAAATCTTGGAAAATATGTAGGCAAGGTAGTCTGGACGATTAGGTCATCGTCCCTTGTGGATTTGAACAGCAAAGCTTAAGCTAAGGATGAATCGACTGGGGGTGTTTAAAACGGGACCGTTTCCAGTCGCATCGACTGACCATGTTTTGCACCGAAGCTTCACCGATCGCAAACTTACACTTTGATTGATATACAGGTGAGCTGTTGAATTGAGGCTCAGCCGATCATCCAAGCGCGTCAATAAGCCACGCATTTGCACAGTCAGCTGGCGTCAGCTTTGCCAGACGAATATGTACTACAGGTACAATGGCGCATTAGTCCCGTTGCATCACACGTCGCCTTTTCTCCACCGGGCTAGCCTACAATCATAATATAGCGGAGTATGGAGCCTCATCTCGGCTGACCGGGGACAGCACTCATATTTGGCACTGTTATTCGTGCATGTCCTCACTAAGGAGGTCGATCCGATCGGTCTCAGATTGAACTACCATAACATGCCACTGAAGTGATGGCGTTACGATAACAGAGCTAGAATACGGCAGACTGCTGCACGCCGGGCCCCTTTTTGCTTCTCTATAAATTCTCCCAAGCTGCTCGGACTATCTATGCAAAACACTCTTGCATTACTATCCCCATATTATGGCACCGATCACCCGCAAGCGGCGCCAGTCGCAAGCAGATTCGGAAAAAAACTAGTCTGCTGGGCCACAATGGCCTCGATCAGCCTTCGCGGAAAAGGCGGAAGATCTCTCGACTTTGTTTCCGATGATGACATCCACGCAGCTTGGCAGGAGTCCTCTAACGTACCCGCTGTACCCCCCTGCCTTGCTACCGACCGCCGCGGATTGAAGCAAAATCCTTTTAACCTATCAGGGGCCTCCATCTCCGAGGTTTACGGGCTATCTTTGGTCGACTGTGTTTTTTATCCGAATCATGAAAGCCACCAGAGCTTTCCGTGGACAGGTCCGGATCCTCTGTCTCCATCTACCAGGGCGGAGGAAATTTTTGGGTACCTTTCCGCCTTCTTGCTTTCAAAGGAAGTCTACTGGGTGGAATTTCGTCTTTCAAGATTTGACTCCCACAGCGATGAGTTGATGGGTGAGCATCTCTTTCTCCTACCACGATTCGAGACAGCGATGGGGAATCTGTCTCGGGTGCGCAAGTAGATTCTCGAAATTATCTCACGAGTATGCTCTGCAGCACAGACTGCCCGTTTCCGACTGTTCATGTGGCCCCGCTTGGAGTCCCTTCCCTACACTCAGCAGTTCATGATGTCGCCGCACTCCTCTTTGCCTACATTGCCCTGCCTCGATCCAGGGTTTTTCGTCCATAATCTCCGCGGGAATTCCAGGTAGATCTGGGAGCTCAACTGGAGATACAGAATCGGAATGCAACGAATCCGTTTCGCGAAGTAGTAGGCTGCATGTACTAATACCGAGATACTCGCCTCGCCAAATGAAAACCTTGAATTCTAATACCACACATGACACCTATAGTCTCGAGAACGACCGCTTAGAGTAAATTAGTTGATGCACTCTATTCTTCCCTTCTTCTTCAAGACCCTTGTCACTAGGATTCCACATTTGGTGCTTCAATGAAACAAAATCACATTGCTTCTGCCTTATTTTGCTAATTTCGGCTCTCCGTATATCAGATACTCCTTAGTTTTCCATTCCTTGTTTCATTAGAAGAGGAGAGAAGTAAACTGATATCCATGGACCTGTATCTTCATGCCACTTGTCTGTATACTGCCTGCGCAAGCCCCTCGATATTTCCTGCTAACGAATACAGAAAAGAAACCCGAAGCTCATGAGGCTGGTCAAAATCACAAGGCCACCAAACACAATCTGTCCAAAAGCTCCATGGTATATAATGCTGCAACGAGGAACGACGCTTCGGTCGTCCAATGCTGCAAAGACGTCAAGAAACCCATGCATCTGGTCCATAATATATCCACCCAAAGACAACACAGCTACTCCGAAGAAGAACTGGTCCAAAGACAACACAGCTACTCCGAAGAAGAACTGGTTGAAAAAGAAGTTATCAACAGAGCTTCTCCTTTCTCGTATCCACCTTGGGTGGGCGAAAAGTATAGCGCCAAACACGGAAAACAGAGCCGAGGAAATTGCGACAATGATCATTGCGCTGCGAAAGTCACTCATGAGCTTTTTGAATGTGTCGTACAGGATTTGGTTGCTGGATTCAATGAGGCCAGCTGTTGCTTGGTCTCGTAAAACATCTGCAAAGCGAGCAGTGGCGGAATTGAATGCAGCGACGAGTAGCCAAATCGTGGTGAGGAGAAAGACTCCTAGGCGTAAAAGAATACTGGATGCATCGGTATACTGAGACATGGTGTAGCCAAATGGGGAAGTGGGGATGAAAATCTGCCAAAAGCTTAAGCTGCAAGATTTCAGGGGCTTGGGTAAAGCTCAAAATGAGTAGGTAAAAAGAGTTGGAACAATAGGACAATTATCCGGGAACAAGCATATAAATAGTTTTTTTAGATTATAAAGGCATCGGCAAATGCATCATCATTGCAAGCTTACAAGCCACGAAAGATTGGTTGCCTACGATTCCTTTCTTGCACCAGCCTGTCAATAAATACCCGTTATGGCACCAGATATCCTAGGAGCAGATAAGGAATACCATTTATCCCTAGCTATTGAGACAATCGGTTGGAAGGATCACATTAGCATTCCCCAGAACTGTAATTGCTCCCAGGAATTGGACGTAGCTTTATAGGAATCATTTTTGAAATGGCAATGCTTAGAACGAATAGGTATTTTTGGTACCCACAGCTCGCATATTCAGCTTCATGCAAAGATTTGATTTCCTCTTTTACTGTATGATGAGTGCCCTGAACAGTTGGTGTATGCTCAAAACTTTTACATTGCAGTAAATCACTTACTTTCGAGGGGACGGCCTTTGGCAGCGTTGTACAGAAAGAGATAGAATGCTTTAGCTACATACCCGAGTAGCGAGTGTCTAGTAGCTTGAGATATGTTCCAGTAGACCTATTTGGAGGTAGCGATTCTTCGCTGGCTCGGAACCAGAACTATGTTCCACCTGTACCTAATGAACATCACCAGTCTCGTTTGAGTGGCGATTCCAAAAGTATGCCCGAAAGCCCGAAAAATTACTCAAGACCCGCCAGACCAGTCAGCTCCCCGCGAGAGTACTGGCTCCAGTCGTTAAGAATGCTGATCAATCGCTATCGAGACAATTCCAAATCTCGGTCCAAGAGAAGCAATCGAGACTGCTGCTCGTCACGGTGGAGTTGAAGTCCATCTCTTTCGTCGTTCAGATGCATGTTAGCCTCTCGCAATGTTTGGTTGTCCCTTTCGAGGCTCTCGCCATCGAGGTGCTTGGACACGCATGACCTGCAAAGACGTCGGTAGAGACCCAAAATTCGCGCTCCTTGGAAGGCTAAATTTGGATCTTCCCGCTCAAGATCTGTCAAGTCCCTCATAACGCGCTGATAAGGTTCGTTCACCGACATGACTCGCTCGTATGTTTCCTACTGCGAGTAGAAGAAAAATTATCAGCCAAAGTATTCAAAGCATCTGAGAAGGCATCGCGGCCTCGCTACCTACCACTAGGGGGGTTCTTCTCGGGGTTTCGGCCAACGCCGATGGGACTGTCGCACTCAAGCGTTTGATCCAACTTGAATTCAGACAGCTGGCCTTCTTTCATGCCTTGGCCAACTCGGACGTCATTTGTGATATCCATACCGGCCATGATGAAAAGTTACTTTTTATTTGGCGGATGAGGGGGCTGTCAATCTCTCCTTTGTAGACTTATCAAAAACATGTATAGAAGTAAATTACTTCAAATTTTGTATTCGTGAACCAGGATCATATTCAAGGCAGTTGATTCTTGCGTCGTTGATAATCCAGTCATGACAGGTTAAACATGATGCATCCATGGTCAGGCCCAGTATTCCAACGGTAGACCAAAGATCGGTCACAGCTCTAATTCACCAAACTCTCAACTATTAAATTGATTGACCGATATTTTCGCAATCAAAACTGTGACTCATCGAATACTACCAACGCCTGTTTGTTGTATTGAGAAAACCTCATCCTTGATGACCAGATTGTACTGGCTTTGAACGACCAACTCCCTCCATCCATTCTATGCGCGTTGAAATATGCATGTTATAATGTGGCAAGCCTCTTGGTCTGCTCGATCTATATTTGAGGGCTGAATGCCCTGAGAATTTGAAGGTTCCGATTGAAAATTCCTATTGACTGGAATCTTTTTAACAGGAAATCCTCAACATGTACTTCCCATTTTCTCTTTTTTTCCAGCTACTCATTCTGGAAAGCACTGTTGGAAATAACATCCCGAATCACCGATATGCGCAACTCCGTCTTTGGAATAGTTGCCATTGCTATGGCAAAAGTTTAGGCGAAGAAGGTATCTATGCCAGCCAGCTCGGTTTGTGTGTGCAATCGCGCGACAATAATACGATTCATTCTGTCAATGTAGAATTTATCGACATAGGGTGTTCAGGTACGTCACTACAGGCCCCAATGGAGAAATTACAGCTAAATCCTTCCAGTCCTCGTTTACAATGACAAATACTGTCAGATTGGGAGGGAAATTGCCAGACACAACACATGTATGACCGACGAGCAAGGATATAGGTCGCATCGGCTGCTCTGCGATACAAAATTCTCCATACTGGGTGCATATCCCCTATATCAACTATAGTGAGGGCAACTACCGGAGGAAGCGCAAATTAAAAGTGCGACATGAGCTTAGCACTAATCATGGCTTCACGCTGTGAAGTATAACTCTCTTGAAAATGAGACAAAGTCTGAAATTCGAAAGTAATTCGCATCTACAGATTTTTTTGGAGATGTGAATCTGTCGACAATAGTGGAGCAGTTACTTACAGCTGTCTCCTATTGGTTTCTTCTTTACGCCGCTTTCCTTTGCCTTTTGTATATACTTTTGGGGCTCCGAGACAACACAAAGTCACTCTCGAGTATCCCATAGGTCCTACGAGACATGGAGAAATTGGTTCCATCCACATATCGACTATGAGCCAATTCTGCAGATGGGTATTTAACATACCCTCTACCTGCCATTCTTTTGATCTCAATCAATCCTATATGTCAATTCTACTGATTGGTTCCCCTTCTGAAAAGATATCCCCACTCATTGCATACTATGCCGTACTGTATTAGCCTGTTCTGACACCTTGATTATGTTTGGTACGGAGTCACCGTCTTGGTTTTGAAGACAACTTTACAGATATCGTGAACGAGTTCGCGGCAGAAATGACCCATACATTACACAATACGGAACACCGACATAGGTCTTGAATGAATCAAATTGCGCTAGTCAGATTCCTTTCCACGTTTACCGACAGAACCTCAGGGCTTGCTTCTTAGTAAGCCCCTCTCTTGTGGATTCTGTCCAAATCGAGCTCCAGTGGTAATTTACCACTGACATAATATCCTCTCCACTACTATTTGTCGACGATGGATCAATCGGTAAGGTCTGGTACGTAGCAATGGATTATCGCTAAACAGCTGTTCCCTTCTAAGTACATCCGTCCGCCTGTTCCATACATACTCAGACTCACGGGCTTGCTTCTTAGTAAGCTCCTCTTCCGAGATCCTCTCCGAAACGGGCTCTAGTGGCAATCAACCACTGACAGCTGAGCTTACCGATAGTTCCTGTTAAGGGGTCTATCCTGATTCGACACTTTTCCCCCTGCTAGGCCAAACGAAGGGTTGGGTGGACCGAGTCAAGACACTTAAAGAATCTAAGTGAACATCAAAGTGTGATGTAGTTCAGAGGTATTAAATTGTGTTTTTACTCTAGGAGGAAAGATGAGGCTATATATACAACGTGTAGCCAAGTTGATTTCCAATCAACTTGGTCTTCTGTATAGACACCACGGAGTTAATTCCGATGGTTCGGCTTGATTCCTGATCTGCACCAGCCTCATATCACAACATTCCCCCTCAGAATCGCTTTGCTAGCAGGGCGATACTGGACTCGCGCAGAGCAGTCAGGCCTCAGTAAAACCACTCAAAACCCATGTTGGGAAAATAAAGTGGAAAGAGCGCCTGCGCTGTCACGCGGTGTGTCTCGAGGTCTCTGAAGCATCGACGCCTAAGAGACTACAAAACTTGGCAAAGGCCATAGGTCCCAATGGTTTGGTGAGACCGTCCGCGGCCTGTTCCCCAGTTGGAATATATTGAAGCTGAATCTCGCCTGCATCCAGCACCGCTCGCTGATAGTGAAATTTCACATTGAAATGCTTCGTCCGTTTGTGGAACTCGGGATTGCGAGAAAGCGCAATGGCGGACTGGTTGTCAGCCATGATGTTAGTAACCGGCGACCGATACAGTTGCGTTTCGGCTAGAAAAGTGCGGAGCCACTGCAGATGCAGAATAGCGTTGTACTGCCCGATGTATTCGGCATGTGTCGTAGACGTGGCCACTTCCCCCTGTCTCTTGGACGACCAGGAAACTGGCGCCCCTGCAAGCTGGAACACATAGCCCGAGGTGGAGTATGCTCCGTCAGTGACGACGGAGCCCCCAAAGTCGGCGTCCGTGTACCCGATCAACTGCCCACTGCGGTAGGTAATGCGATGAGATTGCGTGGCTTTGACGTAGCGAAGCAATCGCTGCAGAGCGACTTGGTGATGCGATTGCGGCTGGGACGTGAAGCGACTCAACACGCCCAGCGCAAATGCAATATCCGGTCGCGTGCCAACCATGAGATACATCAACGAACCGATGGCAGTCGCATACCGAGCTTTTCCTTCCTCGTCTGGAGGTTCCTCTGGACGATGGTTCAGGGTTTGCTTGGGATTCATCGGCGTAGACTTCGGCTGGCAAGTCTCCATGCCAAAGTCGGAGAGTATCTTCTGAATGTACTGGTGTTGGTGAATAGACACGGACCCATCGATGTGATAGTCGAATTGGATCCCGAGGAACGATTGTGGAGTGCCCAGGTCGTTTAGGCGAAACTCTGTTTGCAAGGCCCGCCGTACTTGTTCTATTTCGTACGTGTTTGCCGTAGCAACAAGAAAGTCATCGACATAAACGCAAACGACACAGTCCGGTTTGTAGAAGACACAGTTGTCCGATTGGGCCATGGTGAAGCCGTGAGAAGCCAGGACGCGGTGGACGCATTGGTACCAAATCCGCGGGGCCTGCTTCAGGCCGTATAGTGAGCGGCGCAGCCGACACACATATCCTGGTTCTTCGAAGCCTTCGGGCAGCTCCATATAGATAGACGAATCGACATCACCATGAAGGAATGCGGTGATCGCATCGAATTGGTGAAGTTTCCATCCGCGCAGCACGGCACTGGCAACAATGCAGCGAACGGAGTCCATCCGTGACACCGCGGCGAATGTTTCGTGATAGTCGATACCATGTTTCTGCCGGTAGCCCTTTAATGACCAATCGCGCTTTGCGCGTTCCGTTGGCTTTGGTCTTGAAGACCCATTTGCACCCAATTACATGATCTGTGGCGGGAACGTCCTTTCGCGGGACCTTTTCCCATGTTCCGTGTTCGAGAAGTGACGCATATTCTTTCTGGATGGCGGCCCACCATTCCAGCTGGTTTGATCCAGACACCGCTTCACGAAAGGTCGTCGGGTCAACTTGTCTGTCCGATGCAGTGTTCAATGTGCCTGCCGAGTATACCTTGCCGAGTGATTCCAGGAGGCGCCGTGACGGTCTTCGTCTGCGACCATAGATTGAATACCCAAGATCCGATGTCAAGTCGGTTCCTTGTTGGCTTGGATTGACCACTGGAGGTGTCTGTTCGTCACGCTCAGATGGCGTTTTATCTTTATCACCTGACAGAGGTAATGGCGATGGAGGTGGTGTAGGTAGCCCACTGGCTGAGCTCGGCATTGATGGAAAGACGGGCGATGGAGGAGCGTTGTCCGGGTGGTCATTGCCTGTTTCCCCCTCGACGAGTGGCGCCACCGGGGTCCTCTCGTCGAACTCGACATCACGGGAAAAGACCGTCTTTCCCGAATGGATTTCATAGAGCTTGTACTGATTCGGCTCGCAATAACCTAGCAGTCGGCACTCAGACGATCTCGCTCCGAGTTTTGCTCGATGCTCTTTTGGGATTAAGACCCATGCCCGGGAGCCAATCCGTCGTAGATGTAACAGTGATGGCGGCTTCCCGTAGATAATTTCGTACGGGGTCTTTTTCTGGAGGATTGAAGCTGGCGCGCGCAGCTTCAGATAGACCACAGTGTCCACTAACTCGAACCACCAGGAAGGAGGTAGGTTCGCATCGGACAGGAGCGTGTTGATCCGCTCCCGGATAGTGCGGTTGGTGCGTTCGGCCAGTCCATTCTGTCCTTTGCAGTATGGCGGCGAGGTGTCGAACTCAACTCCCTGGCTTTCGAGGTGTGTTCCGATCGGCAGGTATTCTCTTCCATTGTCGGTGAGGAACCTCTTGATCTGGGCGCCGAACTGTCGGTGCACCCAGGCCTCAAATTGTCGGAACTTCTGGAGCGCTTCATGCTTCCATCTCATGGCATAGGCCCACGAGCCTCGAGAATAGTCGTCAGTAAAGGTGATCACGTACCTGGAGCCCTCTTTGGCCATCGGCATCTCCATGATGTCCGAATGGATCAATTCGAATATTCTCGTTGAATGCAGACGTGGCCGTCGTGCACGGGAGTTCCTCTTCTGATGCTGCTTACCCGACATACACGCTGGGCACTGCGGCGTTGCCTGCAGCTGCGCCTGTGTCAGCGGTCGGTACGGAGTGCCAGTCTGCCGGAGGACCACCCTCAAGTCGCCCCGGTTCAGATGTCCCATCCGAGCGTGCCACAGCGCTTCGGGGGCCTGGTCCACTCCTGTGCCCGCATCTGCTTCGAGTATCCGAGCTTCACCACCGAGTTCAGAGGTTGACGCTGTACATTCTACGTCACTTGACTCCTGAGGGTCGTCGACGTCCATGGCCACCGCCTGCGGTTCCAGGGAATCTGCATGGTCATGGGTCGCCGGCGCCCTCGCCAGTTGGACTCGCTCTCGGGATCTTTTGCTCACATGGCACCGCAGGATCAGTAGATCCTCCTCCGTATGGTAGGCGGTCCCCACCGTCCGTCCTCGGCGTTGCACAAAGACGTTCTGCGGGTGCGCCACCACCGAGTAGCGGTCTCGTAGTAGCTTCGGCACGCTGATCAGGTTCATCCCGACGCGTGGCGCGAAGTATACATTCTTTAACACTAGGGGTTGGTTGAACTTCCCCCGGAGCGTGAGCTTCACCGTACCAATCCCTTCGGCTTCCACTGGATCGCCCGCCGTGTCCAACATCTCGCGATGAGGCCGAAGACTGCTGAAGCAGCTGCGGTCCCAGCAGATGTGGCTGGTGGCGGCCGAGTCCAGGATCCACCGGGGTTGCGGTGCGTGGGTATAAAGGGTCGTCACCCTCGCCCTCACGATATTGATCCGCGGTCTCTTGAAAGTCGGCGGGCCCTGCCGATCTTCCATCTGGCTTGATGGTATATTTTGCATGTTGTTTCTTGGTGAGCCGGAAACACTCCGTTCGGTCTTCAGGGCATGGTCCCTGGGCGGTTGTTGTTCACGCTGTTTCTTCCAGCATTCCGCAACTACATGACCGCGCTTCTTGCAGTAGTTGCATTTCTTGGTGTTCTTCTGCACCGTATTGATGGAAGGGTTGCTTGTTCCGCTGGAGACTCGCTGCGGGAATGTCGCAGCGTCCTTTCGCTGCACTGTCTGCTCAGCATTCGCTAGACGGTTGCCGATATTGGCCGGGTTGACAGGATCCTTGTCATTTTGGATCGCATCCACAATCAGGATGTATTCCGGTCCGATCTGCGTCAGTAGGATTGCAATGTGCGCTTTGTCACCGATGGAACCAGGGGCGATCGCATTCAATCGATGGACTAGCATCCGTACACGATCGACGAATTCACGTGCACTGCCGCAGCGCTCGCCGGTGGTCTCGCGCAGCTGAGCGAACAGCTCGCAGAACGTGGCGAGTTCCATCCGCCGGTACCGTTCTTCGAGATCATTCCAGAGGTCCCGGGATGTCTCCAGCCCCGCGACATGGACACTGATATGGGGGGACAGATACCGGAAGATAGTGTGGTAGGCTTCGGCCTCGCGGCGCGACCATTCACGGTGGCGCTCGAATGCCTGGACCTCCACTTCGAGGCGCGCTTCGATGGCGCGTTGCCTCACCGCCCCCACGAGGTGCGATTCCACCAGGGGGTGGATGTCCGCCGTAATGGGCTTGGCGTACTTGAAAGAGCAGTCAGGGCGCTCAAGGTCGCCCGACACGACATCCCAGACCTACCTTGCCTTGAGGTAGGAGGTCATGAGGCGTTTCCAGGTTGCGAAGTTGTCGCTTCCTGTCAGGGGCTCGATGGCCGTGACGGCTCGGTCGGGCGAGTCGTGAACCAGAGCAGACATGGTCATGGTTGTGAAAGCGGGGTAGATATATAGTTAAGATAGTCAAGATGAATCTCAGATGAGTAGAGACGGCACCCGAGAGTTGCTGCCGGGCTCATAACCTGTTGTAGTTCAGAGGTATTGATTGTGTTTTTACTCTAGGAGGAAAGATGAGGCTATATATACAACGTGTAGCCAAGTTGATTTCCAATCAACTTGGTCTTCTGTATAGACACCACGGAGTTAATTCCGATGGTTCGGCTTGATTCCTGATCTGCACCAGCCTCATATCACAACACTTCTCGCTGTCATGAATTCAGGGCTAACGCTGATAGGGATCAATCTCTTTAGCCGCACTTGCCCTCCTTTCTCTCCCCTGGCTTCGCCGACGGTGTTATGAAGTATCTCTCCGAAGCCACCAAGCCCTGACAGCTCTCTTTGTGTATGGCACGTGGCAACATCTCCCAGATCAGAGTCGCTTGCCAAGATTGTACCTTTACGTGCCGCTGGTAATTCTGGCCCTGACTACTCTGCTGGAGATTCTTAACTTCTGTTACACGAACGGGCTATTTTCGGGCCACGGCGCTCCTCGGGCCTTTTATCTTTCACTCCAGAAGGATCTCTTACACATCCTAAGCTCAGAAAAGCGGCCCAGATTCGTATCGTTCTGCCCCGATCTATCAAGATCGATGCGGGCCAGTATATCAACCTGTGGATGCCGTCAGTTGGACTTTGGTCGTGGCTTCAAACGCACCCTTTCACAGTCACATCGTGGTCGCGCGGAAGACATGACACGATTGAGTTGTTTTTGCAGCCACGCAGTGGCATGACATCAGACCTGCTCAGTCTTGCCGCTAGCGCTCCTGGCTGTCCTGTACCATTCCTGGTCATGTTCACAGGACCACACGGTACCAGTGAGATTGTTGACGAGTATGAAACTGTGCTACTGGTTGCGAGTGGTTTCGGGATCGCCGCAACAATTCCGTATCTGATGAAGATGATACATGGTTATAATACCTGTACACTTCATGTCCGTCGGGTGCATTTGGTATGGCAGATAGAATCAATTGGTGAGAAGACCCTTCCGTTTCCGGTCAGCCAGCAGCAGCACTAACAAATTAGAAATGGTCAGCGCAGCCGAGGACCTGCTCAACCCCCTCCTGGAGGACGATATTATAGATAAAGGCTATGTAAGTCACCGGCTTCAAATTGGAAACTTTCTTTAATATTGACGGAAAACCGTATACAGATTCTCAGCATTTCAATCTACGTCGAAAGAGGGCTTGCTCATGATAAGACGCCAATAGGAAAACATGAAAGAGCCTGCTTTTACCAAGGTGTACCCGATTATGACAACATAGTCTCGCTCGAGGCATCGGGGGACCAAATCGAGAGGCTACCGAACATTCGCGATGAGCAAGGCCGGACCTTGGTGATGGGTGAGTGACCCCACTGCAGCCTGTCTCTATTCTATCGTATACTAATTTATCTCTAGTTTCAGCGGCAGGCAGGTATAGAGACCAGATCCGAAAAACCGTCAAGGGCTTTTTGCATCATGGTGTGAGGCTTTCGGAGCTGGAATACCAGCCGGAGTAATTCAATGATAGGCAGTTCGCATGGAGCAAACGCAATGAGTAGTCCCGAGCATATGATGCTAGTTGGAGTTGCCTTCTGCGCACTTAAAGTAGTTAAAATGTGATGTTTGGGCAATTGAAATGCGATTACGACAGACAAACTTGCCGATTTGATCCCTGAATCTCCCTGGTCAACCAATTCAAATGAGCTACTTGGTCATTATGAATGACCGGGGCCAAGCATTACACTGAAAAACAGCGGCTAGACCTTGATTGTTGACGCAATTAACACAACTCTTTTCTATCAAAATCAAAACGCGTATTATCTAATAGTAGACAGAACAAAAGCTTGAGCAGTGAGGAACAGAAAGATCGTCGATTACCGTACCATGCATTGAATTTTTTTTTCATCGGTCATATTACTTTTGACTTCTGCTTTAATCGTTCTTCATGGGCCCTGGCGTGTATGAGTAGAATGCGCGAGCGGAGATCAACGCGAACCATGCAAGTCCGATGAGATTCCCTGGGCGGCATGGAATTTGCGTCAACAGTCGTTGCTAGATAATATTAGTACCGTTTGAAAGCACCGTTATGGAAAAAATCCGAGGGAAACAAACTTCTTTCAGTTCCTGAAAAGTGCTTGCCGAGGTCGTTGCGCAGAGAAATTCGATCGCAGCCGGGCAGCTTCTCAAGCGGTCGAGATTATCAATTCCTACTGCCCCATCTTCTTTGACATACTTCTGCATCAATTCCATCATGATTCTGGAGACTGGTGCCAAGTCACTGGCTTGAATTGCGCCCTGTTGCCGGATAACACAGCAATCGATCCGTGCTGCCGTGCCTCGTTAGATAGGGTTGTCTTTGGAGGTATCATTGAAATTAACACACCGATTTTAACATGCCCATTGAGATTCACGAGGACGCTAGAGCAATCCAGAGATGTGTGGTAGAAACTGTTGGCCATGAGATATGACAGCCCGTCAACGAACTGTACGGAATCAGCCATTTGGCCATCTGGCAGATAGGTGAGGGGAATGAGGAATTAACCTGAGACATTATGGCTGCCAGCTCCTGCTCGTCTGGGAAGGCTTTACAAGCGACGATATGATCCAGAACGAGAGGGTCGAAATCCCCCCAGTGTGTACAGAAGCTCGGGAGTGCGGAAACACTCCCGAATCGAGGCCAGGTTCTCATGGCGCATAGAGCGGAGAATCCGCAGTATCTTGTCAGCGTCCTCAATCGGATACTGGCGCACCGCCCAGACACCGCGGTCTCCAGAAGATCGAACGCATATCGCGACAGGGCCAGCTAGGTCACAATCGTAGTACTTTCTGAAAGTACCCCAAGGAGATTCGTCTCGGACTGTCAGGCCCGAACCGATAATGCTCTGCCACTGCATAGTCTCCTGGCGAGGCGGGCTTTGTGGCATCAATCGATTTTTCTTGCCGGTGTGCTCCGAAGTTGAGGAAGTGATGGACCTCTTTCCAGGCGCGGGTCCTAGATGGAGAGGTTGTGGGCCGGCTATGAGGTCCGTTACTGGTGATTCTTCTGTTCGGGTTTGCGGCTGGGGGAGTAATGCAACCTGAGTGGCCCGGATTCTTGTCACTCTCTTTTCGCCAACTTTTCGCATCATGGAAGCAGGATAGAATTTGGCTAATAGTTGAAAGCCGAAAAAGGAGCACGAAACAGAAAGGAAATCTTGCTCGATTTAAATGGGTATTTAGTAGAACACTAGGGTGTTGGATCTTCACCGGCAAAGAAACGCAGTGCCAACGTTGAGCCACCATAACGAGGGCGTCAAGATGTATTTATAAAGGCATTCACGCCCGATAAACCCAAGCCAATCCTGAGCCCCATATTTATCCTGACACCATGACTCGACACGTCTTTACCGAACAAGAGGTGCGGCTCGCAGCAGAACGAAGAATGAAATACATTGGTGCAGCTAAAGTCAGCATCTGCCAGATTCAATTCGAACCTCCCTTGCCACGGGACCTGGACCCTAAAAATTTGGACCGGCTACGAAACATCTTCCGGAAGAATCGTTGTCGCCGCCTAGATGTCCAAAACCATGTTCCAGCGACCGTGTCTCGACATAATCTCGCAGACGCATTGCAAAAGGCGAATGTTCCCCAGGAAGCCTTGCTGACAACCGAAGGCCGGCAAATTCCTCGACTGGAATTTATGGCGGGGCAACTTCGGGGTCTCCATGGCCGTCATCGTGTACAAGCGGGTGTTGAGGTACTTCCTCCGGCGGATCGCTGGTGGACGGTTGATCTCTACACAGACGGTACGTGATATACCCGGGCGCTCCCATAGATTGATACTGACTGTTCCAAAAGACATGGACCGAGAATTGAGAGCGGCGTTGGTGGATGAATATTCCAATCAGAAGAAGCCGGCCGATGGGGAAGTCTATCGCAAGATCAGACAGTATGAGGGCGAGGGCAATGAAGCTTTTCGAGAGCGATGGTTCGTGAGACTATCGCCCAGCAATCAAGAGCGTTTAGATCAACTCGACAATAAGAAGAACCGTCGTCTCCGACATGCATTTGACCGATTGTTGGCGATTCCCGGGCTTTGGTCGGGCGGGATGAGAATCAGCATACTTCATCGATTGATCGCTTCGGGCTGCGTTGAGGTGAGTTTCAGCTCAAGTTGCTTTTTTGTTCTAGCTAATGACGACTCTCCATCTCTCAGGAGATAGGAACCTATTTCGATCACATCTTGGAGTTCTGGTCTTCTCTGGTGGGATCGGATCAGCGTCTGATGAAGAAAATCGATCAGGATACGGTTCACACGCTGCAGGTACTGGCACCAGGTAAATCATTCGCTGATGAAAGGAAGGCATGCGGGCTGGTTCTCAGTGGACTTGTGTTTGCCGAATTCAGTGCTGATGAGCGAAATGCTATATGGGCCAAAATGAAAGCCTTTGATGGTCTCATCCCGTCCTTATACACTTTCTATGAGGATTTCAAGTATCTAGAGAGTTGCTCTCACTGTCTGAAGCGGCTCTTGGGTCCATCACCCCGATCTGTGAGGGAAGCCATGAGCTCGATCTTTGATCCAGACTCGGAGTCTGGGGAAGATCACCGAGAGAAAGGGAAGGGTATCATTCAGACTTCGGAGTCTACCTTCCGACGCCTTCATGCATCCGAGACAGAATGCCTCGAGACAGGATACCAGCAATTATGGCTGTATGCTATGCGACATTATCCACTGATGCCCCCGGACCCCAGGAACTGTGATGATCTGTTGGCCAACCCCACTCGCGCTAAGCCGGACCCGCGCGCGATCTACGACATGGCCCATCTAGCTCACCGGCTCGGCTTTAGGTCCCCAGAAATTGATGGGCTGCTGAACAGTTCTCCGAATCACCAATTTGCACAATCGGCCCTCCGCCAGGCCCGGAAGCCATGCCGGTATAGATACGATGACCAGCACTTTGAGATTCTGGTGCGCCAGATTGTAGATTGCTTTACTAATGCTGTGCCCGATCAGTCCGGTCCCCCGCGAGATATTTTGGCAGACAGCACCGTCAAGGCGCACGCTCGCTCTGGGGTTCCGCAGACCCGCACCCATGTTCAAGATGCTCCTTTATTATTCTTAGATCGATTGCATGCTGATGTTGATGCCGCCGATACAATCACTAGCTTTTTTGTCCGGCGTTGTGTCTTTTTCGCCTTTTGGGGGAAGTCGCCAACGGTTGATCCCATCAATAACAGAAGATGCGGCAATTTGAATACAGACCAAGGGGTTGAAGAGGGGATGGGATCGCCGTTGTTTGTTGAAAAGGAACATGCGCCGGGCTTTGATCCGTCTGCACGGCACAAGGGCGCATCAGGCAGGTCATCTCTTATTGGAAGAAGCAACGCTTCAACACGTCTGGTACTCTCCTGTGAGATCGACCATTCAGAAAATAGACCCGAGCCTATGGACTTAGATCCTCTCGAGCCAGCTCAAGATGAGGAAATCTTTGATCAGAGAAGTCCATCGGATGGAGACCACTCTACTCCCGGGGGATCCCCGAGCCAATCAGTGCTAGAAATAGTCCCTTCTGGTTACTCGCCCAGGGCTAATCCAGAGTTTGGAGATTCTAGGAGTGAATGCACTCAGATCTCGCTGGAAACAGTCTCACTCGAGTGGGATCAGGGCGAGCGAGCAACAGGAGAGGAACCCAGTCCAGACACTGGATCTGCCCTCGGGATTGATTGATCCTGCAGCACAGCGACGACGTTCCTCAGAAGCAGTAATATTGTCAGAAGAAAACCGCCCCTCTAGGTCTGAAGAATTCGAAACTTTTCTCGATGGCCTGAAGAGGGCTCGAGTGGAGCAAGAGGAGTTGGAAAAAAGGATGGAGAGCGAAAGATTCGACCAAGAACTCAACCTGCTCTATTATAATCAAGCTTCACCTGGAGAGTTGCTTCAACAAGATTATAGGGGCAAAGCCACAAGGCGGTGTGAATTCAGGCGACGCGACGCGTCTCTTTCAGCTCGGTCGCGTCAGAAGCAAAATTCATTAGATGCTTCATATAGATATTTCGAGAATTGATTTGGAGGAGAGTTGGTTGCTGATCTGCACTAGAGTCACATCACAGCCTCACACCCACAAAATAATCGATCAAAAGATCAGCGGATACCCGCCAAAAATTCGCGTAGATTGACCCTATGCAGGTAAGGGAAAATAAAAATCCGGTCTAAACTCTCACATGACGAGGCCTAAGCCGGGTCTACGCCTCAACCAGTTCATTCCCTTCCCCCTCCTTCCTTTTCTTCTTCCTCTTTCCATTTCAACTTTTCTTACACCAAGACCAAGGTAGGCTCGAGACCCTAATTAATTGACTTTATCTACTCATCCCTTCTGCCTTCTCCCAAGATATTTATCATGACTAAGATGCAGAGCATCAACAATCTGATTCAGCAGAGAAAAGAAACCCGGTTGGTGGAATCTCACAACGATCTCGTGCCCTATGTTTCCACAATTCACGCCAAGCATTCAACAGATCCTACTGGCGAACTCTCTTTCGCCATTACAGCGACCGACACTGATGAACCAAAGAAAGCTCAAGCAGCAACGCAGGAACCATCAAATCAAATTCGGCAGGAACGATCTGTGGAAGTCAATCACTCAGTGGCAGCTGAAATAGTGCATCGGTTCAAGATGCCCCAATATCCTGGCCTCGGCCGTTGGGTCCTAGTGGAAAAATTGGGATCTGGCGCATTCAGCAATGTATATCGCGCGCGAGATTCAAGAACGGAGTTTGGCGAAGTGGCAATTAAGATATTGAGATCATTTCAGATGGACAGTTATCAGGTAACATTATCGGATCATCTTACTTCCTCGTTGTCCATTCCTCGTGGCTTTGGGTGCATGGTCTAGTAAGCAAAGAAATCATGGGCTTTGGTCATCGCAATCCACCTTGAATTCCAAGGTGAAAGAGGTCTCAAGGGGTTCGGGATGTGCTTGAATTGACTCGGACTATACCCAACCTAATATGGTAGTGATGACTCGTGCTGCTTTCTTATAGCCTCATATCCTTGAAGCTCATTTCTTAACCATCAAGTTGTTTTAGCGCGCCAAGATTCTTAACGAGGTCCAGATAATGCGCAACATCGACCATCCCAACATAGTGAAGTTGATCGACTTCGTCGAAAGCCAACAATTTTGCTACATCATTCTCGAACTGTGCACTGGAGGAGAATTGCTTCCTCAAATCGTGCGATTGACTTATTTCAGCGAGGACCTCAGCAAGCATGTAATTGTACAGGTTGCCAAAGCCATCGAATACCTCCACGAGACGTCAGGTGTCGTTCACCGGTATGTATCAGTTTCAAGTTCGCGGTTAAACACAACTGAGAGTCCTTATAGTGATATAAAACCTGAAAACATTCTTTTCCTCCCGGCTCCTTTCACTCCGAGCAAGAATCCGAAACCTCAGCAGCCCGGGGATGAGGACAAGGAAGATGAAGGCGAGTTCACTTCCAACTTCGGCTCTGGTGGTATCGGAGAAATCAAGATCGCCGACTTTGGTCTTTCGAAAGTTATCTGGGACACTCGAACTGGGACCCCTTGTGGAACTGTCGGTTACACTGCACCTGAGATCGTCAAGGATGAGCAGTATTCAAAGGGTGTAGACATGTGGGCAATGGGATGCGTCCTCTACACTTTGCTCTGTGGATTCCCTCCGTTTTGTGATGAGAGCATCCAGATACTCACCAAGAAGATAGCCTGCGGCCAGTTCATTTTCCTGTCACCTTGGTGGGACCACATCTCAAAGCCAGCCCGGGACTTGGTTTCTCATCTGCTAGTTGTTGATCCTAAGAAGCGATACAACATCAAGGAGTTTATGGAACACCCATGGATCTGTCGGGCTGATGAAGAAACCATTATCACTGCCGAAGTGCCCCTACTGGCCCAGCTTCATGGACAGATGAGTCAAACTTACCCGCAACCGCTCAAAGACGTCGTTGTGGATCAAGCTCCATGCCAGCCTGTTAGCGCCCACATATTGAGTGTTCCTTCAACGTCATAGGAGCATGGACTTCCGTTTACCGCACGCTTTCAGCCTGTTTGAACATGATGTCTGCTATGTTGTACATAGGCAATAGGCAAATGATAAGCATCGCCGCCACTTAATTAGCGGAAAATCTGTTGCTGCCCTTCGTCCAGATCACATTCTGCGCTCACCGAGGATAACGACGACGGATTGGGTGCTCGCCCGCGGACCGGACTTTCAGATTAGCTACATAAACACACAGTTTATTAAGGCCCAGCGGCTAAGCCAAAAAGACAACTATCACTTATCTACCAAAACATGTCCTATTAGATGCCGTGCCTTCTTAGACCCCATACATAGTTATTTTCAGTATGTATATATCAGCTAAGCATTCAGTATTGGAGCGGGTCCTCGTGGGTTAGTAAGTTCGGCAGTAGACTGACTGGAAGGTGCCTCTTCAAGTGTTTAACATTGTATTATCGGCAATCGAAGCACGTCAACCGTCCCTGCCACAATGTGGTTGGGATGAGAGAGTTTCGTTTGTGTTGGTCGACATGGTCAAGCAGCGTCGAGTCGGTCCATGGCGATTGCGAACCGTATTGAGGCTTGCACTGCTTCCAAGTTCGGCTTCCAAGTCTGATCATCGGACCGCGATGTTTCCGCCCAGGGATAAAGATATGTTGCCTCGGTGGGAGTAACTCCATTTGAGTTAGCTAGGTCTAATTAGAGTCCACTTTAGAAATGTCAATAATTGTGTAATTCTAGAAGCTGGTAAGCTTTAAAGATAGAACAAATTCTCAAATTAACATTTCTGCCCTCCTGGGCATTCTAAAGAATCAGTCTATCATTGGATCACTTAAGACCGCGTATATATAAAGGAATCAGCCAGCTGCTCAGTTACGGTACCAAAGAGAGTGCAGCAACAAGATCCAGATCATAGTTGGACCAGTAGGAGAAGATTCGTTGATCTTCCTTAGCTCGTCCCGGCCGAAAATGACAGCCACTGGCATAACTTAGAGAAGACCGAAATAGTTGGTAGTTCGTTAAAGTCAGGCTGAATATGAGTTTCTGGGACCTCTTCGCAGTGTTGAAGAATGGTCGAGGGGAGAATATTGATGGTCTTGCCTCTACCGCTGAAGGTTTCGTGTGATGTGTTGCTGCTACCCAGGAGCTTCTTGATTCGCGTACGTCCTGTCGCGGCGGCGCTATTATGTAGGCAGTGCTCATCGTTATAAAACTCAGCCCACAGGCCCACATTGGCATGTTTTGCATCTTTCGCAATACATTGTACAACTTCATCGTTGAAGTGAACATGGCTTCTTTCTTTTGTCGCTACCTTTTCGCGAGATAAACGTGCAGTGACACTACCTATTTCCGGGTATGTCAGTTCTCCTATCCGATGATGAAGTTGGACCAGGCCTGTGTTGCACGTTCGAGAGAGGGGTTGACCGAAGTAATGCTCAGCTTTTGGAAGTAAAACCTGCTGGGACTCTGACCGTTGAAACATCAATTTCACAACAGACTTTCTTTTAAGAATGGACCTCTGGCGTATAGAGAAGTTTGAGATACGTAGACGAGCCGAAGTGGTAGAGGAAATAGCGGTCGCACGATTGTCAGGGATCTTCAACGGTCCGTAGAGCCAGGTGGTATCTCTATCCTTAACCCTATACTGATAATCAATGAATGGAAAATGGGGAAAAGAACAAAAGATTGTTCAGGGAATAAGGAAGACGCACCAGTGTAGGCTCTCCGGTGATATAGTCCCAAGGTTGCCTCTTGTTTTGGCCCATGTTCTCCAAGATGCGTTCTCCAGTCTAACTCCGTTACTATACTTGCTCCTCCATCTGATCACATAGCGCCAGGATGAGCAGATATTATCCTCTCTCCAATCATGAGAGAGATAGTCCACATGTCTGGATGGCTCGTCCTCAAGTGAAGTGTCATCTGCAGCTGGCGCTTGTGAGGTCCAGGGCACTGAGCGCGGCTCCGTTGACGCGCCATTTTCAAGTTCTTTCTGTTTTTGTGCACGGGCCATGGGTCCGACATTATAGTAGGGCAAAGCGAACTTATCGTCTTTCAGGTGTAGGTTAATCAGGATGTCGGGAGCGGAGGTTTGATCGATGGCAGAGGAACTACAGTGATGATGCCGCAGGATTGAGCAGAGGGTTGACGCGACCACATTCGAACTTGCCTTTCTTCGAAAGCCATCTTGCGAGGGTGAATTTCTTGAACCTCCCAAGTATCCTTGCGCCATCGGGCCCTTCAGAGAATCTGCGTGGCAGGGAGAGGGGGATATTGAATGTTTTTCGAGTGGTGGGGGAGGGAGAGCTTTCCCTAGCACACAACACTTCCGAGTTCACACACTAGGTGACGTAACAGGTACAGGTTTTCTCATTTGTCAGGAGCAAATGTCGGCTTATACCGATTGGGACGAACTATTTTTCATTTCTTGGCTTCCTAACGTATGAGACATTTTAACAGTGGATGGTTGATAAGGCTCTAAAACACTTTGAATCCCGAGTCTTCCTTACCTTTTAAGCATCGGCAACCGACTTTATCTGCTGGCGCAACTACCCACGATCCACTGGTGACTATCCATACGCCGAGGCCCCTTTTGTCAAATTGCGTGCCCTAGAAGCGTAATGAGCCATCGAAGTTTAGACAAGGACCTACGGTGTGGTTGTCGGTCGGTTCAAGCAGGTACGTATTAGTAATAGTTAGATGTCAAATTAGTGCACCAGAAGCTTTGTGAGGTATAACACCAAGACCGCGTCTCTCCCTAGACTCGCAGTTGCTGATGGCAACGTCATGTCAAAAAGAACAGTCTCAGCCCCTGTCTGAATATACAGAGATTGCCCTGATGACTGGCCGCCTAGTATTCTCGGAATCAAAAACCTGAGCATGATCCAAATGTTCATACCACAGCAGCTCAAGCCCGTGCCCAATCCATGACCTGTTTTTCCATGACTGTGTTACTTCTTTTTCTGATGTCCGGGCTTCAGACGATGAACCCATCAAATACAGCGCCACTGTTTCGGCATCCACGATCAAATCCTTGCCACTTAGAACAACAGTAACATTTCTGCCCTGCTCTTGGTTCGTTTCGCTCTTTATTCCGAGATCCTCCTTCCAGATTATATTGTCAATCCAAGAAAATCTCCTCGCCAAAGTATGCGCAACCCCCCACGTCTTTACTTGCGAAATACCAAAGCTGATATTCATTGGCCCGCACTGGCCGGCGGGCTATGAAGTTGTATGCCACGTCAGGCAAATGGAGGAGGAATGAGATAGGATCAATGAAGACCGTAGGTCCGATGAACTGTGTAAACCGATCGGACTTTAGGAGGTGTGCAGCGATAATGGAGCCATAAGAGTGGGACACAAGCACGAATCTGCTCCACCCATGATACCGGATGATCTCCATTATCTCACATAGCATCACATCTTTTTCCAGAGCCGGATGAGTTATCCGAGAGCTTACCGGCATGATCTCAAGTGCGATGATACCAACTTCACCATCGTTGCTAGCTCCTGTCTCTAGCTTCCTGTTGAGGTCTCCGAGGAAGTTCGTGTAAGGGTAAAGGCCAATTCCAATGCCATGTATGAACAGTACGGGTAGCCGTTCCTTCGATGTATGTCGTCGATGCCAGTATGTGAGGTGCCGCACCGGTGACCGGTAGGCTGTGAGTATAGTGAGAGGGCGAAACGGGAAAATGGTAAAGAACCGTGAGAGTGTGCTGCGATGGAAGTAGAATCCGTTGTATAACATCTTGCAGTACATTATTGTGTCAACCACAAAGACGCACTAAGTGAACCGAGATGTCAGCCTGATACTTTTCTATCGCACGTAGAAAGAGAGAAGAGATATAACTGACAGTATACAGTGATATTCGAAATCAGATTTACCTCGATACTCTCTCATCTTATCTCACGGGGCCCCACTTTTCCCTATCAGGTAAGATACCATCATGCTATGTAACTTCCATGAGTCATGATAAATTACCGTAAGACGTGTGTACACGCCTCCCCTCCGCCTGCAAGTACCGTGTTGCTTGTTGGCCAGTCTCCGAAACTGCGGTAGCGCCCAAAATCGGCTTCCATGCTACAGATACTGAGACGCACTTTCTAACCCTGATCACATGACAGGTGGTAAACGGCCAGTTCTGTACATACCCGTTCTAATATATACCAAATCTAAAGATTGTAAGACAGATACAATGGTCTAAATTTAGAAGCCTAGAACTCCTAGAAGGTTCTATGCAGCGACAACATGCATGACAAACAAAATAACATTTGAACAGGCAAAGTGCCAACTTTTCCCTTCTGCGACTTGCAGTTGCTTGATTGCAGCGCTTGGTGCTTCTTGGGATTCCATTTGGGGCCAAAGTTGATAGGCAAGGTTTAATACTAACATCTCTGAACCATGAAAGGTTAGCTTTTCTTTTACAATATTGAATCTGGACTGACAATTGCAGATAATTTTGAACGAGGTATAATTGCTGACTAGTTTCGGGTCAAAGGATTATTATTCTGTCTTTGGTAAACCCGATCAGAGTACACAACGCAGTCATAATTTCAAGATCCTTAATATGGTCGGAAAAAAAGTGAGGATACCTTCTTGGCCCCATAAACTTGCCCAGACACTAGCGGCCTCGGGGCTGGGGCTGGGGCTCAACGGCAAATTCTCTGATCGGTTTTTCTCTCCTCTACCGACCACGATAACTTTCGTTCCAAATGCCACCAACTAGAAACAAAGGAAGTAATGATCTTAAAATTATTCTTTCCGGGCCACCGCCATGCGGTTACCTCCCATGTGATACCATTATCGGCAACATTGTACGATCAAGAAGCATTCTCGCCACAGACGCTGTGATCACACTGTCTTTATACGGTCGCTCGAAAACAAAGATCAATAAGAAAGGAAAACGATCCCTCGACTCTCGACAGCTGGTCAAAATAGGACCCAGGGCTATCTTCAAAGGTGCTTTACATTTAGCAGAGGGCAGCAAAGTCACACTTAGCTGGCCTTTCGCAGTCGGCATCCCCTTTGAGCCCTCGACATGCAGGACAGGTCGCGATTGCGGAGTCAGCTTGATTCCTTTAGATCAGGAGCATCCCGGTCATCATTTGTTCCCGGCGACATTTGAGTCCTTGGATCCTGCTTTTGGCGAGCCGGCGATGTGCTTTGTTGAGTACTATATCACTGCACATCTCCAATCTGTATCTGCCCGCTGTTCTGAGAGCTGTGAGGCAGTACACAGAATTATAATACGACACCCGCTAGAACCATTATTCACAACGCCTAAACTCAAGATTTTTGAAGCCGAGGGGCAGATTCAGAGCCACCGTCTGATGCCGGGAAAAGAGCATACGAAGTTGACGTTCCGACAACACATGCAAGCACTTCTTGAATCTTCCAAAGTGCCAGAATTCAACTTCCGTATCATTCTCAAAACACCGGTTGCCATCCAGCTGGATAATCCAGAGCCTTTTCAGCTCACAATCGAAATTCAGCCTCAGCTCGACAGAACCAGCGACATCCTTCAAGACCGGATGCCAAACGTTGTAGTCACCGATATTCAAATGGTGCTCAAGCAAAACACGGTCCTTATCGGAGAGGACTTATTTGGCAGTAGCCTTACACACGCATATTGGGAGCTGGTGGAGCTGGGGTTAAGCCATGCGTTTTGGAAACAGAAGTCTCCTATCACCATCTCTACTGCTAGCGAAGATCCATCGTTAAACATAGGCGAACTTTTTGGATTAACCATTCACCGAGATGGATTGGCATCGAATGGAGTAATCCTAAATGGCGGCAAGGATATCTCCCCCGACTTCCTCACTTATAACATTGGGCGTACGCATGAGGTTGGGTGGAAGGTGACTATTCTTGTGGCTGGAAGAGCCCATGAAGTGAAGTTTAATTCTGATATAAGGATCGTCGCTGCCCCGGGTCGTTAACGGTGCCTTTTTAGGTATGACCGTCAAGCTGTTACTTTCGGTTCTGAGGTATGGTACTCTGTCATTGTCGGTTCCGCCGATGGCTAAACATTAGCACCCACGGAGTAGGTCTTCTATTGGAATAATCTGTGTTCGATTAGAATGATCTGCGCAATCCTATCCGCAAGTCGATCGTCTAGTACGGATATGGAGTGTTCTTTTCCTTAATCGAAATACATGCTCAGCTATAGTGGATCGGATTTTTACTGAGCTCTCATCATCCAATACATGTGCGGTCTCCATGGACGAAGAGGAGCAAGAGAATGAAGTATTTAAACAAGCAGACAAAGCAAATATCATTCATTCCTCTTCAACATCAAGCTTTCTCTCATCACGTTTCTGGCCGCTACAGTTTCGGCTCAATTTGAAGAGAGAAGCGGCGGCGGGTCAACCGCCGTCACGAGACAACTTTCCTATCAAGTATCTGCTCAATATGGCTCTTTTGAATGCAGACGGAAGGATTATTGATTCCAGGCGTATTGTCACTGCTGCCCAGTGTGTCGATACTCGGCCGACGAGCTGGTTGAGGATCAGAGCTGGCTCCATGCAGCACGCCTCCAATAGAAAGTTAGCTGAAGCACAAAGACTACCCGGCATCTGATCACAATGCCAAAGCGTTTGAAAACGATATCGCCGTCATTGCATTAAGGGATAGTCTCGAAAATGGGCCCAACGTTGCTGCTCTAGAGCTTTCCTCTCCTGTGTTAGACACTTCAGCGACAGGAACCAAGTGCTCGATCTCCGGCTGGGAACTACTAGTCACGGAGGAGCGAATTTTCCCATCAATTTCCTATTCGCCAATCTCGACATCATTGATCAGAGTTCTAGAACGCAGGTGGGAATAATTTCTTGGAGTCGTGGGTGTGGGCAGCATGCTTACCTCGGCCTTTAAACTAGTACCGTCAGCGATATTGCACAATAACAACGGAGTGAAGGACAAACCAACCTTCCAAGCAAGCAGCCCCGCTTTCAGCTGCATCAGGTGGTCATGAAACGTTCTGGATGAGGGGAAGACAAGTGTATAGAGGTATTCGCGTAAATACAAACTAGATCGTCCAGTAATACAAATGAATCTGTAACGAGGAATCAGTGTACACAGCCTAGCCACTTGGCGATAGATTAGTTTCGAAGACGGGTCAACAAGCAACACGGTACTTGAAGGCTAATCGGAAGCGTGTACACGCGTCTTACGGTAATTTATCATGACTCATGGAAGTTACATAGCATGATGGTATCTTACCTGATAGGGAAAAGTGGGGCCCCGTGAGATAAGATGAGAGAGTATCGAGGTAAATCTGATTTCGAATATCACTGTACCATAGAAGGGTCCCTCGCGGAAAGTCACCTTCTCGTGGTGAGGGATGTCAGTAGGTTGGACTGCAAGGTCTGGCCGAAGCTGAGAACTTTCCAAAACGAAACTCCGGCGGAAACTCCTTTATTGGTTGTGACGACACGGCGGGAAGGTTTCAAAAGAACACGTCGACAACTCCGCAACGTCGACGAGCCTCCGAACAACCGACCTGCCTACATATTTCCAACCTATACTGACCGGGTTTTGCTCAAAATAACTCACCTGCCCTACCGGTTCGATCGCATGTCGATTCGTCAGTCCTTCGTCTGCTATCTGGTGTTGCCGCCAGCGAGGCAGTCAGCTACTTCGGGCGTTAATATGAGAAGTACTCTCGGTAAATCGCTACTCAGGGAAGAGGTTCACGAAACTACATCGAGAATGGACACGTGGGGGGGTCCGGTGTCACAGAGGGATAGGTTATTGCTTTTGGGGGAGAGGATATGATGACGACAACAACAAGAAGAAATCGTTAAGGACATACCCGTATGGGCTAGAGGGATTTTTGGCAGCTGGTTCAGCTTTTCCTCTCGAAAATGAGACTATGACAAAATGTATGCAGTTGAAAGATCAAATAGCGTATAGGTGCCCTCTAGGTTTGAAACCTCCGGGCGTAATGAATTGTGTGTGTGTGTGTGTACCATAGAAGGAGACGTGCCGGTCAAGAGAATTTTGCAAGCTACTGTACCAGAAACCGGGATCCGATCTGTCACCAGACCTCATATTTCGATTTTCTATCGACTGTATCAATTGTGAGCACCTGGAAGACCCTGTAACCAAAGTGGGAAGCGTTGTATCCATTCCGAAGAATGTCGGGACGGGCCGCGATGCGAACCCCTGAACCCCCTGACCGCGACGATCACGAAGACCCACCACCGCGACTGTTGAGACCGAAACGCACCACCAGACCACCTAACAACTATGCTCAAGAGCAGGAGAAATGTACTGAGCAGAGAGAGACGCGCTCCCAGCAGAGCAAGAGAACCCAAGACAAAACAGTAGCCCAACGTGACGCGGTAGCTTCGGACGACTCGACAGAGAGCGAGGACCTGAACACCGCCAAACTTGTGAAGGAGCTTGTCGAACTCAGGAGAGAGATCAGACAGCGAGATGATTTGCATAGAGAAGAGATCCAGAAAGCTCAAGAAGAACTTCAGAAAGTCAAGGAAGAATTTGGTGCCACCCTCGCAGAAGTTCGACACGAGTTACAGACCCTGACAGATAGACCCCTGACACTGCAATCCCACTCCGAGGCATGCTCTCAGAACAGCCATGATGAGATTCTTCGCTAGATTCAATCCCTGCGCGATACAATTAGCCCATCCATCCCCACCAGTTCCCCGTCCTATGCAGACGTTGCCCGAACTCCTCCACTCAGCCACCCGAGCAACATACAGACCCTCTCGACGTCGAACACAACACCAACCACGATCACCGACACGTTGTATTGCACAATCGACACTTCGAAGATGGCAGAAAGCGAATACGAGAGAATGTCCGCAGGTCCAATCCGGGCGGCGGTTGAGACAGAGATCCGGAAGATGGAGGACCGCATACACTGGCGTTGTCGCGCCGTTACCGTAGACCCGAAGAACACAAACCGGATCAGAATAGCGTGTCGCGATGAAGCCGAACACCAGTTGGTCAAGAAAGCAGCAGAAGCAAAGATCGGCGCTGGAGCCCGAGTGCTCCGGGACGAGCTTTTGTTGTAGTTCAGAGGTATTGATTGTGTTTTTACTCTAGGAGGAAAGATGAGGCTATATATACAACGTGTAGCCAAGTTGATTTCCAATCAACTTGGTCTTCTGTATAGACACCACGGAGTTAATTCCGATGGTTCGGCTTGATTCCTGATCTGCACCAGCCTCATATCACAACAGCTTTACCCGATCAAAGTCGACAGTGTCAACAAAGCCGCAGTCCTGGATGATAAAGATGAGATCCGAGCCGGTGTCGCGGCAGCCTTCAGCGAGGAGAACGAAGTTACCGTGGCCAAGATCGCATGGCTCAGCAGGAAAGAAAGTGCAAAGGCGTATGGGTCAATGGTCGTGTACAAAGGCGGTCCAAAAGTCTGAAGACACCGCGCTATTTTTTTAGCGCGATTTTCGCGTCACCCCCCACCCATCTTCTTCAACTACCCCCTACACCACCAATATGCGTCGGTTTGGCACTGAAATAAGTGGCAATCGAAGACCAGGGGGTGAGCTTTCATCTGAGGCCCGCGCAGCTATTATATACGCTCATGAATGTGGTGTATCGCCTACTAAAATGGCTGCTGAGTTCAACGTCGCACGCTCAACAATATACTCTACAATCAAACGATTCCGAGAGCACCAAACGCTCAAATCACTGCCTCGTTCAGGTGCCCCTAAAGTCTATAGGTATTCAACTATCAAATATACCTGTTTACTTGCACGCCGTGAGCCTTGGCTAAGCCTTAGTGAGCTGAGCGCCCGTATACCCAGTCATCCATCTCGATCAACAATCAAGCGATTCCTACGTTCAAAATTCCTCCAGCGCTATCGAGCAAGACGTTGTATCCCAATTTCGAGGGAGAACGCCCGCAAACGAGTCCAATTTTGCCGAAATTGGAGGACCGAACGCTACAATTCCCAACTACAAAGCTTCATATTTTCCGACGAATGCAGCGTTCAACGTATCCCTAATTTAAACGGCCAATATATTACCCGGCTTAGAGGAGAAGCTTACCGGCAGGGAATGGTACAAGTTAAGGTTCATGTGAAGGATATTTGTCAAATGGTTTGGGCTGGAATATGGCTTGGAGGGCGTACAAAACTTGTTATTATGGAGCGTGACTTTTCAGAAGGACAGCGAGGTCACGGAGGTGGTTATACAACAAAATCCTACCTAAAAGCACTTGAAGAAGGATTTATTGAGCACTATGAACCTGGAACTATATTTCAGCAAGATAACGCTAAAATCCACCGCTCCTACGTTGCTCAGCGATGGTTTCAACGTCATGGTATACATGTTATGGAATGGCCGCCACGCTCACCAGATCTTAACCCTATTGAACCCGTGTGGCGTATGCTCAAACGTAAATTATATGAGCTGTATCCTAATTAGACCTGTACATGGGCCGGCCCATGGGTTTTCTTGGCGGCCCATGGGCTGGCCCATTTGGCCCATTTAGCCCCCAAATTTGCATAAATTATATGCAAGATATTCAATATTACTAGTTGTATTTGATAGTGTTCTAATTATACAGCTTTAACTATGGCAAATTACTAAATAGATTACCATTCACCAAATATACTGTAAGTCAAAAGATATATATTCCTTTACTCGCAAGCTAGTAGGCCTTCTTGCTTTGATCGTTTGTGAATTCGATGTAGTTGAGAACTTAGGTTTTCTTAGATTTTTTAATACTATAGGGAGCGCAGTAGTCTGATTCGATTCTCTATATTTTTAAATTGATTAATACTACTTTGGTGGTGGCTTAAATCCATTAAAATATTAACATCGGAGGGTGAAAAAAAAATTCGATGCCGACATCTAATCCGCGGGGGATAGCACTTCACGAATATCTAGGCTGAATGGGCCGGCCCATGGGCTGGCCCATTAAATTAACCAATCAGAGACCCTTAATAGGGAGTCTCCTGGCTAAGTTGCTAATCAGACTAGAGCTGCGTACACAACGCGTCCCCCCTGAGTCTCTGCTTTATTGATCTTTCAGCTAAATAGAGAGTATGTACTTGTAGAATAGAATAGTTCGTTACCTCTTTCTCTACTCTCTTCTATCTATTCAACAATCCTCGTTCTTTAATTAATTGCCTATTCTTCATTATGCCTGAAATCCAATTACCAGAGATAACCCTTATAGATGATGGCGAGGCATGTGATGTTGATGATTCATCTTTCCTGGATCTTTACTCTGACAGTATTGCGCCTGAGCACTCTGCAAGTCAAACAACACAGTCTTTCCAACCTATCAAGATCCCAGGGTGTCTTAAACCTATCAACAACCACATAATATTCGAAGCAATGAACAAGGAAGAGTTTGTTGAATGGTAGCTTCGTACATCTGCTGGGCAAGCTGAGGATGCGAGAGTATGGGATACAAAGGGCTGCCGAGCAGATATCTGGGCTTCATTCGACCAGGTTGCTCACTGTGTTACTGGGAAGCCAATGATGATGTGCAAGCGATGTGGTGCTATTCTCCACCACCCCAATGCTATAAGTCGTTCTAGTAAGAGCGCACATGGAACTACTGCGTTACGCCGCCATCTTACACGTCAAACATGCCAGGCCAGAGGGCAAGCGCAAGGGAAAGGGTCTCATCTACAGCGGCTACTACGGCATCAGGTAAGGACCTTCTTTTCCAGCCGGAAAACCATCTAATGCTTCTCTCTCTTGATTAGGCAGCCATAGCCCCTGAAGCATTCAACGAGAACCGATGGAAACAGCAACTTATTACAACAATATCTACATTACGCCTTCCCTTTACAACGATCGAACACCCTGAATTTCTGAAGCTTATCCGACTAGCTCAGCGAGCTCCCTCTCCTATCAATATGCCCTCTCGCGTAACATTACAACGTCAGATTCAAACAAAGGCAAAAGATCGTCGGAAAGAGATACTTCGGAAATTGCCAAAGCATGCAAAGCTTTCAATTAGTCTGGACTGTTGGACCTCGCCCTTTCAACAAGCCTTTATGGCAGTATCTGGCTATTTTATTGATTCAGAATGGGAATACCGAGAGGTTTTACTTGATTTTAAACCTCTTGAGGGTGAGCATACTGGGGTAAATCTCAGTCAAGAGGTTCTTGAACTACTTCGAGAGTATGAGATTAAGGAGCGAGTATTGGCTATTACTACTGATAATGCGTCCAATAACTTAACCCTTGTTTCTTCTCTCCAGGAAACTCATCTCTCTCAAGGCCTGAGCTCTGATACCATTATTATCAGAGTACCATGCCTTGCTCACGTCATTCAGTTGAGCCTTAAGCAGCTCCTTGGTCAAATAAAAGCAAACCCTGTCAATGAGAATGTTGAATCTATTTGGTCAGAAGAGCATATGCAGAAAGCACGTCAAATAGCAAAAGAGTACAGTATAGCCAGCACCCTTCGCAAGGTTTGATGATCTAATACCCTCACTATTCTCCGAATCTCTACTAATTCTATTATGGTTTACCTAGATTCGAAACCTTGCTGTATTTATTAATGCAAGCCCTCAGCGCCGTGCGAATTTTAGGAACCTTCAGCCTGAAGGCTCTCAACTGTTTCCAATTCAAGATGTACGAACACGCTGGAATTCAACATTTCTGATGCTCCGCCGGGCAAAGCGACTTCAGTCCTATCTTAATACCTACTGTGTGGCAGATCACCATACTGATCTTCAGCTGAGTAGAGATGAGTGGCAGCAGATTGATTATTTGATCTGCATTACGCAGCCATTCTATCAATACACCACCGCTCTCTCAAAAACCAAAGGCATTACAATTCACATGGTTTTCAGTATCTATAATCGTCTGTTTGAGCATCTTGAAAGCCGCCAGCGTCAGTTGTGCCACAAGAAGATCTTATGGAAACGTCAGATGCTTCAGGCACTGGAAAAAGCAAGAGATAAGCTCAAGGACTATTACTCAGCGACCGATACTCCAGGGCTTATCAACATATATACCAATGGAACTATCTTAGCGCCGCAATATAAGCTTGAGTTCTTTCAGACCCCTGAATGGCAAGATAAGGACTTTGCAGGTGAATATAAAGCAGCACTCGAGCAGCAAATTCTTGCCTATGAAGTTCAACTCCATGATACTTGCTCACAATCTGAAGGGCCTTCTTACCCATAGCCTGTTCAAGAGATTGAAATATTGCTTGATAGTTATAGAGCTCGACCCGCAGTACCACTCTCAGAGCTCCATCAGTATCTGAAGGGGGGCAAGTATTCTCCCAAAACACAGTTTCAATACATACCTCTCTAACTATTCATTCAATAGGTACTATACTCACTTCCCCACTACATTTCTGGAGGGACCATGAGCAGCAGTTCCCAGTGCTTGCAGCAATTGCTCGAGACATGCTTTCTGTCCCCGCTACCGGTGCAGGTGTAGAGCGCTTATTCAATTCTGACCGCGATATCTGTCATTATCGCCGCGGCTCTCTCCATGCAACGACTATTCAGGATCTCATGCTGCTCATGTGTGCTAATCGATTTGATATTGAGGAGGAGCAACTTGCTTTTATACGAGAATATAAAACAGAGTACGAGATAGATATTCAACAGGAGGATACCACAAAGCATATACTACAGGAGATTATAGAGATTAGTGAGGGGGAGGAGGAGGAGGAGAAGGAGGAGACTCCTCTACAGCATCATACAAAGCGAAAAAGAGATAATTATGAAGCTGAAGAGGAGACATCAGATGAGGCAGGAGGCTCTGCGGAAGAAGAGCCTCTAATACCTAAGCAATCTAATACTCAGCGTGCTTCAGGGAGGGCCCGGATACCTTCGATACGGCTACAGGGATATACTACTTAATATAATCTATAATTTCATTCACATCTCTGCTCTCACTGTATCTGATTCAATATAAAAATCACTACTGTATCACAGAATCACTTTATTATCGAAACCACAGCATTACAGCCAAGATCTCGCTTAATCTTCATATTTTATGCAACGCATGTTAGCCCTAGAAAAAGCCCTATCTTTGGGCCATTGGGTCGACCCAAATGGGCCGGCCCATGGGCCATGTACAGGTCTAGCTTCTCTTATCTAGGAACTAAGAAGTAATTGAATATTCCGTGACTCAATTGTGTGGAAGAAAAAAAAACCCCTAACTTTGATAGAAGCTGATAAATTTTGATAGGTTATTCAAATTTGTCGCAAGCAATGAACGAATCTCTGAGCGTCAGCCTGATCTGTTGGTCAGTTTAATTCTCTTCGCGTATAGTGAAACTCATCACACCTTAACTTGACAGATTTTCATTTCTCTAATGTTCCAGTCCATTGCCACAGCAAATTAACATTTCGATGTCTGCTCAGACAAGCAGCACTCATCAGCTCCTGAAATTCTTTTGCGGGTTCGAAGCACATACACAGCAATAGTGGAACCCCGAAAGGTTGCAAGCGAAGGGCTTGCTACAGAATCTTAGCTAGATTGCTCATATGAAAGGAATTTCATTTATCCTTACCCTTTTGGACAAGACTCTCCAGCCTTTACACTCTCGCACTTCTTGATAATGACTGTCAACCTCGAGAATCATGATTCGATTAAATAGCCAATCACTTACTTCGGCATTAGCTGCTGGTGAAGCAAGCGCTAGAGTAGCGAAAGCAGCTATCAAGTAAAGGAATTTCATATTTTTACAAAAGGGCGACACCCAAAAGCCGTATCTATGTCACTTGAATATGAAGAAAGCTTTGTGGAGGCAAGAGAATGCGGGTTTATTTGGCAATGTGGGGGTTTTTATAGCTTATATTTCGAAGAAAGTTTACCTAAATATGAATCATCATCACTGGGGATTTTGCTAAGTGAGATATCATTCGTTCCGAAGTATGATGTTTCAGGTTTCATATTATTAATGTAATATAGCGCACAGTGTTGCCATCTTTGAATTCTTGGCGAGGGGCCTAAATGTGAACTGCATACCATCGGTCTGCGATGTGGTATTTTATGTCAGGATGAGGAATTGAGGTACTGGCTAGTACTGAACATGTGCAATAGAATCAGATGATTGATTGAAGGTTAATGAGGGCGGTTGAACGCCCTCGAGAGTTTGTATCTTGCCGATGCGGTGTGTTACGACACCATAACTTCGAGTGATTACATTGACCCACCATCTACCTCCTTGGCGATATAAGGCCCCCCCAAGAGGGCGGTAGACCTGGGGTTCGATTCCAATACTGTGTATTCGGTTGCACTCGACCATTGCCGGCGCGACAGTTCTCGCTCAGGTAACCCGTCTGCCCGAGTCACAATTAAAACCCATCGCGTGCTTTACCCAGTCATTCCCTCGATATTCGTGTTCTATGAGAGATGTTACAAACCTTCTTATTGACTACCTGACTCAGGAATCTGTTTTCTTTTCAAGTCCTCCCCCCTCCTTGGTCGGTTGGAGCCGACCAAAGTCAGCACCGATGGTCTAAATTGGGCGATCGTCGAGTTACCACACCGAACGCGTGGCGCGAGAATCACAGGCGGCGTATTCTCGCAACACAACGCACAATCCTGCGACTTCGGCGATACCTCAGTGGCTATTCTCAAAGTAAACAAGCACATCCTCGCCACCGGGGTGATCAATGGGCATTTCTGACCTCGGCAAGTTGGCCGTAAGCATCGCGCGGTATTGCTAACAAGTCTGTATCAGTCGGTTTCGGTCGGCCTGTGGCTGCATTGACTATAGAGTATCCTGGGGCTGTATCATTTGTCCTCCTCGCCTGCGTCTGGACGTAGGCTGCGAAAGAAAATCTTATCAGGATTCAGAGCTACCTACTAGCTGAATGAAAAGGATCGGTGGATTGGAGTGCACGCTGGTGGTCATGGATGAAGGCGGTCACCTCCTGTCAATCGTAGGAAAGTGAAGGGAATTGGAATGATTGCTCCACATCCGACGCACTGTCGATTTGGCAAAACAGTGCAAGTGAAATTTAAAACATCAATTTCCCAAGCCAGTTCTGACACTTACAAACTAAAGCTTCGAGTCCCAGTGAGATTTCACTAGAGGAGATATAGCCACATTAAGTGAAGCATGATATATGACTAGACTGGTATACTGATACACTGACAAACTATAACTGCCACAACGGGTCACAAATATTCGAGCGGGCAGATATTTGTATGAAGGCTAAGTACTAACACCAGAATCGTAAGTTAGCAAAGCCTCATCAACACCACCCTCCTTGAGGACCTCAGGCCACCAAACACCTGTAAAAGGCTCTACATCTCTCTCACAAACTGTGCCCTCCTCTGGCAGAGTGCCATTCTTCCAAAACGCCGTTGTCTTCTCAAATAAACACATACTCGGCACACTATTAGAAGCATGCCCATTTCCATTGACTTCAAGCACCACACTTCCCTCATACCCAGCGCTAACATTATGCGCCGACTTTAGTGGTGTGTGCGAGTCCAGCGTGTTGCCAATGATCAAAATAGGAGTTTTAGTCTTTGCTTGAAACGGACCACGGAATACCTCTTTGGGCTTGATCTTCCACTGTTGACAGCCCATGTAGGATCCAATGGCGCCGTCCCCAGACAGTCGGCTCGTGTTGTAGAGCGCCCTGATGGTAGGCAGGAAGTCGAGCAGTGAGTCTGTGCGGGCCTGATTATCACCACAATAAATACCGGCGAGTGAGATAACGGCCCTCCTGGTTGCTTCGCGCATCACCGGGTCTGTGCTGAGGGTCTGGGCTGTTGTCTGCAGGGTGCTTTCCATGCCATCGTACTTGCCATCAAAAATAATTTTGTTGAGGAGCTTCATTAAAGCCGGCCAATTTCTCATTCCATACATAGTTTGCTGGAAATAGCCCTTCAGCCCAGAGTAGTCAAGCAGCATTGGACCCACTGGGATTGGATGAGTTTTGACGCGGTCGAGGAGTCGCCATGTCATTTCTTCCAGGGCTGCGGCGGTCTGGTTGTGGGCTGCTAGGGGACAGAGCTTGGGGCCGGCCTTGACGCAATGAGCAAAGAGGTCGGAGAAGGCGGCGTCGGCATCTGACCATTCTTCGATGTTGCTGAGACCGTCAACCACGTTTTTCCTCGTGGAAAAACAAGCACGGGAAGGGGTCTTACGCAGTTGAATGGTAGTACTCGTGCGGATTCTGTACTCCGTCCAGGATGATCTTGTCCATTCGATCCGGGAACATGGCCGCCACTGTTGCGCCTAGGGGTTGTTCCGTACGAAAGTCCTTATCAGTCAGTACTTCTATCAATGAAATTCCTTCTTTTATGGGTTCATACCCCAGTATCGGAGCAGCCCATCTTCCTCCAGGGCGTCCACAATCTGCATCATGTCCCTGGCCACAAATGCCGTCGTCAGAACGGACCCGACCCTCGACGCATTTGCTGCACACTGCTCGCCGTCAATTGTCCCACGCGCCCAGAGCATCCCTACCGCTCCCTCGGAGCTATTCCCGGGTACGATCGCCTTGTACATTGCAAATTGATCAATCGCGTCTTGGGTACACTCAAACGGGATGGTGTTTTCCGTGCCTCGGGTGTCAAACGAGATAAGGTCGTACTCGCCGCCGGTCAAACTAGCCTGTCAGTCTTTGTTTGCTTCTGCCTCCGAGCTTCCAGCCAAGCAGGGTGTAGGAGCTACGTACGGTATAAGAGGCGACGCAAGCTGCGCGATTCCTTTGCGCCCCGGTTGGCCTGGTCCGCCGGGGTTGGCGAGGATACTCCCCTTTGATCCCAGCGGTGCAGGGATCTTGATTAGCTGGAGTGAAAGTGTATCGGTTGAGTTGGAATTGGTATAGTCAAAAGGGACGTCCAAAGTTGCGCATTGGAAGCGTGCGAAAATGGGGTTCGACTCGGTCTCGTTGCATGGTGACCAATTCATTTTGGCAGATGCTGTGCCAAAAAGCACAGCTGGAAGCAAGGAGCGTAGAGGACGCATTTTTGGAGGTTTATCCGTTGACTAGAGGTTGTACCTTTAGTGTTGATAGGCATATTTATAATCATCTTGCGACTCCTCGCTGTTTGCCATGCCTGTAGACCATCGCACGTCATGAAATGACGCAGACATGCAGATGAATGGCGGTTCGTATCGCCAAATCGGAGACCGGCGATCGATGAGTATATCTCACCGTCCCAAGCTACTCTAACCCCAATATCGATGGGACTATGCTGGTTAGAAGATCGAAGATCCACAAGCGGGATAGATCTTGGCGACTAGGTATGACGCACTCTAGGCCCCAACTAGCCTGGGTAAAACCAATCACAATGATGAAGAAATGTCGTCTTGTGCCACGAGCGAAGAGAGCAAGAATCTGAGGCAGCGAGCGCCTGGAATAACTGAATCGGGACTGACCATCTGTAGGGTCACAGACCCTAGGGGCGCAAACCCTGCAGCACTGCCACTTCCTGTGGGGCGCGGACGTAGGCCCAGCCTTGTGGGTTCCCCTTGGAAGAGTTCTTGGTTCCTTATGGTCTGAACTCTGTTCAAAATACACAGACATTCTGTGACGTCTGTCAAATAACTCAAGCTTGTGGTTTGCTGCCAATTAGGTGTGCACGAGAATTAGGACTCTGCTTGTTCGTATTCGTAATGTTTCCTCAACCCATTATTCGCATGAAGCCATTGATAGTAAATGAGATTAATAGTCTCGCGCTGACTCTGGACAGCGCTAACCCAAGACAAGCTGAACTTGAGAGATATGATGGATATTGGCTGAGTGATTAGGAAGCTTGGCACTACAATTTAGCCCCATGAACGGTCCACACAAAGATGCAAAGACCTGTTCCGCGCCAAATAACCATTCTAGGAAGGGGTCATCTCAAATCAAACACTGAAATGACGCGTGAGCTGACTAACATGGTCTATTGATATTAAATTGCCAGAGATGGTAATCCAAGGACTTACTATAGATACGGCGAACAATAACTTGGTTCTGCATTGAAACCGGATCATTTACCTTGCCGAACCAGCCTTTCCCTATTGAGGAATCCATTGGAGCCCAGCAATAACTCGCTCACTCCTTCCATAACACATACTGTACCACGATGGCTTCATTCATCTTTCGTCACCCACCTGGAGACCCGGCAGAAGGATTTGCCCACCTGTGAGGAGGCCAGATAGAAGCATTACCGATTTCCACAGCCATCTCATTCAACAAAACATATTCTGACATATTCCAACCATTGCTACATTGCTACAATAGAGAAGCGTGAGATATTTTTGGCCCGTACGGGGCACCTGCAGTCTGAACATGGTGATGTAGGTCTGCTTGACAGAAGACTACAGCACCGCGAGGGCTGTAGGCGGGCCCGTAGCACTCCGTTTATTTCAGGAGGAAGCAAAGCTATGTGGAAGCATACTTAGTGCATACATGAGGGGTTCTGCGGTGGGCGGGAAGAAACCGCTGCGAAGAGAGCCCAACTCTCCTTCGAAACGGCAATATTCCTTTCGAAGGAGAGGATATACGAGCAATATCTGTGTGCGATTGCAAGCACGGAATATTGTGGACCCGACGCAAGGGGGGGGCTTTCCGCAATAATTCCGAACAGAACATATCATCTGTATCAAGCTAACATGGTCCGTCCGCAAGGTGTCTATTGGTCAGAATGTTTTGACAAACAGTGCAAACATAACGAAGATGCAACGAAGACATCCGCCCCTCCTCATTTTCTGTAGCCTTCGTTTACATCTGTCGTTTACAAACCCTAACAGGCTGAAATCCGTGAATTAACGCGTCCTCGAATTCAACATGTCTATCAGACAGGTGCGGTCAAGTCCACTACTCGCCCTTCCAATCGAAATCCTCCTCATGATAGCGGACATTCTGGACACACGAGACCTCGGCTCATTTCTACGCACGGCGCGGAGGTATGCTAGCATCCTCGACTCCTATCTTTATCAACGTGCGCGTAGCCATATCTGCGCCGACGAAAACTCCGTCCTCGGATGGGCCGCGAAAAGGAATCAAGCACCTGTAATCCGCAAGCTCCTAAGAAAAACCAGCGACGCGCCAATTCCGCTTGAAGCGAAAAGCAAAGCGCTATGTCTCGCCGCAGAGGCCGGAATGCATTGCATCATCGAGCTTTTGGTGGACGCAGGTGCGGATCTCTCGTCTGCGATAGATATGGGACGGAGATCGACATGTAGCGCACTGCAACTCGCTGCAGGGAATGGCCACGAGGTAGCCGCCTGTGTACTCCTGGGAATGGGGGCAGATATCAATGCCACGAATTCAATTCAAGAGACCGCTCTACACTATGCGTCCCGTGGTGGCCAGGAAAGTGTTACGAGACTGCTTCTGGAGGGGGGAGCTGATGTAGCAATATTAACGATCGGGCGAAAAACAGCACTCCATTACGCAGTTCCGTTTAGAAATGAAGCGGTTGTGAAGCTGCTCCTAGAGAAGGGAGTAGACATAGACGCAATTTCATCCACTGGGCATACTGCGTTATTGTCAGTATTTGATACCGAGAGTTCTCTCAGCGAGTCCATTCTTAACCTACTTCTGGCGAAGGGTGCAAATGTGACTATATCTGAATCTTCTAGACACATGGCAGCACTACATTTTGCTGCTGAGGATGGCAATGAATGGGCTGTTAGGTCACTCTTGGGGAATGGGGCGAACGTGATGGACAGTGATTACTTGGGATATACGGCATTGCATATGGCGGCCGAATGTGGGAATGAAGCAGCTGTAAGAATTCTCCTCGACAAAGGGGCGGATGTTTCCGCTGTTGCGGCTGAAGATGAGGATGAGACGCCACGTAATTTGGCAGAATGCAATGGCCATGACGCAATTGTAAGACTTCTAGAGGAGGCAGCCACACAGCGTCTGAAAAATGTAGCTTGAGTTACTATATATGGATGTGGTACTTTGCGAATGCTCAACTATCTTTATACGACTAAAACCCCTAGAAATTCGGACACCTTGGTTAGGTGCCTGTCTATGACAGCAGCTGCACACCAATGAAGTGATATGTATTAAAGAAGACCGCACAATCATGAAGGGATACTGTAAATGCAATTTCAACAAAATTCCAGCCAACACGGCATTTGTTTGGGTGCCTGGTAGACTTTTACGAAAGCAAATGGAAAAGAAGGAACATGCCGAATTTGCCTTGATCACGCCCTGATTCTCGATAGGGGACATTTTCTTCCACGTAGGTAAAGTAGAGCATTGAGTCATGGAGCCGCTTGAGATCTTGGTGTATGATAGCGTGATGGCTAATCTGGGCGACGGCTACAATCCGAAGTAGTCTTCATTGGTGTGAATGCTTGTGTCTTGCCCAGGAGTGGCGGTATAATTTGTCCGGAGAGGCGAGTAGATGAACATCGAGGATGGAGCGTGTTGAGTGTAACAGTTGAGTGTGAGGGTGAAGATGAGGGTTGAAGGTGAGGTTCGACGGTGATTGATGGTGTGTTGATGGTAAGGTCTGGAGGTGAGTGAGGGCTGGTGACAACGGAGCCAGACCAGTGAGTCCGCATGTTGATGTGCAGGGCGACGAGATTGCGGAGCGGTGAGCTTGGCTATCAACATACCTACGGCCTTTCATCAGAGTGGCATATCAGGTGTCGCTCGAGGGCCTTTCGGCGCCTAAATTGGCGGTCACAGCCCGGGTTTGTGCATCTTGTTGTACTTCAGAGATTTATATTATCTTATTGTTCAAAGGGAAAGATTGGGCTATATATACAAGGAGAAGAGCAAGTTGATTGGAAATCAACTTGATTCTTCGTATAGATACATCGGGATTAATTCCGATGGTTCGGCTTGGTCCCTGATCTACACCAGCCTCATATCACAACACATCTAAACTGCCGCTGGGGTATTGTGTGTGGCAATTTCTGGAAGCTCCAAACCGGAGGTACTTGGGAGGAAGGAAGAGGTGCGGCGTTGGTAGGCCCCATAGAGACTGGGCTCGTTGCAGGCACTTCATTGCTGTCAAGTCGCATAGAATAGGAGTTGCAAGTAGGGGCCACCTTTGCCTCAGAGGTATGAGGCTTGGAAGATGGCTCCGATGGGCTGAAAAGATACGAACGTGGCATATTTTCAAGCAAGTATGTGACAGGGATCGGCTCGCAATGGATGAAGCCAGGATCCGAAAAGTGTCCTGGTCGTTGAAAGCCGCACCCGACGAGGCCATTTCGATGGATCTGCCGCATGGCTTCTTCAAGACTAAGCACCCCAAGCGACTGTTGTGGAAAGGCCGTACGGATAGGACGTGTGATGAAGTAATTTTCGGTAATTAAGGGCCATTGATCGTTCGGCTCGTTCATGATTGATCTTTGACTCAAAGAATGCGAACTCATTTGGAAACAATCATTCGGGAATTGCACGCAAGGGGTATCGCGCTGTGACTGTTGGCTGCTTTGTCCAGAGTAGAAGAAAGCCAAATACCACATTGGCGATCGCATAATCAAAACTCCAATCTGCGACGGGAGAGGTTTAGGTGACAGAATCCTGAGCGTCTGATAGACTGAGGCCATCAGTAGCTTGATTCAAACGGAGAGTAGATATACAAAAGAAAAATAGCGATATGCAAACCGGTAGAAGTAGGGAATTTTCCTCTTTCTTTCCCGGAAGAATTTTGACAACGTCCAGTTGATTCAATTTACAAGTTTAGCAAAAATACGTTTGAGCGATATCTCATTCATCACTGTTTCGACGGGTGAAGTGACGGTGATGATTCCACGCTGGTACGGCAGCCGATAGTGAGGCAGGGGCCAAAATTCCTGACCCAATCATTAGCCTCACCGCGATGAGTTCCGCCTGGATTGACCGCTAAGTACACCACCAACCAGATCTCCGTATGCTCTATCAATAGCGCAGTGGGGGTACGTTATAGATAGAGTGGTGTTGGTCAGTTAGACCGAAACCTCCAAAATGCCAGATTTTCCAACATTCTTCCAGATTTTGGTTCACCATACTAATCTTTACGAATCTTCGCCAGTTTTGAGAGCTCAAATCTCTAAGATACGCGTTTTTGACAAATCTGGCCTTCTACCATGCCTGCTGGACGACCCCAGGTCAACATGGAGCCCTATAAGGACCAAGTCATTGTTCTCCTGACCCAAAATACACCTATTAATGTCATACTAGACATGTTGCACCAAAATCATGGTCTCCAAATCTCTCCCAGAACATTCAAGCGCCGTACGCAGGCCTGGTGTATCCAGCGACGAGCACCCACAGGCATCACCAATAACAGACCCTTACAAATACGCGTCGAGACACTCATCTGTGAGGGTAATCTGTCTCCGAAAGAGATACTCGAAGTTCTCGCCCGTGATGGCACTCCTATCTCCAATGACTCACTTAAGCAAATCCGTAGGCGGCTTGGTATACGCCTTCGCATTGATGATAAGGACGAGCAGCGTCAGCAGAAGGACGAGATACTAGAGGTACTGGAGGAGGAACAAGGCTTTGGGCTTATTGAAGGGTACGGACGGGGTCATCTTTATGCCCACTTATGCCGTCATGGGCATATCTATGCGAGAGACCGAATCTTCGATATTTGGTGCTCTTTGCGCCCTGATGCTCTTGAGCGTCGTTCGACCAATCTCCAGAGGTCGCGTGGTGCCTATCAATGCCCTGGGCCAAACTTTGTATGGCACATTGATGGATATATGAAGCTAGAGCCTTATGGGATCGAGATATATGCTGCGATTGATGGATATTCGCGTTATGTTACCTGGTTCTATGTTGGTATGCGCACCGCTATAGGGTTATTCTAAGTTTAAGTATCTGACTGTCTACCCTAGGTATAAGCACACGAACTGGTTTCAGCGTTCGCCGTCAATACATAGATACATTATCGGCTACTGGCTTCCAACCGCGCACTATCCGCTCCGACCTAGGCACTGAGACGATGCTGATCGCTGATGCTCACTATGCCTTACGGAAAGCCATTGATATCGATCCAAGGCTTCAGTTTTCTGACTGCTTTTGGTATGGCCGTAGTGTCCAAAATCAACGCATCGAGTCCTGGTGGGGACAGCTTACAAGCTCTATGAATTTTGTGTGGCGTGAGCTCTTTATTTGGCTACAGGACCAGGGCCATTTTCAGGCGACTATCCCTGACCAGATTGCTCTTCTTGCTGTCTATCTGCCTTCTATTAAGGACACATGCGCGGAATTTGTACTGACATGGAACTCCCATCGTATAAGGAAGCAGAAAGGACGCCCCTATAGTGTTCCAGGCAAGCCATGGATGAACTACTACTATCCAGGGCAGGATACTGATGGACAGGATATCAAGGATTACCAGCACACGCTTGACCCTACTATGCTTAGTGCTATACGATATGACGTGGATGGCTGGGATGCTGACGAATATCTCCCCAGGCATACTATGGAATGGTGCCATACTCAGCTGCTACAAATGCAGTTTGACCCTGAAAGGCCACCAGCACGAGACGGCACCCGCTCATAAGTGGAGATCTACCTTCGTCTACGAGAGCGAGCCGTCTATCATACCCAAATAGGTGCTATTCCGATCCTATCACTGTGCGAGAAGCCCACTATGTCTTCTGATTGGGCATAAAATTAAGGGAGCGGCTTGCAGGCTTGGCTTATGTTAGAGGTAAAAGTGGAGATTAATAAATATCAAGCACTAGTTCTGTCAGAACTTTATTATTCTAGGGATTGTAGAAGATATTATAGTATCTCCTGACGTCCTAGAATCTCCAAATATCCTAGTATATCCTATTGAGCATCTTCTACAAAGTACTACCCACCAAATGGCCTATTATTCCAGCGAAACGCCTGATCTAGTCGATTTGACAGGGCCATATGACGATTCACCATCCTCCTCCTCCACCTATACTACTGGCCAAGGAGCAGCACCGACAAGACCCTCTCAGCTTATACCGAGCCATGACCTGCTTCCTAACCCCTATAGTATAATACACCAACGAGTGGCAGGTAGAGTTCGCAAGCGAGAGATAAAGAGGACTAGACCAGGACACATTACTAGGCCTGAGCCACCACAGCAGGCCCCAACTCTTATCCACTTCTGTCTCTGGCGAAGACCATCACCAGAGAGAAAATCATGGACCTTTGAGGAGCTTAGTGAGTTAAGATATCGATGTTATTTAGTTTAATCAAGGTAGGTTTCAATTTGCTAATAGACACTTCAATATAGGTGATGTTTCCCAGTGGGTTCCTCCACAGACAATTTACGGCTTTAACGACTTTATTACAAAACATCTTCTGCCTGCGCTAAGTCCTGATCTCGGGGTATACTCAGCAATGTCTACTGATCGATATCAGTTAGCCACAGGCCTAAAAAGGTCAAAAGGGCAAGAGGGAGCCATATATCCTATCCGCTACTGAAGATTACATGCGATGTACTACAAATCTCTGCGAGCGTTTTGATTTGGCTGGTGGAGCTCGTCGGATTTATGTTGTTATTATACGTGAGGAGGAACAGCTTCATGTCAAACCTGAGCCTATAATAAGCCGTGAATCGAGCTTGGCCAGCGACATTAGCAATTGGACGACCCTCCCACCCCCAGAACAGCCGGCTGCTGACGCTAGGAGAGAGGCTACTTTAAGGGCTACTCCTCAGCGGCAGGATACGCCACATCGGGATACACTGCAGCTAAGAGATTCTTCAAGTACGCAGCAACGTGGTGGTGCAAGACGCGGTGGCACCAGAGGTCCTCGGATAGAAGCATCACCAGCTATATCACCACCACATACGCGTAGTAGGGTCTCTAGGGGTATGAGGGCAGGTTAAAACTAGTCAGAAACTGCACATTTGGGCGATTTGAGCACCTACAACAATCATAGTTAACTCATAGTATAGTAAATGAGAAGGCAGGATTTTAAAGATATAGTTTTATGCATCTAGAATTCCAGAGGCCTTGGTCTAACTCTGTCATGACCTCTGAATAGAGGCACACTTCTTGCCCTTCTCCAGAAATACTTGCTTAACATATTTTGGCAGAAATATACAAGCCTAGGGTATGAACCTTCCATATTAGGGCTAGTGACCTTTTCTGCCGGCATTATTTGAATTTTGGCCCCAACCTCTCTATCGTCTGCCGTACTAGGGTATGAACCTTCCATATTAGGGCTAGCGACCTTTTCTGCCAGCATTATTTGAATTTTGGCCCCAACCTCTTTATCGTCTGCCGTACTTGGGTACCATGACGGACACATGATTTTCCTTCATCAAACGATGGCAACCTTGTATTTTCAAGATTCGTTCGAGACGGCGAACATTCCGACGCTGATCCATACGTCGCTTAAATCCCGTTTCGAAGACGAGATGGGACATATGCACCCTGGCCGATAGCTTGAAGCGACTCCTAGCATAAGCATAGAGCCTACACTCAGAAGCTTCTGCTTCGTACTGACTGGGAGAAGCCATCTAGAAAGCAATTTCAAGGTAGAAAGGGCCAAATGTGACACTCTGGGACTTGAAAAAAGGTAGCAAGCTCTAAATTGAGCGAACTGTCGAATCTCCTTTCAATATATATATACCATTCCAAGCTATTTGGCATATGGTAACATATCAATCCTGATAACGCTCCTTCTAAATACAAATATGACCCTTTCAAATTTTGATACCGGCCATTTCCTGACCTCGCAACGCAGATTCCAAGAGTGACCCGTCATTGTTGCGTCCCGCGACTCATAAATTGTCAACAATGAGATATTTAGAAACTTGCCTCATCTATAATCCGCTCATGATAAGAATAGAGGAGGGTTTTCAATCTCTGAAGTATAAATATACTATCTATCAAGTTGTCAAAAAGTCATCATTCCATCATTTCTGATATATGGACTGGGGAATACTTGAGAGAAATGAAACTCCATATGATACCAAGGCTAGATCGGCTCATCTCGATTGCTGCATTGTCTCTTTCGGTCGCGGTTTTACCATGTCTGATATTGATTTTCGTCTCCTGTTCCTCGCCCTCCACATCCCATGAGCTTTATTTCCTGAAAGTAGGATATCCTTCAAGCAATTTTTTCTGGCCATGGGCTAACTTATCGCATAGGTAGACCTGACAGACTTTCCAAAGGTCGATCATCTGTTTTCCCGCGGGCCTATACGCATCGACGGTGTTGGTGCATCGGATATCGCTCATAGCGGAGCAAATGCTGTCAATGATGCGCATTCGACTGCTCATGAGAGTGCAAATAAGTTATCTTCAGAAACGACTTCGGCTATTCATAATAGAATCTAATCGGAGACTGATAAGCTGAAATCAAACATCCCACAATATTTCTTAGCAGGCCTTTGGAGCTATTGCAAATCTGAAAATATCCCTGAGACCACCTGTTCGAATCCTAGCTTGAAATTTGATTTTAATCTTTCTTCCGCACTTGGGTCCGCTTTGAATAAAATCAATGAGGTGCCCCGAACGATAGATGAGGCTACAATGTCGGGATATCGCCAAATCTCCCACGCCATTATCTACTTATACATCTCTGGTCTCGTTGAAATTACATTGGTGGTGGCTCTTGGGATTCAGAAAGCGTTATTTGACAGAGGGGATAGACTTTTGTCTATACTTAGCCCGGTATGTGAGACTACAGAATGACTTCGACAAATATGGATGGCTGACAATACTAGCTCTCAGCAGTTTTGATCACAGCCGCTACGGTTGGAGTGACAGTGATGTACGGAGTCTTTATTACTGAAGTAAAAGGCAAATTACGGGAAATAGGTGCCAAGGCCGTTCTGGGCTCACGACTGTTTGGGGCTGCATGGTTGGCGTTGTTTCTATCTATCGGATCGTCGATCACTTGGTTGATACAGCTTTTTTGTTGCTGTATTTGATGTCACTCTTGGACAAGATAACGAGCCCGCTTACATTCGGAAAGAAATAGATACGATAAAAATTGTCTAAGCTAGACTGGTCATAGATGGATTTGGCAGATTACTTGCTTGCTAAACGGACTCCACGAGACGATAAAGATATTTCTAATTAGGATCTGCTAGATATGGGTATTTTCGAATATTTTGAACAAGCGCAGGAAAATTTCTGTTTCCTCTGGCCCATCTGTATCACTAAAAGCCTTCCCTTTCGTCAAATTTATCGTAGTAGCTTTGACTGTGTATAGATTTTAGAAACCGCGGCACTTATCTCACGACCGCTTGACATATTTTCCTTCTTTCCGAGATCGCCAAGGCTTGAGGGCAATATCCATAGCTGTTTGCTGTGCCCCATGGGTCGCCTCTGTATCAGTGTACCTGGTCCTAATCGGCTCCAAGGTAGCCCGAGCTGAGTAGAATGAGTCCACGAGACAGAGATTTTCCAACCCCTTTTCGGAGTCGCAAGCCTTCTCAATGATATTAAATATCGTATTTTGCAAAGACCACAGAATTTCATGGCCGGAACGGCGCAGGTCATTTGATGACTCGGAATTGTAAAGACGCTGCAGATCCTGGGATGTGTTTTCTGTGAGATCTTGCAGGAGCTTGAAAAGCGCGTAGCAGTCGCGGTAATAGGCGTTCTCGACACGCTGCTGACCTAGCTCGCGCTCGAGTTCCTCAATATCATCAATTGTCGCCATGACGTGACATCCAAAAGGTTTGTGTCTCGGTCCATTGGCCATATATACATATCTCGCAAGGCTCTTTTCTGGCGTTGATGGTGTGGTGAGAACTGATCAAGCAACCCTCAAAATGAGGCCGTTGATCTTCGGCATTTCGTAAAAGGATGCAGTGATTAACGTTCAGTAGTCTACAGTCGCCACTATCTTTCAACCTCCTTTAACAAAAAGCCAGGATGCTAGAGTCAGTACCCCTTGAGAATATAAGATTACCAGCTCCCGCACGCTTTCTCCATTCACTACACAGGAAACACTTCCTCCACGAAAATATGTCCTCCAATGGCCAGAATGTCCGCGACTTTGCCCTGGGGGTTTCGATAGGAATCTTCGGCTTCTCATATTTTCTAATTTATGCGTTGCAATTTTTCATTTTCCACTTCCCCTCAACTCCGGGGGAAATCATTATCGCCTTGTCCGTGACGGGGTTTGGGATTGGGATTGCCCTTTGGTATTTGAATCTCATTTATCACCACATGATTAAGGTGTTCGAGTATGAGGATATAACGGATGAGCAGGATTCACCCCACCTTGGTCGTCTGTTTCTTCTCTGGGTTGTCACACTTCCAACAATTCCATTCTTATTCTCAGGCCAGCCACTGCTACAGATTTGGTATACATCGTCTTTGACGGGTATCACAGTGGGAAACTTACCTCGCTACCTGCTTCTTGGGCAGACTGATGACGATGACGCCCCTTTGACTGATTTCTCACTTCATATGACATCTGTCAGCCTGGTTGCATCAATGCCGACTATCCATGCACTTGCGAAACCTATCTTCACACAACACCAGTTGCAACTCGCAATTTCTTTTGGCGAATTGATGATTGGGGGTCTTCTTGGCAGAACTTTGTATCTTCTTCGGCCTCTGGAAAGAATGGGAGTTGCTCAGAACTGGCACCCGAGCCTGCATGGAATGCATCTAATTTGGACTTATAATCTCGTGTCATTCTCCAACGCGGTGCTGCAAACAGCGATCCACCATTGACACTGATTCTTTTTTACGGTGAATGTTTGGCTATTCTCTGATCCGAGCTCACCCGAACACTGGAGCAACCTGCTGTGAGACTGCTCTGGCCCTACCATAGGGAAGTACAATGCAATGCGTTCGGTATTCAAGTTAGGTAGTCTTTCTAAGTTTTCTTTCCAAGAGAGCAAGGCCTTTCTCATATTAGAATATTAAATCAAACAGACATCTCAACATGTCTTTTCAACTTTGTTCTGAGTGATTCTATGCATTTCATTGTCAGCAATTATCAAAAACATACTGCCAAAGAACAATGAAATAAACTGATAGATTGAGACTTAGTAATATATTTCTACAAAGTAAATTTCTTTACCATTTAGGTGGCACAGATCCAAGCATAATATTGGATAAAAGACTTGTTTGTGGCATCAAGACTTATAAACCAAAGTCCGATAGAAAGGTTTGGACCTTGTTTTGACTGGCGGATCGTGTCCGGTTATTATGTGAAATCTAAGATAATTTAAGCATACTTGATTGTTTTCTCTCGCTTGATCTGAGAAGAATGAAAGGTAAAGCAGAAGGTGTCAATGAATTGCAACTTGACTGAAAATAGGCTCGGCCAAATTTTCCTTGCCGGGCCGCTATGGCCTCGCATGTATAGTAAGCAGATTTCTATCCCTTCACACAGAGCTTCTTATAATGGGCAAAATAAGTCCTGATTGGTACGTTCAAGCGAGCTCCCTAGATGTCTCTTTGAAAACTCATTATCATTACAAAATCTGGACTTTGTCTCCATCTATGTGCACAAATAGGAAAGTCTATCCCCATTAATCAGTTTGCGAAAGAAACAAAACCAAGCTTTGATTCTGAATTATTCCTTCCAAAAAACGGTGTCAATATGCAGCCTACTGAGAATCGTCTATGATAGTCAAAAACTCCTCATATAGCAATCAAGAGATAAAACTCTTTTGTGAATATGCTTGTGCTACTACGTGCGGGTGCAAACCTCTTCCCTCTTTTTGAAGACTCTTCAAGACAGAGCTGGCACTATATTTATGCGTCTACTTCTCATTCTGCCGCGGAGATAGTAGGCTTGCATTATTTGACATGGTATCCATCTGCGTAAATCACACTAGTTATCCTAGGAATACAAAAGAGTATACTTAACACGAGTTAAAGGCTGATTACAGAAACTAGTTCCTGACCGGCGCACGGAAGAAATCAAGAATACTGATTCAGCATTCAAGGCATTCAATCTTTCCCAGGGACTCTGGAAAGCTCTCCTAGGAAGTTGCCAGGCACCATTCTCATATATGAATTATGATTTTCCTCTTGTACTGGTGACAATTGTCTTTCAAGCATGAATTCCGAATATGTTTTTCAGTCCCTCCTCATAATTCTGCTCTTGTTCATATCGATTTTAAGGATATTATTTCTGTGGAATTTCGACACCAATTTTTCCAATCAAAAGATTCACTTGGCTTTGGGTATCTCAACTGTGGCTTTATCCGCCACTCTAGTATGCCTTTTCTGGAGCCATAGGCTGGCATTATGGCGTCGAATTTTTCTAGGGGTCGCTTCGACACTCTCATCGTTACATGAAGTAGGTCTGAACTCTCAGGACAAATTTTATTATTGAGCTGATCTCCACCAAGCTCCTCCGTGTCAACTGCCAGCAGCAGAATAACCCGCTCGTACCGCAATTTGCTGAACAACCTTTCCTTGCATATCTCTTCATCTCTACGATTTTGAAGCTAATTAGTGCGTTTCTCGGAGCATTTCTTCTGAAAAGTACTCAACATTTGATTCTTTTCTTAATTTTCCTTGACTACTTGGGCATCACAGCTTGGTATTTGTGGCTAGGGAGGCTTGCGACGCAAACAAAAGCACTTCTGCGCGGGATTATTGCTCATGTTTCCAGTTTATCTGTTCTATTGCTCGCTGTTGCTATCCTTGGCACAGTGTCAAAGTTATGGAGCATAGCCATTGAGGTAACATCTTCATAAATGAGACTTGAAACCAAACTGATAACTTACAGATTCAACTGGTACTCAGCTCTGCGTGCACGATTTCCTTGCATTTTTTTACTTCACGTGTTCCAACCTAATTACAATGAAAGGCGACCCTATGGGAATCAATCGAGTGAGACATAATTCAAGAAGATCCACAAAGTTTGGAACTGATTATCTATGTACTTCTGGATTGCGATTATGTGATAAGAGATTTTCAAGAAATTCAAGCGGCCAGGAAGCTTTTTATACTGTCGGCAAGTTAAATGATTGAATCTTTTGCCTCTGGGTTCTAATATCCAGCAGTTTCTGTATTGACGAAGAAATAATCGATCTGTGCGTGAACCTTCTACTGTACTGTAAGATCACACTTCACTGGCTTTATTTTTTTCTCATTTTGACCCACAAACTATAGAGCATCTCAAAAATAGCAAACATGAGCATTCACATGTACCTATGCCATATTTTGTCTCCGACATCAATTATGAGATTCCAGAAGTTCGGCTTGTCGTTGGGGCGTAGGGCGAAGTCGTTGCAGCCAAATGAGCCGATCCGTGCGGCTCTCTCGGGGGCTTCTCTTGCTTTTAATCTTTTTACCCGGGTAAATTGTGCTGTTGGGTTTGAATGAGCTGGTCGCTAGCGACACGCTTGGTTCGTGCGCACCCTTCCGGAGCCTGATCCGTAGAATTGTCTTTGGCTGCTCGACGAATTTGAAGCCGACGACACTTCCATCAATCTTGCTGGAAGTGAAAGGCGATTTCTCCTTTGCATTGTATGTTCGCGAAGACGTCAAATGAGCACGTCTCAAAATAGCTGTGTCTGACTTATTTCTGCCTCCAGTACGGCGAGACTGGCTAGAGTAAGGAGCCATTTTGGTGGAAGAATGGATGCGTAGTGAGTCAAGTAAACTCAGGGATTTCAAAGCGTACTTATACTTCTTTGGCAGTGCCACTAGGCTAATGAAGGGCCAAACAGCTGAAACATGAGGTGGGTATTTTCTTATATCGCGCTTCTTCCCTGCTTCATGTACTACTGGCTCCTAACCTCAGAGACATTGGATTTTATTGATCTCAGTATCAATGAGTCAGTTCTTGCTTGGCCTGGATTGAACGTAGATTTCCGGATGTGCTATTTCTGATGGCGGCGCTTTCCAACTTTCCATACCTTGCTAACAATTTTTGTTCACGAGCGGTTTTCAGGCCATCTCTCAATAACTTCAGCAAAAATTCAATCGACAACATTCATCAATCGTGTTGGCAAATTGCTGTATGAGGGAGGCGGCTCTACTGAGGCTGCCTCACAGTGCCCGTACTCTCATCCGATGTCAAGAACTACATTGCTGAGAGCGTCTTCTTCCTAAAATTACCTCACGAGAGTCAATTGCTAGCCTCTGTGAGTAAGATCATCACCTACCACGCAGTAAAGGGAGGAGTTTTATTGGGGTTGCCTCAAGCTGCCACGCTGCCTCACGTGACATCTACACCGACATTACGGAGGGCTCCTTCCTACAACTGCCTCGCAAGAGTCAGTTGCTTGCCTCTGGTGGTAGCTCGTCACCTCTCACGCAGTCAAGGCTCGATTTTGTCCCTCCCACCCCCCTCTGTATATAGAAACTAGCATTACAATATACAGACACATTGCCTCCCTACAAGGGAGCGCGGACGGGCCTTCTCTGACGCTACAGTCTAATGCGTTTACGCATAAGACCGCGCGACAGGTGACCCGTTACGGCCAAACTATACACGTTCCTGTTCCCATCTTGACTGCGAGAGGTCACCAATAAAGTATCATTTATGCCCTCTCGCCTTGCATCTATATATAGAAACTACTACAGTACAGATGCAGACACAGTAACTCCCTATAAGGGAGCACGAACGGGCTCTTCTTGCTCCTCCTCACTGCATGAGGTCACGAATAAAAGCTCAAATATGACGAGAAGCTTGCGTCCCGGTCTTGACTTGAGTCCTACTTTGGCGGTTATAGCTGCTGGAAATTAGGCGTGTTACTAAATTCATACCAATACGACGAAAGTGTAAAATTTGCTGCTAACTCTGCAGTTTTGCTTGCTGGGTGATGGATTTTTCAATTTTTGCTTCCCACATCACATGGAGGGTCTCGGTGTAACTCATGTGCGTATTTTATCCCCAGTTATATTGCTTGCAAATGTATTCGTTTTTCCACAAAATCTATTTTCTTTGGCAGTTGAAGCTTTCTTATTCTTAATTCTTCTCCATTCTCTTAATTCTGATCTAACCATAGGTTTGGACCGACGGCTGAGAAACTCATACATCAGACTTTGCCGAAATTTGGGATAATGACAGCTTGAGGTCGCTTGAAAACCCCGACCAGTCATGGGGTGTATGCCTTGAGGTATGGTCTGAGAGACTGTGCGGGGGTGCAATGATATCCACTGACCGATGGCTATTATCTCGTGTCTCATGCAGCGATCCATCATACTGTAGCTGTGCCTGAGCCCCGCTCGATCTTTGAGGCATGCGTTGTACCTCACCCGACGTGGCATTTGAATTATCCAATCTCACGTTGGATGAACTCGTATCATCTTGGTGAGACTGAATTTTCATCTCTGAAGTGTCAAGGTAGATTGACTTGGAAAAGAAAGAACGGAAATCATTCAACACAGTGAACTCCAGTTTCAGCTTGATACTGTAAGCCACCGTCTTGAAGCTGACTTGGATGTAGTGGAGTTTGAATTCCGTGACGAGGAGCAAAATATTCATGAGCACAACCAGGATGTTGACACAGAGTAAATTGACGAGCACTTTGTGGCTCCCAGTTCTGTGCAAGTTACGACTGTCTTTCAACAACAAAACTGTGTGATAGATGTAGATACTGCAGATGACGAGATCTTGAATGCAGAAACCAATCAACTGGATTCGATCAAATATTGCAGCAGGACGAGCAAGCCCCGCCACTCCGCTGTTGAGGCCGAAGAACAACACTGTCATTGGGATATGAAGAATGAAAGCGTTCACGACAATCATCCACAACATCCATCGTGGTTTGCATTCGGCGGGGGCGAGCAGATGTACACGTGAATACAACACAACAGCTTGACCGGTCACCATGGCATACCATCCAAGTATGAATGGAATTGATGTCGGCAGATTGGATGATTGAGAAATGAATCGGGTCATGGCTGGAAGGGCATGTACAATGATTCCCCAGGAAGCGGCTTGCATACTCCAAAATAACAAGCCACAATATTTTTTGAAGAAAAAGAAAGTGAAAAAGCCGGTTTCCAGTGCACTGTAAGCACTAATGGAATACATCGACACTATCTGTATGATGCCAATGTTCTTCATGAGCAGATCTCCCACTGCAGGGGGTAGGCTAGCAACGGTTGTGTCCATGGTGTAATAAGGTTGTGACTCTAGGGGAAGAAGATGTTCATGATGAGGTGTGGCAGGACGCCGGCTCTAAATAAAAAGATATGCCAAACGCCAAAATAGGAGCGGGTAGTTATATCGTGGTATCATAGTGTCGGAGGTTCCAGCATCAAGACAGCTCTAGAACGATATGGACTTTACTAGTCCCGAACAATGGGTTGGTTTCCTGGGAGAAAATGGGTCAGCCGACATTTTTATAATATGTGAGTGAGCAAATACTGTAAATTCGCGATTTCTACCCTATGATAGGTATCCAGGAGCCAAGAAAGAAATTTCCGATACCCACCTGAAGCATGTTTCATATTAAGTCAATTGGCTAAAGTAAACATTGCGGAGACAGAATGAGAGCAAGCGCAGATCTTCTATTGTTATCTGACATCTATGGCCTAAAATAATCTCCGTAGGTTTGATATACACATTTCATATGTCTATTGATCATCCACAAGCGAGGGGCTTTTTCTATTAGTCCTTGAGAGCTGATTTCTATTAGCGAATGTTTTTGGATATGAATACAGTATTATTCAAGCCCCAGCATCCATCATACTTTCCTGAGAAAAATTAATTCCTCTGCACTCTTTCAACGACCCCTTGTGCTAAAATCTACGTGGTCAAAATACTGCAGAATAAAGCCTGGGATGAGCAAGGGTCCGGGAACCATGGTTCCAGCCGAAGACAGAGCCCGGATATCAAATCTTGGCTTTCGTTAGGCTCCTTAAAGCTATACCTGAAAACAGCGAGTGACGAGGTACTTTTGCAAATATGGCCTATAGGTCTGATGATACTATATTTACCTTATTACGTAAAGAGAGCCAAACAGTGGTCTAGGGCGTTGACTCAGTTGCGTGTCGATTTCCATCCAGTCACTGAATCAGCCCTCTAGTTAAGCACTGGCAGTAGAAAAGAGTCAACCAGGGCGGCTAGTAAAAGTACTACTGAATATACGGCAAAATTCTACGAAGCATGCCTACAGCATAGCCTACCCTGGAATATCGATCGGCGTATATTCACTTTCACCGAGAACTGGGTATTCCTTGAATCTTGTCAGACAGATCTACCCACTGTCAAGACTGATCATCTAGACTTCAGGTTCCATTTCCACACCTTACCAATATTTCACGTTGTATTGATCTGGATGTTACCCTGCGCATCAGCCTCTGTGAATGGATCGTACCAAGGCCATTATGGATCGTGCTCCATCCAGCTTAAAGTACCAACAAGAGCTTATTGGTTGTGTCAAACAAGCTAACCCTAGAGTCCACACCGCGGTGCTTCAAAAATCAATGGGTGACCGCCCCTGTCGTTCCACTGTGCTCAGTGGCAAAGCCATTGCAGGGTTCTGGGCCTCTATGGACTAGATCCCCATGGGCGGAGAACCCTTGTACGGTTGCTGAGGAAATCAGCCCTCTTTGTGCCCTCACTTCAACTTCTTCGGCCGGTCAATATGTCGGCGACGCTTTCATGGTAATTAGAGATATTCGGTCACGCTGTTTTGAATCTTCCTGATTTAATTTAACGACCGTCTCGAAACAGACTCTTCATTGGGAAAGGTTGCGAGTTGGATGTTAGAGGTAAATTCTCAATCTTTGAATGCGTTTCTTTAATTGGTAAGAATGAAGACAGATAATTGAGTGGAAACTGGGTAGTCAATCACAGATCTAAGATGTGGGGGTCTGGCGATCATGTAGATACCCCACAGCTAAGGCAATCATTTCCCTTTCCTGCGTCTCCACTTATGTACACCCCGCAGATCCTGGTGTGTATTGAATACTCATGATACTGATTTGAGTGCCATCAAAATCATCTCGAGGGGCAAGATTCTGCGTTTCGCGCTATTTTGCGCCTGCTTTCTTAGGCCCCACCCAGACCTTTATAACATGGTATCCCACAAAGTCTGCAATCATTGAGATTCTCCTCCTTTCTATTCTGAATAATTTTCCAACGAACAAAGATATACTCGCAATGGCAAAAGTTCCCAAACTTTCCCGAAGTCGCACTGAGCAGCATGCGAGTCGGCCGAAATCGCGCGCCTGCAGATCCGGAAACTCGTCGAATCGCTCGATCCGGTCGAAAGTCTCAGGATCTGACACTGACTCTGGCTCGTTAAGCCCAGCGACAAGCAAGATGTCCGACGTAAGCTAAACTCTGTCATTTCAGTCCCCGTTCCTGCCATATACCATGGCAATCCCTATCCTCATATGCTGTTTTGCTTCCATGATTGGCCTTAGACTAACACAATTTTAGACACATTCCTTGAAACATTCTGTGAGGCGACGTCGGAAGTCTTCCCATCGGGAGTGTTTCAAAGTTCTAGCCGATTATGAAGAGCAGGTTGAAAGAATTCTTGCCGAGAGAGAAGAAGGCAGAGCAGCTACTTCCCGGATCATTCAAGAGCTCCACACTGAGAAGGCTCGAGAGATGTCCAACGTACACAAAGCTAATGCCGAAAAGAACTCTGCAGTCGCTGAAGTTGAGCGGCTTAAGAAGGAGACTTCGCAGCTGCGGCAGCAGCTGGAGTCTACAAACACCACGTTGCAGGACCAAGTGGCATGGGACGATATACAGCCAGTCTTGCACCAGACACACGGAGAACTGATCTCCGCTACGTCTTGTTTCGCGAATTTGATCGATAGTCTTCAGAACAAACGACTGGCATCCTTCTTGCCTAGCACCGGGGTGTTCCATGGCAATTGGGCCACCACCGCTGGTCCTTCGGAACCCACCGACCCTAGCGCGCTTCCCGGGTTTTCCGGATCAAGCAACCCGCCGCTGTTTGACCCACAAGCCCTAACCTCGACCAATGAGTATGGGTCATTTGTTTAAGATCGATCGACGATCTCCCGGGGGAGGATATCGTAACCATACAAGGAAGTCTTCGCATGTCCTTTCAGATTATTAATTCATTTGCTGCGGCCTCATTTCTACCATAGTATGAGCGATAACTTCAGGTTCATTTGGTCAATAAACTCAAAGTGCGTCTTTTTTCACTACCGAATAGTGCCGATTGAAGGGCATTCCAAGTAGTACTTTTGTCCTACTTCAATTCCATGGCTCCGTAGCTTCATACGGTTCGGGCGTGCCCCTTCGTTTCCTGGGGAACCGTCTCTGCCTGCTTCTCAGCTTCCCCGCTTTAGGGTCTTTTTGCATGACACTATGAAGCATTCAGTTGAACCACGGAAAGCTAGTAGTTAGACTGCAATTTTCTATCCACTTCAGTCTTATTGGAACGATGTAATCACGGAACCAAAATCTTTCTCTCCGACTTCCGATTCCACCCCGAAAATAAATATTGTTCTAGAACGGGTCGCATTGTCAAGGATACAGTTACAGTTGAATGGGCTTGTACGTTTTTTCGATCCTAGAACATTCCGCGGTGAGGCCTAAAAATTTTTCATTTAACCAAAGCCCCATAACCAATCAAGATGCGACAGGGGACGGTCAATAATCGAAAGGATAGCAATGACATCACGTCCGAGATCGGAGCAATTACACTTTATCGATTGCGAACATATCTAGACTTTGGCAAGCAGTAATTGGAGATAGGGAGAACCATCACGCTACATTTCAAATTCATCTAATAGACATCAGGAGTAGGAGAAGTCTTCCCCCTAGTAGCCAGCCGAAAATGACGTCTTCCTCTTTGATGGCATGGTCGGCCACAGAAGATGAGTATCCCGAAATCAAAGCGCCACAACCATTATACACATTCTGAAGACTTGGGACTTGATGGTTGCTCAAAAGGTATTATCTTACTATTGGCTAATCTATTCTCGACCTTGCAGACTTTTTCCGGACCATCGAATCTTTCATTCGAGTCTCCATGGTGGCGAGCCGGCTCAGGGCATCTTCCAGGTCATGCCGAGTCATCTCATTCCAAGCAACCTGTCGGTTAACAGAATTTGCTAAGGATCTGTAGAGTAAAAATCAGCATTGTTTCCACCCTCTTTATCGTAAAATGTACTGACTTCATTCGGCTATCCAGACTTGATCAACATATTAGTAAAAGAACAACTATTTTCAGTCTCCGTACTCACTCGGATACACATTTCAGTGCAATAATGCTATTTTGTGTGGACTTTTTGGGCTCGCCCTCGAATGCAGTCTGGGCTTGACTTGTCTCATTCTTAGATTTCATCTCCCACGGTCGCCAATGGTAACCCTCCCGATTGTCGGCCTCAACACCAACTTTTCTGCGTCCGATAGCTCCATTGTTGTCGGAAGACAACGCATGCCGGGCGGAATGATTCATTTTTGGTCTTTGGCTCCTGGTTTCGTTGCTCGATTCGGAAGATGACAGAGATAATGCACGTTTCAGTCTGCTTCGGAAGGCGTGCGGTCCATCGACAAGTGACATTCTTCGACGAGAAGGCATATTTGGAGTTTGGATATTCCAACTTATTCTGAACTGTTTCGTTTAATCGGAGTTTTGAATAAAGGAAGAAAATTGAAAAGTTCGGGGCATGCTAAATACACGACCGAGCCCGGAGCGGACGGACGATCTGAGGTGGCGGAGAGATCCTGCCCTACTGGTGTCCATATCCGGAGATCTGATCGAATTAGCCTCCACCATTTTAGCCTCTCACTGGCAACCAGTTTCCAGTTATTGTATTGGAATTAACACATCTGCGATAATGGAGTCACGTAGGCTGGACCAGTCTACAATTCACTCGTATTGATGAACAGATACTATAGGGAAATTGGCAGACGCTGACCAAGAAAGGAGCTAATCGCCATAGCATGAAAGGTGAATCTCAATGCTTAGTCGTGACGCCAAGTGGCGTTATGAGCGAAGAATGGCTTTGTGTGATCCAAAGACATTTTTTCAAGCTCTCAACATGTTGCATTCGCTTTTTCGGTGAGCTTTTCGGGAAACAAATCATGCCTTTTAGTTGAGCATCGTTGGATAACATCAAAAATGCCGTAAATAAATGAGGATTCACGGTAGTAGAACAGAACCACGGATCGCCTCAGTCTGGCCATGTTTCTCAATGGTTACATTGGATTATCACATCACCGGCAATTTCCAGGCATAACCAGTGATTCCCAGGAATCAGTCAAGTATTTTGGGTAGGGTTGCCTCTAGAAACTGTCATCTCGCGACAATTATTTCAGGTGCCAAAGTTTAAAGCTCACCACGCCCACTTTCTGTGCGTTGCAAATTCCTGCAGAAGTCTCACAAGTCATATTTTCATTCACCACCGCTCCTTTTTTTTCTTAAGATGTCTCAGCACAGCTCGCTAGGCTGGTCAGAATGGGAGGAGGATAATCTTCTCCCTTGGCTGCATGCAAACCGAGCTCTGTCTTGGGACGCTCGTGCTGCCGCTTATAATGAGCAATATGGGACTAGCCGAACAGTCGAATCACTACGGGGGAAGAAATATCACATTCTTCGAAAACGCCGTCTCAACCGTGCCAAGGTATCTAGGCAGCGCTCAATTCCAAAACGTCAGAAACGTATTCGACGGCTTGGGGGTGCCAGGAAGAAATTCCCAGCGTTCACAGATACCAAGGCTCAAAATATCGACCAGTGGCTTCAGAGAATTCCCTCACCAGAGTCCACCACTTCGGAGAACAGTTTCGCCATGGAAAAGTCACATTCTGGTACGCAGCCATTTCCTTTGTTGGCTCTTCTTGCTAATTTGATCTGTCATAGTTTACACTACACCAGTTCCGCATGATCCTCAACCGCAAGAACCCCAGTCTAGGTCCTGGCTTTGGGACTATGTACACCGTGTCTGTGGAACCAGTGGGCTGCTTCTTCACCGAGAGTGACAACTGGATGGCGGAATTGAGGGTGAATTCAAAGCGATAGTATACTTGGTAAAGATATTTATCAGGGCAGCTTTGGTTTGCAAGTTCAACACAATTGCTGTGGCTGTACGGCGGCAGGATCTATTTGATATCAGGAATCGCGGAATCTTTGCTTGTGTGCCTAATAGATATACTCATTTGGACATACATTAACATACGAGCTTAGTTTTATAAGAGGGGACTGCCAAGGAGTAAATTTGGAAACAGGACCCCCCCTTACCGGGGAATGGGTGGGGTACTTTTTGGAAAGCGGCAATTCGGATCATCATCTGGTATGAGGATCGCTTAATCATAGCTCTCTCTTTTTTGATAGGTTGCAAGCTTTCTGTTCTCAATGAGAAGACTTCGGGATATAAGCGGGAAAAGGTTGTAAGGGAGTGAAGGGGAACAAGGTTTTACCAACACGCCCAATCTTTGGCCTCGGGCTTGAGTCCCAATGTCAACCTCGGGGATCTGGCATAGATTGAGTTTCACTTTACTCCACATATAATAGCACCCTGTGGGTCGGTAATTGTCCAGATTAGGTACGTTACATGTACAGTACCTCTGAACAAAAGAACTTAGTTTTTGTCGAAGGGAGAGTGTCGGTGAAAGCAATCCTTCAGTCACGAATATGATCAACCACAGCTCATTAAATTTCCTTTCCATGGACCTTCAGACCAAGAATTTTTCACGGCATAGGATGCTGACACATGGAAGTTTGAATCACCCCTTAAATTGAGTATTTTAGACTTGCCATCTCTAAATCTCTCGCAACCCTATGTGATCACTATATAAAGCTTCTCTTTTACTTCCTGGCAGATTTCGAATAAGGAAGGAGAGCAGTGGTATTGAACAGAAGAACAGAAGCCACTTTGTCGGAATCCCGAAGTATGTATGCAAAGAACTAACATTATTAGAAATCATCTTTGTCTTCTCGCTAAACGTAGCCTCATTTTCCCTTTAGAAGAACAATATTCATACATCTGAGCTACAGCACTAGGCATATACTGGAACCCTCAAATACCGATCCTTTACCAGATTCGTTAGGTTACATGTGCCCTTCAACAAAGGATGTGATTCATATCGAATGGAACGTGCCGACGCAAGCAATTCTTTCGCAGCCATACACTACTGTACAGTAGCACTATTCGGGATTTAGTTTGTTTCCTGCGGTACATTTTGACCCGGGCGTTCACCAAAACACCCAGGTACGCAACCAGTAACCACCGAAGAGAATCTACATAGACTTGCTCGGCATGAGTATGTACCTGATTTATTGACTAGCGTTCATCTGCGAAGAAACCCGCTTTTTTTTAAATTGCTGAGTCAAAAGTGATTCGTGGGAAGCAAGCATCCCTTTCATGTGCTCCATTTCCTCTTTCAGCATTTCAACATCAACTGCGAGATTTCTCCGCAGGAGACGCTTAGTAGCGTTTCTGTCTGGTCCTCTGCATGGTGCTGTCAGTTTGAAGCTCGCCTAACAGGGGACGATCCAAAGCGCACTTACTTGAGTGGGCTGGCATGTCTGAAAAGTATTAGTTAGAGATAATCAGAACAGGACGCATGATTGGAGATGTTTGCTTACTGCGCGGATGCATAATTCATATGTTGACACTCGCCGCATTTCGAGCCATCGACTGCCTTTGGTTCGCGGACGCGTTTCGATGAGATGACCTTGTTGCATGGACGCCGATTTTGGAGGTCTTTCAGTATTTTCAGGGCCTGCTCCATATGTTCGCGAGGCTGATGATCAAGATTTCGGTCAAGAGTGTCTGTCAAAGGCATTTTTTTCCTTCGTTCTCAAAGGCCCGAGAGATGGGTGGAAATACTATTAAGAATCAGGGGGGGGCAAGAGGGTGAGGAAGATTATATAATGTCTGCAATAAAGTTCAACCAACGGACTTGATTGTAAAGTTTTCATGATCCATGGATATTAGTTTTGTGGAATTAAGCTAAACACGGTACGATGGAACGCGACTCTGGGCTATAACGTTGAATGATTTCAACCGTCATCGACATACAGTACCACCCGTGACTGCTGAGAAGTGTTGAAATGATATGATTTGCAGGCGCGTTGAAAAATTAAATCACCAGCTTGACGACATAACATATTCCAATCTCTCCGATACTTCTTCCTTCTGGACGCCAGATGGAATGGATTGGTCATACAGTACTGAATCCAGCAAAAGAGTTGCATAGAAAGCATACCACGCGCTGACTCGAAGCTTGACTCATTCCGCCACGAATGCTTCAAGATACCCAACAAGCTTGGAACCACTTCAGCTCCAACGCCTTTCCACAAGATATCAATTCTCGCTAGACTATGCACAGCTAGCGCCCCCACAATTCCCGACGTGAACTTCGGCCAATTTCACGTGATCGCTCGAAGGAGAAAGGTATCTCAGCAAACATTGATGAGGGAAATGATTTGTCACGCATCGCATCATGCCGACCACGGCTCCAGGTGGATCCAGCCACCCCACCCGCTCTCCACTCCAAAATCTTGAAATTTCTTATTTCAACGTTGATAAACCGCCTCAACACCCTGCAAAATTAGGGTCGCCCGGTGCGAATATGAAGTCAAATTCTCTGGGTCCGGCAAAATGTACGCAAGTGGTCGCTGTCGCAAAACGTACCCGAAATGGCATAAAAGACGCTCTTTTCCCGTCAAAATGAAGAACAGGACTTTCCTCCTCACACTCCGGGCCTCGCAGCCTTCGAGTGTCTTTTACAGGTAAGATCTGCGTTACCAAGTACTCTTCGCAGGACGGGCTCTGCGTCAACAAGTGTGCCTCGCAGGACGGGCTCTGCGTTATCAAGTGTGCCTCGCGGGACGGGCTCCGCGTCAACAAGTGTGCCTCGCAGGACGGGCTCTGCGTTATCAAGTGTGCCTCGCAGGACGGGCTCTGCGTTATCAAGTGTGCCTCGCGGGACGGGCTCTGCGTTATCAAGTGTGCCTCGCGGGACGGGCTCCGCGTCAACAAGTGTGCCTCGCAGGACGGGCTCTGCGTTATCAAGTGTGCCTCGCGGGACGGGCTCCACGTTATCAAGTGTGCCTCGCAGGACGGGCTCTGCGTTATCAAGTGTGCCTCGCGGGACGGGCTCCGCGTCAACAAGTGTGCCTCGCAGGACGGGCTCTGCGTTATCAAGTGTGCCTCGCAGGACGGGCTCTGCGTTATCAAGTGTGCCTCGCGGGACGGGCTCTGCGTTATCAAGTGTGCCTCGCGGGACGGGCTCCGCGTCAACAAGTGTGCCTCGCAGGACGGGCTCTGCGTTATCAAGTGTGCCTCGCAGGACGGGCTCTGCGTTATCAAGTGTGCCTCGCGGGACGGGCTCTGCGTTATCAAGTGTGCCTCGCGGGACGGGCTCCGCGTCAACAAGTGTGCCTCGCAGGACGGGCTCTGCGTTATCAAGTGTGCCTCGCGGGACGGGCTCCACGTTATCAAGTGTGCCTCGCAGGACGGGCTCTGCGTTATCAAGTGTGCCTCGCGGGACGGGCTCCGCGTCAACAAGTGTGCCTCGCAGGACGGGCTCTGCGTTATCAAGTGTGCCTCGCAGGACGGGCTCTGCGTTATCAAGTGTGCCTCGCGGGACGGGCTCTGCGTTATCAAGTGTGCCTCGCGGGACGGGCTCCGCGTCAACAAGTGTGCCTCGCAGGACGGGCTCTGCGTTATCAAGTGTGCCTCGCGGGACGGGCTCCACGTTATCAAGTGTGCCTCGCAGGGGGACGCTGCGTTACCAAGGGAGACCCGCAGGAGAGTGCTGCGTCAACAAGTTCTCCCTCGCAGTGATGAGCCCTGTGATTGTATAATCTTGAGCTTCCATGCAGCCTTGAGCCCTGCGTTATCAAATTTGCGCTCATTAGGCGACCCGTGGCGCCGCGGTCCTCGTCCTGATCCTCTGGCGATTGCAGGCACCTCTTCGTGGTGTCAGAGACTAGTATTCGGGGGAGTCCTCGAAAAAGCCAAGACCTACTCCAAAGAATCAATAGAATCGAGAATCCTCTAGAGGGGCTTTGTGTATGCGCACTTCAAGATTTAATCTACTGTAGACTCCATCATGCGTAGCCACGATAAGCGCAGTGTGCTTTTTAGCCTTCGATCACCCTCTGATATTCGAGGATAGGCATCTTCTTCCACGTAGCGTGGAGTAGAGCATCCAGTCATGGACCGGCTGGCGTCGCGGTGTATGATAGCCTGACCATTCTTGGCATTAATTGAAATCGAAAGTAGTTGTCATTGTATGAATGCTTGTCTCTGCTGGCTGGCAGTAGCAGCGGGATTGTCCGGATGTAGGGAGGCGCGAGTGTTGTGGACATCTAGGATGGTGCGTGTTAAGGGTACCACGGGTGAGGGAGAAGATGCGGGTGGAGGTTGAAGGTGATTGAAGGTGATTAACGGTGATTGACGGTGATGGACGGTGATGGACGGTGTGTTGATAGTGAGGGCCAAAGGTGAGTGAAACTTGAGAGTGAGAGCTGGTGATAACGAGGCCGGACCAGTGGGTCCCTCTGTTGATGTGCGGGTGACTCCCGGGGCGGTGAAGTGGTGGCCAACGGTACTCATCGCCGTCAGAGTGGGGATCTTTGTTCCTTCACGAATGCAAAAGTTGATAAACAGTGCGAAATAATGATTTGTAAATATTAGACTCGATATGGTAGTACATACTCAAGCCGCTCTGCTTTATGAAATTCTCTCGGCTCGAGCTTCATCGCGTATGCTTTGGCGATATTCCGTACTGTACAATATTTGACATAGTGTCGCTATATGCTGAGTTGATACAGTACCTGCAAGATATATATACCCAGACCAATCCTAGTATATACATTACCGGCAATCGAAACGGCAACGAACCACCAGAATAACAGCGACAGAAAGCCTAATTCTTCTAAACAAATCTTCGTGTCGGTCTGATCGGACGAAAGATACTTGTGGGGCTCAAAATGCTGGTCTAGCTGGGTGCGTCCAGAAACGACTGATTATTTGGGAAATGGTGTCTATAATTAAGTATAACTGATTTTTGTTGACTGAGGGTGGGGTAGACTTGCCGTGATGCAGCCTGGAATCAGTATAGAAAAACCAGGGATGAGGCAGCAGGCTCAGCTTGGTCACACGTGGAGGGCCTGGGATCACTTCGTTTCACGGGGAATGGATGTAGCCGTACCTGCCAATGCACGATTCTGGGCAAATCTTCAACTATGTCAGAGCAACGTACCACCAGACAAGAGATCCATGGTGTTTTGTTTGCGACAAACGTCGGCCTGACCGGAAAATGACTGGTCTCATGGTGAGGGATCTATTATAGATCCAAGCCATGGGCTGTCATCGCTTGCTCAGCTGCAATGAGGGATTGAAATATCTGGCCTTTAGACTGTTGCCAATAGCCCGTTTGAATTGCCGATTTGTGTTCCTCGGGGAGATAGTTGTTCTTTTCTGTGGTCGATTCTTGGCTTTTCTTCGTTGTTGCAGATGCTCCGATGGCTCGCTCGGTCAACAGTGAGGCTGGCTCATGGCTACCGACAAGCCTTCGGATTGGACGTGGGCAGGATATTTATAGCCGTCGAAATATTGCCAAAAACTAGTACATTGAGTGTCAACTTTTTTTTGGACAGGGTAATGCCGAAAAGAGGAATGAAAATACTTGACATTTTATCGCATGGCGAAGCAGAGGGTATCAAGCTTTTCTGAAATGGGCCGCTAATAAGCCAGGTGAAGTGGCCGTGCCAACCACGTCTTCAGAGACAGCAAAGGCGCAAGCGTAGTAAAATACAGTGGCTTCGCCCATCAGATTGTTGCAGCTGGTTGAGTTTCGAGGAGGAGGGGGAACATAGCTCTGTCAGGTTGTCAGGTCTAGTGTAAAAGAGTCATCAGCGATCTTTGCTGAGGAACAGAGAGCCACGAACGGATAGTAATCCCACGGATATCAAAATGCAGTACCAGGCGTTGGGAATGGGCAGGGGCAAAGCCCAAGCGTAAATTACGATTCATTGAGTGACTTGCAATATGAAGCTTGCCATCCTATATGGAGGGTCGTTAGCACATGATATCTGCCTTCAGAATCGCTGCAAAATTTGCAACTTACATTCTCAGATATTGCTGTCGGCTGCAAGGGACTGTATAAAGGATGACATCAATTTATCATCAATCATCAATCATCAGTAAGCAGTAAGCAGTAAGCAGTTCATGAAGGCAACTTGGAACTCACTGTGCTCACAACTTGGACCATTCAGAATCTTGAAAGGTTCGTTCAATGGGTGCTCAGCGGAATAGCGGAGGCAGGACTAACATTAAGCATCTTTGGCGTTAGCATGATTTCAAATGACTGGGCAGCTACACTCACTGTTCGAAAACCTGATATCGAGAAAGGTTAAGCTTTTGCAATGTATGAGGTCAGCTCAATTCATTGCATGATTTGGAGGTTAATCCATACCAAAGAGTAGCCGCAGAGACGAGCTACGTTCGATGTTCTTTCACCCAGGGCGACAAAGGAATGCTTGCGAACGACTGTTCAGCCGGCGAGGGATCGGGTATTTATAGCAATCCAGCCAGGCATTCGGTCTATGTCAATGAGACGATGATTGTGAATTGTGAGGGCTCAAATATAAAATACTCTTCAATGATCACTGGCTCAACATTTCATCATTGATTCAAAGCAGCTCTCAGAGACCTTGCATTTGCGCCCGGTGATCCAGAATGTGAAAACAATTTTCTAACCGCTCTCATCGTTTAAACAGTCGTAAGGATAACGCAGACAATAATCGATGACGATTATCAACATTCACCACCGTCCGTCCCTCTTTTATTGCGACGGCGAGGTGACGAGGTCATGCAATTTCATTTAACTCATCGGTGACGAGCCGGTTAGTCTCCACAACAGCAACTCACCAAAGGCAGACAGACCGCAGGGTTCTTCGTTACCTACCTCGCATATCGGAGAAAATGCATCACACCTACACAACATCAAGTAGATAGAAGCTATAGTGGGGCGTGGGACTGATCCATACATCCCCGTCTCACAACAGAGTCTCTTGTTTATAAGTCAGAATACAGGTTACAGTGATATTCGAAATCAGATTTACCTCTACACTCTTAGACTTTCATTCCCGGAGCCTAGCTTGAAACACGCTAGTCTAATTTTAGCCTTTCCCGCAGGAGCCCCTGTCAGGCTGTATTGTTTTACCTGGTAACAAAAGATGGGCCTTTGTTATAATACCGTAATTTGCCTTAGAATTTGATCGAATATTTCAATGCCAAGAGACTAAACAAAGGGGGAATCCTAACAATCTGGCAAGATCCCTATCTTTGTCTCAAGATAGCCTTCGCTTACGCTCCTTTGACATCTAACAGAAGGCTGCAGTGTCTACATAGAGAACTAAATCTGGTAGGCAAATATGCTTTTTGTTTCTGTGGCTACTGTTATTCACTGCGATTTTCATTGGTCGCCATTGTCGATTGAAAGCTGGTACCTCTAAGAAGCTGACAGACCTGTCAAGGAATACCGTAATATGTCAAGATGACACAGAGCCCAAATTACGATAATTTAATCTCACAGCCCGAAGCGCCCGAACTACGGGAATACAACTCGCAATACGCTCCAACTACTGGATACTATGGTAGTCCCAACGAAACGTGATCCAACTACAGTCCTTCCCCATCGGTTCTCGAGAACCAGTTGCAATCTGATGCTCTTAAGCTGCTCAGACTGTCTGAATAGGAGGAATAAAGAGTAAGGTCGTGAATATCATCGAACTGAGCAGGACACGGTATTCTTCACATTCAAGGTAGCTACTGCGGCCGCTCGCCCCCTAAATATTCCGGAGGGCTCTAGACAGCCCGGTCCAGAGCAGGCATACCTTAGGTCAGAATGAGATACACACACACACACAATTCATTAACGCCCGGCGGCTCAGCCGAAAGGGCAACTATCAGTAATCTACCAGTACATGCATGTTTGGGTATACGCCGTGTCTCCTTGGAGCCCATACAGAGTTTCTTTCCGAATCTGACATCTTAACTTCCAATCTCATAGCTGGGTCCTGTGGATTAGTATTGGTTGGTAGACTGGCTTGAAGGCGCTTCTTCAAGTGTTCAACATCCTATCCTCGGCAGTTGAAGCGCGTCTACCGTCTGTCACAAGGTGTTGGGGTTAGTAGGGGAAGGTGTTCTATCTGCGTTCGTCGGCAAGGTTAAGTGGCTTCAAGCCGGCCCGTAGCGATCGCGAACCGTATTGAGGCTCGCACTGCTTCCAAATTCGGCTTCCACTTTTGATCGTCGGAGGGTGACTTCCCTCCCAAGAAGAAGGATATGTTACCTCGGTGAGTGTGGGTGCATTGCAGCATTTCCGTCCGGTGCGCGGTCCACTTCCGACATCGAAACAGAAAGTGATCCACCGTCTCTCTTGCTTTTCCACATACACATTGGTCTGTCTCGGCAGCATTGATTCGAAAGAGATATCCATTGAGTCTTGCCATACCCGTGCGGAGCTGGGCCAACACGCTCGCTTCTTTCCACGATAATCGGTCATACAGCTGTCGCGTGTGTTCCCCCGGAAGTGCGGTATCCACTCGTCTGGAATGTCTTCCTATGTTCTCAGGTAGCTTCCTGCTGGGGATTGCTTGGGCACGCGCAATCTTCAGAGTCGTCGATTTCATTTTGGGGACCTGTGCTTGCAAGATAGCATTTTCTTGCGTCGCGGCTCTCGCGTGCTCTTTCGCCATCCCTAGTAGTTTGTTGTCTTCGCTAGTGGGGACCCACCGGACGCTGATCTGATTTCTATGCCTCTGCAATCTGGTCATCAGCTTGTAGCTTTGGCAGACAAATTCCTGACCCGACTGTTGTCGCGGGTTCTTCAATGTAAGAGCCGCCGCTTTGTTGCTCGTGATCAGCGTGATCCTAAAGTCTTTCAATCCCACGAGTGTCTTCAGTGTATGCGCCACCGCCGCCAGCTCCGCGGAAAATGGATTTTGCTCTGTTCTCGCGCTCAACATGACGGACAAGGTCTTCAGTCTCACTTTGCGATAGCGGGGTGGTTGTTTCTCGATCGCCACTCCAAACCCGACCAGTTCATTCCGCGCCGAGCTGCTGAGCGCGATCTGCATTGATCCGCCTGGTATAGTTGACCCCTCTGAGATGGGCTCATCATCAGTCCGCACGCGTGCTTCCCATGGTGCCAGTGTAAACGGGTTGATGGTTTCCAGTGATTCCATGTCGATGTTTTTCAGCGCGTCCGCTACTTGATATAGTGGTGAGCGGTGGTATCTCCTGAACTTCCGGATCCGATCTGTGTTTCTGCGAAGAGGATTGGTCTCTGGTAGTGTGTGGATGTCTGCCCACATCTTCACGGCTCGTCTCCAGAATCGGTGTCGTGCCGTGGCAATGTGGGCCTCGGCCTCCGCTATGCTGGTCGCAACTGTGAGGAATGTCCCCACAATTGCTTGTGCACCTACCCTTTGCACTCGGTTGATCGGTCCGATGTTCTTGTTCTTGAATGCGTGCATCCAGACATTAGACGCGTAGTCCACTACCGGAGCCACGGTCGCTGTGAAGAGCTGCCGTGCTGTGGCTGGGGAGAGGCCTCGGAGCCGTCGAAGCTCCATCGCGGCCTCCAGGCCCTTAGATGCTGCCCTTGCCAAGTACTGATTTGTATTCCTTAGCTAAGCAAGCCTAATAATACATTGTAGAGGTGGCAGCATGTCTACCTACATAGACCCTCCACCTTACGTCCCCTTCGATCCTTTTCCGCATCCTTCGCGGGGCACAGCCGGGTCCGCAAGTTTGCACCTTAAGCCTACTTCCATAGCCGCCCTAAAGACTCCATCCTCGATGGCCATCTTCGGAATCCTATTCTCTCAGTAGACCGACACGCGCGTCCGTCCTCTCGAGCCATATAGAAAGTGTCGTATCTGCAGTCCGCCCACCCAGCCTTCCGTCGCTTCCATTATATGCTGCGCCCCGCAGATTGTCAAATCCGTTTCGCGCTACCTTGCAAGATCTCTCTGGCAAGGCCGACCGTGTCTCGCAGGAGTTCGCCCAGTTGTATCCTCTCTGTACCCAGAACAGCCAAGCAACACAGTGTTGTCCCTCCTACTAACCAAAGTACCTCGTCGTTCTCTGTGTGGGTTCAAGCATGCTGGATCCTGCCATATCGTTCGTGTTTTGTTTTTGACTTCGTCGTTTCTGTGATCTTTGACCCAGCGATATCCTCCTTTCAACAGAGCAGCCCGAGAGCACCCCAAGGGTGTCCTATCCCACGACCCTAGTGTCCACTGATTGTAGGATCGGTTTCGCAGTCGTGTGTCGGGTGGTTTTCAAATTGTTCCCTTGTCGCCTGTGCGTGGGGTCAGGACCCCCTGACCCCTGAGCTCTCGCTCTAGCAGCAGCCCTAGCCAGCGGACAGTGCTGGCTGGTGTGACTCTTCTCAGCTCTGCTAATGCCATCGGGCAAGGCATTCGCAGGTTCCCAGCCGGCACCACGGGGAGGTGAGAGTCGTCGCCGGCCAGGAAACTTACAATTAGGGTAGATATGTTACGTAATGCCCCAAGAGGAAAACTGAATCCCCGGCTCTGGCATTCTGCAACCACGTGAAAACACAGCAGAGCGACAGACATCCAACCTGTTACCTGATGAATCTTGCAGCAAGTACGCCAGGTGATACCCAGAAGGTCAGCAAGGTAACCGAGGTGAGTGGCCGAGAGGGGAAAAATAAGGTTGATAAGAGCCAGCTCTCCAGCTCGGCGGCCAGCTTGGGCGACGGAGTGTGTATGGAAGAAAACCAGAGTGATATTGACCAGAGTGTAGGCAGAGTATATGAAAACATTCATCCGGGACCAGGGGCCCCAAATACGATGCCTGTGGATGAGAGCAGGAAGTGTGAGGTGCCGAGAGATCAGAACAGAGCAGGACTCGATCCAGCCAATCATAGTGGTTCGGGTCTGGATTAAGAAGAGAGCTAAAAAGCAACCTCCAACGGCGATCGCATAAATGGATGACACATTCATCCTCAGCGGGGTCTTCAATCACGATGGACCTGGAAGATCGGCATATGAGGGGAGAGTGGACCTTTTTAAATGAAAGCCATTAGCCACGGCATCGTCATGTCCCTATCAGCGATACCTTGCAGCAAAAAGAAAGCATCAGGAACATGAAGCAGAACACTTCAGAGAGCCTCGACTACGTGTTTCAGTGTCACAATTTTCAGCTACTGCAGACATCAAAATTAATGAGCTGCCGTTGAGAGTGCTAGGAAGAGAGTGCGTCAGGTAATGAAGGTTATTCAAAACTCACAAATATGTCCCTTCGAACTCTGAATCAAACAATCAGGATCTTCAAGAGCCGATAATGAAATGGAAATGCCATAGAAATGAGGATTTTCTTTCCTTCTGTTCGATATATTGTGAGCCTCTTGGCTATTCTCAGCGATTCTGAGCGCACGACTGTATCTCCCACAATGACAAGTACATGCATAGCTAGCATTGAAAGGGTGCTGCATGGAAACATTCATTTAAATATGGAGGCCCATAACAAGCAGTATAAATAAAGCGGTGAATTGGAAGGGTGAGTGCAGTAAGTTCAACGGACGTTCGAAGAGAGTCCGCATTGTGTGTGCTCAAGCGGAGGCTGGGGTTCGGCTTGGCATTCTTGAACGTGCGAGTTGAGTGGCGGAATCCACACCCCTTGCTTCATAACCGTATTTAATACCTCTCACTGGCTAGGTTGACACTTGAACATGTGTAGCATGTCTATAGGCCGAATAAGTGCAGTCTGCTTCTGCATTTCTAGTCTCGGCATATACAAAAGTGTAGTTTTCACCCAGTCTAACTTCGTAAGAGGGCCACTCATTGCTCAATACTGATGGGGACAATATCATGATAGCACATAAATAGAAAGTTATATTTTCCCTGCTTCTTCCACATCATTCATCTTGAAAATACGTCTTTTTGATCCTTCACAGCTCTAGGAACGGGCTCGTGACTCGAGGAAGCGCGACTTAGATCCTGGGAATCAGATCGGAGGCATGCCGAATCACGGCATTGCTCCTCAGCCAGGGTATAAGTATTCAACGTGCAGTCATATCTACTACCATAATATCCCATCGGACTCTCGATTGGCATACACCCGCAAAGTAGCCTGCGAAATGACCCCCGACAGATATGTCTCATCCACGGCCCTCGCCGCTGGTTGCCGTTCCAGGTGCTACCGTAAGTCTACTATGCACAATAGAAATATTCCTACTAATTCTGAATAGCTTTTCTTGAAAATCCAAGACCACACCAAGCAAAAACACGCTTCTATCTTTTATATTGCGAAATTGAGGAGCAGGTCTCGCTACTTGAAAATCGTGAACGGAGTCTCATTTCTGAACTCGAACGTCTGCGCAATTATTCATGGACCTTGTATCATGAGTACAATAAAGGCAATGGGAGAGCTGGAGCAGTACAAGATGCACCAGTGATCTGGGCACGGATATTAAGAGACTATTCATTGCGTCGTGAATAATGCCCTATTTGATGGCCATGAGGCACTGGCAAGACGAATCCCAGTTCTTCTCTCGAATTCAATCTTCTTCCAGAATCAATATAAGTTTTTGATATACTACAAGCATAGCCCCATTCTCGTCCTCAGAGGAGTCAAGTATCCATGCGCGTTTTGCACCCTTCGTAGTGGCCCCGTTCTCTTTGAGGTATAATCTGGTGGCTTGGAGACCCTTGGATTGAGCACTACCAGTATAGATCAACCATTCAAGGGGCGAGCAGTACTGTATATTCCATCCAGAGAATTAGCCTTGGCACTATTCTTCAGCGGAATTCTAGTTGCCGTCGCTGACTAATATTTCCAAAGACCGAGTCCAATGGCTGCATTCTGATGTATCGGCTTTATGGAACGAATGGGCCACGAGAATACGGGACCATATCGCTGGGAGGGTCAATCCAAACATTCAACGCCAACTGTACGATCTAGGTTCGCGACCCAGCCTATGGCTTCCTCTGACCTACCACTCGATTGGGGCTTTCGCCGGTAAGACGTCAAGGTATACGAGATTCAGTATGTATACGTTCCACTTACTTATAAAAATCTCAAAAATAGATCACCCCCAAGAAACACACCCTTTGTTTGCAAAACCTACTCAAGTATATTCCTAGACAAAGAATGCTGAAATTTTTTTTGGCTTGAAAGACCTAGCCTTTTATCAATACATTTCAAATTTGCGATTACTAGGCTATCGTATGCCATGCCTGGATTACCTCCATGAGCCAGCACGTGCAGCAAGGCTCTGCAGAAGCGAAACTATCTCGATGCTCCCCCTTTTTCTAGCTTGGTCCAGGGGAGATACACCATCATTATCTGGAATCTCAGGCTCCAGATCCGTCAGTTGCGCCAGTTGAAGGACCAGTCTTTTGTTGCCAGTGTTTGCTGCGTGCCACAGTATCGAGCGGCCCTTCTGGTCTCGCTCATTTACAAGAGACTTCATACTTGAAAGTAAAAGATCTATGATCTCGTCTCTCTAGGGGCCCAGGCCGTCGTATGACATGGTGGCTAGGAGAAGTGCACTATTCCCCATGGAGTCCAGATGGTTGACGTCAATGTGCTCATGATTTAAGAGAATTTGTATTGCAACGGGGTCGTCGTATATGACAGCCAGATGGAGTGCGGTGTACCCTCGGTCATTTTGAATGTTGATATTGAGTCGCAGGTCTTTCAGAAGGATCCTTAAGACCTCGTGTTGTTGATATTCGAGGGCTATCAGGATCGGAGGTTGAGATTTTGGACTTCGACCATTTATATCTGTATCATATCGACGAAGTAGCTTTTGAACGGTTGGTAGTTCTCCTTGCATGATAGCAAAGGATAGGGCGGCTTGTGCCCATTGTTTGGGGTAAGAGACATCTAGAGACTTGCCGCATGGCAATAGACCAACAAGACGAGAGGCTTTTTGGAGCGCTGATCTCATCAGACGAATTAGCTGCCTTTGGTCGTACTTAGGCTTGAATGAGTGGAGATGACTCACGAACGAAATGTGGGGGGCCCGCCATGTTCTAGTAAAGGATGGGATTATCGCGCTATTTTTTCGCTGGATGATTTGTATCTCAACAAAGGAGATCTCGTTGTTGTATCATGCGACAATTAAATCAGCACAAAGACATTCAAGGTGATATTTATAGTGAGATTTCATTCCGAGCATCTTTGACCTTGAGAATATTTGATCTGCATTCACATATTTTCACATATGAACTCCCATAGTTGGTTTGCTCCAATTTTCAGCTTTACTTGAAGCTCATCCAATTACAACATGGATCGCTGTAGTTCCCAGAAGAGATCGATTCCGCGGAGCAAGCAATTGGCTCCCAGGAATGAAGCTGTCATGGGCTAATGTATCCGTAGGTGCGGATGGTGTTTTTCGAAGCATTAACCGCCAAAAGTAGGGAACCACAAGCTGACCATAGACGCAAGACTTAGCGCGAGGCAACAGAAAAGTATTTAGCTTCTTCTTGTTGAGAGTAGCAAAGATGAGCTATGTGGGACCGTGCCCTGCACAAGTCGTGTATACTCAATGCCAGTCCTCGACACATTTTTAGCAGAGTTCCCAGGAACTTGGTGTGAATAGTTCATTGCGCGAGCTCAAACCCGGTGGCAAGGCAAATATTCTTAACGCAAAGAATGACGACTCTCCTCCTCCTTGGATACACTAAGGCTCCCCTGGCTTTGAACTAAGCGTCGCCGTATTTAACGATCTTTATTTCGCAATCGGGACCCTCTTCTCACCGTGACACGTTGTTTCAATGTCTTTTGTCATGACTACCGAAATATATTTCCAAGCACTGCTAATTACAATGCTTCTATTTGCTTTGATAGCCAGGCTGCTCCTCTTATGGGTCTTCGGAGATGATTGGCCATTTCATAAGACGGACTTGGCCCTATACGTCTTATCCTTTCTCCTGTCCGCTGTATTGACAGGGCTTTTCTGGAGCGAGAAGAAATCGATATGGATTCAAATTCTCCTTGGAATTCTTTCAACAATTCCTTCTATGCAAAATGTTCGTTATAGCTTGAGAAAGCCAGTTCTACGCTGATTCTGGCCTAGTTTCTCCGCATCGACCTCCAGCAGCTCAATAATCCATTCATAAATCGATCGACACGTGTCGTATTCAGAATCTATGCTTTGACATCAACGGTCTTGAAGATAGTATTCATATTTATTGGAATATTCATGCTGGGTGATATTCATTTCACCACTCCCTTCCTGCTTTTCCTGGATCATCTCAGTGAAATGGCTTGGTGTCTGTGGTTAGTAAAATGCGCCACGCAGGGCCGGAAGAAGCTGCATTTTATCTTGACCCATTTATCAAACATGGGTGCTATATTGCTAGGAGTCGCTATCTTTGGTGCGATTTCAAGAAAATGGGACATTGCACTTGAGGTGATTTTCCATCATCTAAGCTTACATTATGGGAGAGCTGACATAGTTTAGATCCAGCTCATCATATGTACTATGCGGGCGATATACAGCCAGGCTATTACGTAAAGTGCAATGAATGGCTTTATGTAAATTGGCTGCGCCAAAATAGGTCATTTCGAAGGATCAGAAATTCAAATTGCCAATGATGAATCAATCATATCATTGGCTCCAATGAAAAGGGGTCTTAAGTGAAGAAGGGGGTGAAATGGCTGTAAATTTCGGTTGTGACTTTTTCATGTAGGCTAGATTTACACTACATAAAATGATTGTATACTAAGGGGCCTGTTGAGTACAGTACTTTAAATAAAGCGCTAGTCCTGGAATTCAAGTTCATTTGCCCAGGGAATCATTAGTTACGGTTTACCACTTACCAATACCAATGCCGGAACTTGCCATTACGCTATATTTGGTGAATCACCAGGAATACGTGAAGAAAAGATGGCGGGGCACTCATTGGCCTAATGCGGTCTAGCGCGGTATGAGTGGGGCACCGGGAAAGAAGACGTGTGTGTGCCGAGCGGGCGCTAGCGGCACCCATCCGCGGGGCCTCCCGAGCCCCTTCCAACCAAGAACAGGCGACGGCCGGCAGAACCGTTGAACCCGGAGATCATGTCAAAGATTCTTGGCGTCATGATGGATACGAGACTCAGATACAAGGAACACATCGTGAGGGCAGCGTCCAAGGGACGCGAGGCGGCGATGGAGCTTCGGCGGCTTCGGGGCCTATCCCCGCCAACAGCGCGGCAGCTATTCACCTCGACGGTGGCCCCGGGGTGGACTATGCCTCCAGTGTCTGGATGCACGCTTTCAAGAATGAGAACATCGGTACTTGCGCGGAAGAACGGTGAGTCAGAACGACGGAACTCGCTCATGCAGTCCGCCCGAAATCACAGCCTGCTTTGTTTTTTTCGAGTTCGCTCTGCGGATTAATTTTTACATTTTGCTCGTCTCAAATGAGAATGGCGAAACCACTTTTGCGGAGTCGATTTGACATGCCCGCCAAAGTCAGCAACCGGCGGTATTGAAATTGACGGTCATCGCGGATTTGCCGCACTAGACGTATCCTACGAGGGCGTAGAATACACGTGCCACGCCCACACGGGAGAGTAACATCACCGGCAACGTTTGAAGTCAACAAGCACATCTTCCCCACCATGCGTCACAAACTGGCCTGGCATCTTTCGAGTAACAATTGGGCCATTGTGACCGTCGCGGCAATAGACTGGCCGTACTTGCGAGGCTGCTTCTGCCAGCGAGTCCATGCTACTCGGTAGTGAAATCGAGGAGGTATTCGGTCGGGTTGCGGTTCCATTGAGCATAGCATCGGGGGGAAACAGCGAACTTCATTTTAGCGACTTGACAACATGGTTAGTTGGCTTCCAAATTATTCTAGTGCAGCACGGTTCCTGGTGACTGAAGGTGGTACAGACCTGCCCGTCAATGAAGTCTGGCATCGAGCATAGGCAAATCAAAGACGATGTAGCAGGCGTTAGCTCGATAACACGTCAGAAGGCCCGGAATCACTCCGTATCGCGGGAGATGGATGTTGGCGATGTTGGCAATATCTGCCAATGCATAGCCGTTTCGTATTTGCTGTTCGTGCGCCAGGCAAATCTTCAACGTGTCAGGACAAAGTGCCACTGGAGGAGAGAGTCATGGTATTTGGTCTAGGGTAAATTAGGAACTGGCCTGAATCGAATGCTCTCGTGGCGAGAAATCTGGGGTAGATCTAGTGTTGCGGGTTGGCTTGTCGCTTGCTCAGATACCACTGGGGCTTCATAGCGCTGGCTCTTAGCTGGTGATTGGTAACTTGACGCATCACTGGCTAATTCTGCTTTTATATAAACCCTAAAAACCGTGATATCTCTCGGTTGCCGTCCATGCTATGCTTCTCTTTGCTGTCGCCGGGGCTGCGATGGCTCACTTGGTCTAGCATGGGATCGGGTCATAGCTGCCGACAACCCTTCGGATCTGACGTGGGACGAGGGGTTCATAGCCGCCCTAATAGGATAAGCCCCTAATGCAGTGTCAGTTAAGTTCCGATCGGACAAGTAATGCCGGAGATGAAAACACTCGGAATATTACCATATGGCTAATCAGAGGGCATCGAGCCCTCCTGGACCGGGTCCACTAGATACGTCGAGCGAACGGCCGTTTCAACCAAGTGTGTCGAAGCAACGAAGGCGCAAGTATTCTCGCAGTGGCTTGGCCCATCAAACTGGTATACCTGGCTGGTGCACCTGGCTTAGTTTCAAGGACGACGGGGAATACGGCTAAGTAGTATCGAGGGCAATATTGACATTCGCCCTATGACGAGAAAGAGACATCAGCGATATTTTCCGAAGAACAGAGAGCCACAAACAAATAGACTCCGCACTGAGGCTTTAAATGCAGTCTCAGGCATTGGGAATAGGCAGTGGCAACGCATGGGGCAACTTACAAGACATGGGCAGGCTCATTTAAAACAATCGCTTTCCTAACAGAGAGTGATCAGCACAGGCTAACTACTCTCGAAACTGCCGGAGTGATTGAAACATACTTTGCCAGCTACTGCTGCGTGTGGCGTTCTAGTTCGATCAAGTCGACTTGGTGGTGGCTGATTTCGATCTATGATAAACCATCAGTAGGTAGCTTATGGGGGCCTTTCGTTACTCACTGTCTTCGCAACATGAGTTGATTATCGAGACCATTCCAGGTCCGTTGATTGAATCCCCAGAGGAACAGCCGAGACGGAACTGATATTCGACATTTTCCATGTTAGCATGGTCTCAAATGATCGGGTCACTAAACTTACCTGCCGTTTACAGATTTCAGTGTCGAGCATAATCAGACTAGGAGCAATACAACAGGTCAGTTAGATCACAAGTACATCACAGTTCGGGGTCTGGTCAGTCCGTACTGGAGGAGAGTAGCTGGCGAGGTCGAGAAATTTTCGATATTCTTTGCTCAAGATGACAAGGGAATGCTTGAGAACGACCATTCTGGTGGCGAGAGTTCCGGTACTTATAGCCTTGCATCCAACCCTTACTCTCGAGTCGATGTAACAATCCTTGCGAATTGTGAGGGTCTCAACACCGCTGACCCTCAGATTTCAGCTGGTTCAACATTTAACCATTGATCAGATGCAGTATTAGGAGGCACTGCGGCTTTTTCTTGATAATTGAGTATATCAAAAACCATACCTCACTGTTGGCACCGTTTCAACACTCCCGGCGGTCCTCACAAAAGCGCCGATGACGTGTTTCAGTATTCATCAACATGGGTTTGTACTTTATCGCTACCAGAGGTGGCACAACAACGGCCACCTCATTCAAATATGTTCACTGATAATGGGCAGTGTTTCGCCGATCAAAACGTTGAATGATGTTTGCGTCGTCGTTGTCGTCGTCTTTTCTTTCCCTTTTGTTAGGGTTTCACGCTAGGTCGAGGTCTGACTTGCATGTATGTGAGTGCCTATACGCAGTGCCGGATCTGCCCATTTTGACAGCTCTTTTTTTCTGATTGTTTTCTGCTATCGCTACGGAGCAGAACTGTGCTATCTGCATTGTTTTTTGATATTGCTATTTGCTTCTTCAAGACCCGCAAAGTACCTCCTTCGCTCAGTTTTATTCCTGAGCAATAGACGAGGCTCCAATCTTATTATTGTTCGGGTATGATGTTTTGGTGCACTTTGCCAGCCCAGTCAAGCCATTGTCGGAGCAAATATCCCACGATCCGGAAACTGTTTTCGGGGCTACTTTTGACCCGAAGATGTGTTCGTATCCCGCGAGATAATCATACGGGGAAATCGGCTCGAGTTTGAAGTACTGACTAGTGCTGACTAGTGCTCAATCGAATCATTGAGTTTAGTAGTTGAGACAAGACCTATTGCAAAGTGCTAACCGATACTATTATAGACAAAGCGCCTCTCCATGGTCGAAGAAATATGGGTAATCTGTCATCGTATTATGTGGCCCCTATTAGTATCAGGGCTTCAAAAGACTAAGAGCATCTCAAGAAGTTCATCTCAGAACGAGAACTCTACAGGTCTCTCATTCCGGTCTTTCTCCCAGGTACGAATCATTCATATGTAGACTGATCGGTTCCACACCCACGATTGTCAAGGTTGCTTCATCTGGTCACTGCCCCAGCTACAACTCGTGAAGCTATTGAAATCAGCTGCTTCTCCTTACCAAAGCTTCCGTTGGCTGCGAGATGGTCCTCTTCGTGCGCGGAAATCAAGAAAATGGCATTGCTGCCATCGGCTTTGGCTGCACGGTAACAGTGACCTGGACAGAGGCTGTGTAAGTTCACATCATAGAGTGATAGCCTTTGCATGAGTACTTTCGTGCGACCCGCTCCACATGTGAGGTATCCGATCGGTTTATGAGGAGACAGTCTGATTGATTCCACTCACCTCGCTCGAGTGACCAGAATTTGGCTTCAATTTACTGTCCGAGTAGTTGGTCTGGTACATCTTGCATCAGAGGCTGGGGATTGTTGGTTAGACAACTCTGTGTTTGTATGTGTATTGCTTGCGCTGGCTGGTCACCAGAGGCTGGCAGTCACCAAATTTGTATAATATCTGGTCAATACCCTTCCCCGGGCGGAGGCCGACGATGAAGCAGATTGAGCTTTTCGTTGAGACGCTCGCTCTCCATCCCTCTTTCCAACCGTCCTTGCTCCTCAGGGGCCCTCCACAGGCCATCAAGGAAGTCCTGAAGACTTCTAGTTCTTCCGGCCTAGAGGGACTGCATGCTACTGGCAGACTGTCCGTCCCTAAAGAATATCTGGCTCTGCTCCTCTCCAGTTAGGGGCCTTGTTCATCCAGGGAAGCCCAGCAGGCCACTATCTGCATTCTGAAGGGCTATCGTGCTATACTGTAGTAGGGCGCTCGTGTCCGCGACATGAATCAAGGTTCGGGATAGCCGATCAACGACGATAACTTCATGTTAGATTTTGGCTTAGAGCAAACCATATGGCTGATAGGGATCTCGGAGAGAGAGAGTCGAGTTTCCGAATAATCAGAAGATGCTGCAGTGGTTGCAACCTGCACGCCCCTCGAATGTCAGCGCCAAACCCCTTTGGGAAAGGTTTGCCGTGGGGCGGGCTCTTGTGAGTTTGGGTATGCTCGGTTTGTCCACTGCCTTGGCACTCCCTTTTCGGGCAGTTGTGATTCATATCTTCCCATACAGAGCTTTCCTTGCTGTCTTTGCTGTCGTGGGTCGAATACAGGAAAGAGAGGCGGACCAAGAAATTTGGGGCTCAGCAACAACCATGCAACCTTTGCTATCGGTGCTAGAATATACGTGGCCAATTCTATTAGAGAGATCTTACTACAGCGTTATTACCATAAAACTGGATTTTTAACTAATTGGGGCTGTGTCAAGGATACGGGCCAGCCAATGCCGCCTTTTACGGAGTCCTGGTCGAATCCGTTCCATGACGATCCGCCAAAAGGATTTCCAAGAACATAATATTCCTCAATCCTGGTGGAGGGGCTGAAGGGCCTAGAGTTTGCTGAATTGAAGGCAGGGGGAAAGGACAAGGGAAACAGGAGGAGAAAGAGGTAGTAAAGGGAATCTGTCATTGCTGTACTTTTTGAGGCGGTCATGGCGTGACGGCTTTCGTATCTCGCAGAGAAGCACGGCCTGCTACCGGAAACTCAATCTCAAGGGCGACCAATTAGAACCACTAAACAGGCTATTTTGGTCCTCTCTAACGCGATTGACCGAGTGTAGTATACACACGGAGTTTTGACCTTAGCAGCTTTTAACTTGAAATGTGCCTTCATTGGAGTCCAGAAAGTGAGCCTGAATACCCACCTATGTGCAGGGAAAATCCCAGTCGTGGCCAGAAAATGAATTATGCGCTTCATGACTAACCGGCATGCTAGCATTGGATTCAAAGATCTCCGAACCGAGGTCACGCTTCTGGCAAATGCGGCACGAGCACAGGGTCCACCCCTCTCGTCTATTCTATTTCTACTCTTCAACTATGACCTAGTCAACCAACCCGTAACCTTCCACGGCGGCGCAGTGCGTTGCTAGAGCATCTCGATCAACACTGCAAGATTTTGGCGTGCGTACAGTCCTGAATGGGCAGTTTTTCAGGACATGTGAATGAAAGAAGTCGTCAATTAATATGTTCTCTCCATGGAATGGAAGCGAAACCCAACTGAATCTGAGTGTAAAACGGTGGTACAAACCGTCTCCGTGTTTTCACATAAATCGATATAGTTGCCTCAAACCTGGATACTCCACGCCAGGCATTGTATCAATGCTGCTACCACCTTGAGAGCCTGCTAAATGAGAATGATCAGCTTGTTTCCATTTCATCGACAGAATAGCCATTGCGTCACTGTGGTCGTCTACGTAAGAATTGTCTTGCACTAACACGTCGCTTCTCGACCCCTATCTGAGAAAACACTAGTCTGGATTGGGGTACAGTAGGACTGACCACTGCCCAAGTGCTTGGCGTCGTATAATGTAGAAAACTCTGGCGCTCAATGAGTGATCGTTACGTTACTGCTTAGGATATCCTAAATATGGTTCCCGAATGGCTGGCGATCTGTGGATCTAATCCTCCCACTTTAGTTGACACAATTCCCTCCACAGGTTCGATGGTGTATAGATGTGAACGACAGCGACCGTGAAGTCTATACATCACGAGCCTTGGTCAACTCGCTTACGGGCGCCGAATCCCCGCTCAGATAAACCCTTTCTTCTGGGGGAAAGAGGGGAAGCTTTCCGTAATACCGTCTATGTGATGGGACGCTAGGATATGATATCGTACTCTCCTTATTATAGACAGGAAAGCTGGTAGCAACGTTCACATGGTTCATGCTGTTTGTGGCTAGTGGTGCTCGTATTGTCCAGGCAGCATTGTGGTCCGTGCTGTCCTTGGTTGTATACCCGACCCATGTTCCCTTCCCTTGATATATAAAAAGATGGCAAAGGAATCTCCTCAAATATAACCTGACCTTTTCTCAATTAATCAACAGCCAGGATGTCCAGCAACATCGACCATCTCACTATCACTGCTCCGGAAGAGCACTTCGAGCCTCTCATCGAGTGGTATAAGAAGGCTCTCTCTCCCCTAGGTTATAAAGAAATCATGCGTTTCCCAAATATTGTCGGACTGGGCAGCGAGATCCCCGACTTCTGGGTCGCCCAGAAGGAGACACATATCCCGTCGGGGTTCCATTTTGCCTTCACTGCTCCTAGTACGGTGACCTCTCCTAGACATTCCTCCTATGGACGGCTTTCTTGCCAAGACCCCAAGATATTTGGATTCATGAACTGACCCGAGATAGACCGTGCTGCTGTTGATGCGTTTCACACAGCTGCTATCGATGCTGGGGGCACCTGCAATGGCAAGCCTGGGTTGAGACCAGAGTATCATGAGAATTACTACGGGGCTTTCGTTTTGGATTTATTGGGGAACAATGTGGAGCTTGTAAGTCCAGGTACCTTACTTCCGCATCTTCCTGGCTCATCTGGGGTTCTAGGTTGCCCATTCGCCTGAAGGCCAGAATGAATAATGCTCTTGCGGAGTGGAGGGTTTGGTCGTGACACTATATAGTTGGAAAAAGAATGGATTGGTGTTTCTCGTCAATTTGCCCAGGATAACCAACCGGCTACTACGTGTTTATTTCCATATTAAGTTTAAAAAATGACATGACCTGGATGCAGACACCACTTTAGAAGAACGTGATGGGTCCGAATATTAGGTCACTTGTAGCTTGATGCACTGCAGTAAGTGAGGTATTGTGACTCAAAATCCAAGGAACTGTGAAGATCTTTTTTTTTAAAAAAAGAAAACTTGCGATTTAGCGCTTTACTCTTTGTCATTCTGGTGAGCGGGCGTTCTGGGCTAGCTTTTAGACACGAGAACTCTAGTAATGCCGAAGGTTGTTGTTGCTATCATCAGGAACCCAAACTGCTCGCGGTAATGGCCGCTCTCGTTGGTATGATTGGAGGATCGGTTGCACTATCTTGGATGGCTCTCGCCATCCGGACCATCACACTAATATGCTCTAGGCCAAGGGTTCACTGGTGCTCAGTGACTGACTTGGACTAGAAGCTGTCCGCTCCCCCTCTCCGCCTAGGTAAAACATAACTGGGAGGGAGATCCTAGTACTGTAATGCACAATTTACCGTACGTAGTAGCATGGTTCCTCGATTCCCTGAAAGGACTTAGCGTGTGTAAGGTCTGTTAGGCAAGGGTACGGTTGAGAACAGATTGTTGGCGTTGAAAGCACAGCGACCTAAAGCAACTACAACCCAGAATCCTTCCAAAATAACGATGACTATTTAGCAACGCATAACACCAACCTTCAACGTGATGATTCGTGGGTCGTCGGGTACCCGCACAAGCGACTGTGACCTGACGTTGTCCGCAATCTAGACGAACAGACCAACAGCTCAAAACAATCAACCGTCAAGGGAGGTTAAGACAACAATGCTATATACTGATTCAACTACAGGGCTCGTTGGTAATTCAACTTTGGGTAATTAACTGATGCGATGGTCGAAACGCGAAATCTAATTACCTCTCAATATACCCCAAAGCCTCTATGTAGAAGACTGTGGAGGATCTGATCGTCGGCCGATAGTCCTTAACCGAGTAAGCATCGCTTTTTAAACACGATTCTCAATCGTGACTCTCAGTGGGCATCAAATGTTCCATGCAGGTTTCCTGGAACCGCAGGCGGTGGTCATGGACGTCGACGAACCTCCAGATTCAAGTGGCGCAGAATGCGCAGCGTCAGCCTCTGGTGAAGTCCATAGGGAAGCCGTGATACTCGAAGGAATTGCATGTAGAGTGGATCAGGCATACGAAGCGCTGTGGCACGCTCGGATAGAGTATTTGAACTCGGGCGGCCTGAGGGCAGTCCTCTGGCACACTGGCACTTCGTACCGACCGCTGGCGCAGGCGCAACTGGTGGCAACGCCGCAGCGCCTATGTCTGCACTAGTTGAGAAATTTTGAAATGACCCATTCGGATATTATGAAAATGCCATTAGCAAGTAATCCTGTTGCGAGTATTTGTTTCTAAGTGGGGAGAGGCGATGAGATCGCACTAAGGCCGGAAGGAAAGCCGGATCTTCGTGCGAGTTACCGACCCGTGGTTGAAAGCTCCGACCAATCAGCCGCTATGTACTTTCCAAGTTTTGAATGTTTTTGCTGTCACACTTACATATGTATGCGCTCACGACTGTACCCTTTTGTTGGAAAACAAAAGGGCGTTATATTTTATCTAACTTCACATAATCGCTCTATAATATGGATCGAGTTAGAAGAAACTACCGAACGCGTCAACTGATGGAGCGGTTGCGAGAGCAAGAGGATGAAAACGATTACTTCGGCTTTGATCCTGTTGCTCCATTGGCGGACAAAAGATACAAGCCGCACCAGGAAACTGGAAATCATTCAACCCCACAAATGCAGGATATCGCGGGGCATTTGTCTACAAGCTTATGTCTCAAGGAGCCGGAATCTCGTGACTTACCAATGAGACTGAGTCCGGAGTTCTACCATCCTGATAATGCTTTTCAATGCCAAAATGAAGAGAAAGGCTGCACCACACCGGACTTTTGGGGATTCGACCCCGCCATTCCTTCCAAACAAGCACCTATCCCCTCGGAGAAAACTTGGACTGAACCCGGGTTTAAAGTAGAAAAGCCTGCTGGAAAGACAACGGACAATGTGGTACAAATATTTCAGATCCCTATTGGATTTGAACTATTTGAAAAGAACCGCGGAAAGCCGCCTGTGGCACGCAGCAAACCCAATCATGCACTCTCACCAAATAGGCAGCCTTAATGAAAGCGGAATTTCAGACATTTGCAATTCGAACGACACCTTTACAGCATACGTTACCTCGTGTTTTCTTTTTAAAACCAGCTTGATTTCGCGGCAACGATGTCTCGATGAATGGGAAGAAAAGCCAAACAGCAACAACTACCGTTTTCGTGAAGCATGTGGATAACAGTTTAATGGGATTTGCACAAAATTCGTGTCAAACTCAGCAACGAGAAGCATTTCTGGGGCCTCCATGTCGAGACATCCATTTCATGCGATCTACATAGCGAAAATCAAGCTCTAGCTGAATCGTTGTGCTACGATCTGCCATGACCTTCCACACTAAAACTAGCCACCGACCACAGTAGATCTCCAATAAACCGAGGATTTACTGCAAGGCACGGCAACGTAATGCGTTCTTCTAAGAGAGGAACCCCTGCGATGAGGGCTCTCGAGTCCTCTATTTATGAAGTATTGCAGCTCCTAACGCAATGCCCGGCACTGAAAACCAAACTCCAGAATCAGGAACAAGAAAGTGCGCTGTGGCACGCCATCACCCATGAAACTTGTTGCAGGCTACTTTGCAAATCAGCTCTCTCCTGAGCCCAGCCATGTCTTTCCTAACTTACCCCCGTGCGAAATGCTTTCCTGCGATGAACTGTTCACGATCCAAGAGATATCCATATTCGCAGTCAAAGTAGTTCGATAATTTAGAAAGTTGTTCTTACTACAGTTCCTTGAAAGTAGACACAAAAGGGCTTCAAGATTACATATTCATTCATTGGCTTCAATAGTGTCACACATAACCTCCTTCCAATCACAAGTCGCACATAGGGCAATACCACGCTTCGAACCCACGCGGAGTAGGCCTCTTGAACCATCCGACGAGAAATTCTTCGGCTTCGACCCAGTTTTGGCCCCGAGGCTATCATCACCAAATGATCCTCAGAAGGCAGAGGTAGAGAACTCGGTTGAGCTCACTAATTCATCTCAAGATAGCTCGACTTTTCTAGCACCCAAGGAAATGTTTCATGAGCAACATAAGATTGATTCGGCTTCTTTGGATCACATGAATACTTGATAACCCTCCCCCCGGCAAAATATTTCTTAATCTTTAGCGCCCGTATATAACCTTCTGTCATCTGTTTTACATATTTTCACTCACTTTCACAGGCTCTATTTGTATCAAGAGATACAAACATTCAGCCACAATGGTCGGAGCGAATACAAGACAGTCCAAGGTTTTCTATCAGGGCCAGACTGAGGACTTCGTCATATTTGTTGCAGACATAGTCACCGCGCAGAAATGGAAGACAGATCATTCAATCCCGCTTGAGCAGGTGATGGATGTGTGGAAGATATACTCTTCGCATCAGTAGGTACCCGCTCCTGAATGCTCGTATATTGCTCGATGTCAAAGAATATATATTGGCGCAGTCAACAAATTTTGGCCTTGTCGGCAAAAAATCCCTATAGGCGCAAAGCTACCTGCTAACGATACCTTGCAATTTTACTAGACATGGATCTCAATGGATGCATAATGAAGCCAGCAGGGCCACTCTTACGCATGAGTTCGGGACATCCAATGATCGGGAGGTCATCTTCCATATCTTGGAGAAAGGCGAACTTCAGGAGGGTACCGTGCGTAACAACCTCTCTCTTCGCCTGATCTCTTCAGGAGCCCTGTCAGATCAGTCATTATCCCATATTACATAGGATCTCAACACAAAGCCATTTTCTTTGAGACGAGTTCTAACCATCCTACTACATGCAGGCCTCTGAACGACAAGGAGTTAGGAACGAATCACAAGGATCACGAGGCATTCATTAGAGTTCAGGTGAAGACAGATCATTGTGTGGCCCCTTATCCTCCTCTTATTATCGAGACTCTTATTCGCACTTTATTACGACCCATTCAATAACCCCGCCAGCAGCATAATCTTATCTTCGCACATTTTGAGAACATGGATCTGAGATTGATTATCCTAATGACCATAGTATCGAATGAAATTGTAACCGTATCTACATAATCACTGATGAGGGTGCATCAGTGCTTCATCCCAGTAGTCAATAATCAACACATTGCCCCCCAATCTTCCGAAGTAGTGAAATTAAGCTGGTATGGGTCTCAGGAGCCGTTGTTTCTTTGGGAACAGCAGGCTTTGATTTGACAAATTTACCCGATAATGACCGACAATCAGAATTGAGGAAGATAAAGACTTGGCTGGCATGTAACGTATTTGACATCTTAGCATATTGAAGACTGTGCTCGTTCCTCAGGGTCAACTTCACTAGTTAGGAAAGAGGCAAATATTTCAGAAAGTATGCGCAGAATATTTTCATACTGTTCAAGGGTCAAATTGGATTAACGACCGTACTGGGCCTAATTTCTCACCTTTGTTATCACCGTAGCTTCGTCATCAGGTATTTCAAACTTCATGTTCCGAAGTGCCGTCCAGGTAGTGGCGGTGTATTCTTTGACTTTTGCCCATTTATGGCCCTGAGAAATGATCCATTGGCTCTCATCATGAAAACGCATAAAAGCCTTCATCATATACTCGGTTTTCCAGAGAGGGCAAAATTGGTCATAATCACTATAGCCGTTCTGCTGTAGGAAATCTTCTTCAACCATTGAAGCCACACTAAGTGTAATTTTGTCGTGGTCATTAAGTGCAGTCTTGCCGACCAGTTGCACGAGCTGTTTCAAAGCTTCTGAGCTTGATAGAAGCTTTTTCATCTTGTCCCTTAGCTGTGGGAACCCAGGGTGGTACTTCTCATAGTGCGGTTCTAAGACTGCTGAGTATTTACTGTAAGATAAGGAGATGTTGATGGAAGGAAAGTGTTTCCTCTGCGCGAGCTTTTTGTCCAGACCCCAAAACACCTGAACAATACCAAGGGTGCAGCTAGTGACGGGGTCTGAAAAATCCCCACCGGGAGGGCTCACTGAACCAATAATACTGATGCTACCCGTCCTTTTCGCACTGCCGATAACCAGAGCTCGCCCTGCACGTTCATAGAAGGAAGCCAGCTTGGAACCTAGGTAGGCAGGGAACCCTTGGTCTGCAGGCATTTCCCCAAGGCGACCAGAAATCTCACGTAAAGCTTCGGCCCAGCGAGAGGTAGAATCCGCCATTAGCGTTACATTTTTGCCTTGATCCCGGAAATACTCCGAGATAGTAATACCGGTATAGATTGAAGCCTCGCGGGCGGCGACAGGCATGTTGGAGGTGTTAGCTACCAGGCAAGTTCGTCTCATTATAGACTCCATCTTTCCATCCTTGCTTATAGACAGCTTTGCTTCGAATTAGAATAGTAATTCTCGAGGTCCGGTACGGCATTCTTAACATACCCGAGGAAACTCCATCAAGACCTCTGTCATTTCGTTACCACGCTCACCACATCCAACATAGACAATGACATCGCTGTTTGAGAATTTGGAAATGCTTTGGCTGATGACTGTCTTGCCGCTTCCGAACGCACCAGGGATACATACCGTGCCGCCCTGTGCGCATGGGAAGAGAGCATCGAGGACTCTCTGTCCGGTGAAAAAAGGGGAATTGCAGCACAAACTTTCCGTGACGGGTCGAGGAACGCGTACCGGCCAAACATGCATCATGCTATACTCGACTTCGTTGCCATCGAATTCGATTGCCAAAAGCTTCTCGATAACCGTGTAGCTACCCGCCTCCGCTATTCGCGTGATTCTTCCCCTTGCACGCGGAGGAAGCATAATCTTATGGTCATCAAGTAAATTATTCTCGAATACATTTCCCCAGATATCACCGCCGGTGATGTGATCCCCAACTTTGAATGTTCCCGGCTTGAAGTCCCAAGTCTTTTCGCGGTTGAGTGCAGGAACGTCAATCCCACGTGGGATATAAATACTTTTTGTCAGGCATGAAATAGCCTCCAGAGGCCTTTGAGTTCCGTCGTAAATAGTACCCATCAGTCCAGGCCCAAGTTCGACAGTCAGAGGCTCTCCTGTGCCGGTTACAGGGTCACCAACTGCTACACCACCTGCCGGTCCGGTCATATGACGTCAGCAGCGGAAAGTGGGTAACGAACGGATAAAAACGTACTTGTTTCCTCGTAGATCTGTATGGTAACTTTATCGTGCTCTATTTTAATGATTTCCCCCACTAACGAGTCGTACCCTACCCGACACTGTAGAAAAGTTAGTCAAAAAATTCTTAGCATGTTGGACTCATAATCACTTACAAGTTCGTACATACAGCTGCCTCGCATATTCTCTGCAATAATAATTGGTCCTGAAATAGAGAATACTGAGCCGGTTTGGCCATTTTCCTTGTATAACTGTTCAACCCTCGACGCCATCGCATATGTTTTCGTAAGTACCGGAAGTTGTGGTACGTAAGGTATTTTGTGAAAACTTGTAAAAATGCGGTCGCAGATGCGTCGGAGAATATCAATACATCAAGTTGGCGGCGACTCGAGGGCGTTTCGTTGGCTGTGGCTTGCTTATATACCAGGTACAGAACGGCACCAAATGAAGAATCGTGAAGTTGATTATTGCAAATTGACTGCGGTTAGGCGCTGCCATTTATACTGAAGGTTTCAAATATTGGTATTGCGCGAAATCATTAATTACTTGTGCGGCTGTGCCACCCACCCACACCGCTCCCACGCACTCATTGTGGGCGGCTAGTTACATCATCATGACTGTAGTCGTTACCTTGACACTATCTTCTAGCTTTTCCTGACGATCTGAATCTTTAGGTTGGGAAATTTATCTAGGCATGTTTAAAAACACATGGCGGCTAATTAGTCGCTCCATCAATGATGCTTGCGCCGCTAGGGTCGACAGATGCTTCGACCGCCCAACAGCAGGTTTAATATCTTCTCACAAGCAGCTTTGTTCGTACGCTACTAACGCCAAACCATCCGCTGAAGCCTCTTCGATGCTTCAGCAGAGGATACACGACATTAAGGAGACATCTGACCTTCCAGAGGAAGGCCGAGTCTTGTCTGTCAGTGACGGTATAGTTCGTGCACATGGATTGACTAACATTCAAGCTGAAGAGCTTGTCGAATTTGCCTCCGGTGTGAAGGGTATGTGCATGAACCTAGAAGCTGCTCGTGTCGGTATCGTCCTTTTTGGTTCGGATCGCCTCGTCAAACAGGGCGAGATTGTCAAGCGAACTGGTGAGATTGTCGATATTCCTGTTGGCCCTGAGATGCTAGGTCGAGTGGTGAACGCACTCGGAAATCCCATCGATGGAAAAGGGGCCATCAAAACCACCGAGAAGCGCCGGGCTCAGCTCAAGGCCCCTGGTATTCTACCTCGCCATTCCGTCAACCAGCCCGTCCAGACTGGCCTAAAAGCAATTGACGCCATGGTACCCATTGGCCGCGGTCAGCGTGAGCTGATAATCGGGGATCGTCAAACTGGGAAGACGGCCATCGCTCTGGACACTATACTAAACCAGAGAAGATGGAATGGCTCCGACGCCGAGACTGACAAGCTGTACTGTATTTACGTTGCTATCGGCCAGAAGCGCTCAACGGTGGTCCAGCTTGTCAAGACCCTGGAGGAGAATGATGCCATGAAATATTCGATCGTTGTCGCAGCTACAGCTTCAGAAGCTGCTCCTCTTCAATACCTTGCGCCCTTCGCTGGCTGTGCTATTGGGGAGTGGTTCCGAGACAACGGCAGGCATGCCATTATCATCTATGATGATTTGTCAAAGCATGCTGTTGCCTACCGTCAGATGTCGCTGTTGCTCCGTCGGCCTCCTGGACGCGAGGCTTTCCCTGGAGATATCTTCTACCTCCATTCTCGTCTCTTGGAGCGCGCCGCAAAATTGAATAATAAGCAAGGTGGCGGTTCTCTCACTGCTCTTCCTATCGTTGAGACGCAGGGTGGTGACGTTTCTGCATACATCCCCACCAACGTGATCTCCATCACTGATGGTCAGATATTTTTGGAATCTGAACTCTTCTACAAGGGCATCCGTCCTGCGGTCAATGTTGGATTATCTGTGTCTCGTGTTGGCTCTGCTGCACAGCTTCAATCTATGAAACAGGTCGCCGGTTCCCTCAAGCTCTTCTTGGCCCAATATCGTGAAGTTGCTGCCTTTTCTCAACTAGGTTCAGATTTGGATGCCGCCACCAAGCAAACGCTTAGACGTGGTGAGCGTCTAACAGAGCTTTTGAAACAGAAGCAGTACGCTCCAATGGCTGTCAATGAGATGGTACCCTTGATCTACGCTGGTATTAATGGCCTTCTTGACTATATATCTGTTAACAGGATTATGCGCTGGGAAGCTGAGCTCCTTGCCCACTTGAAAAACAATAAGCCAGAGATACTCTCCAGGATTCAAGATGAAGGCAAACTAAGCAATGGCCTGGAAGCTCAGGTCAAGAAAGTCATCATCGACTTCAACAAAACTTTCACGCAGGCAGTTGTTTCCGGTGCGTAAATCTGCGTCGCGTTGTTTTTCATTCGAGCTTTGGTTCCACGCACGTTTCCATCTACGATATTTACACGTGAAACGGCGTAGCATCGGGTTAACTAATTCCTGCTCTTCGGCCTCAAATTGTCACCAAACTTTCGTAGGAATGAGCCTTGGGTATGAAGTCCTCTGAGATATTCTGAGATATATATCAAATAACATTCGACGCCTCATTACTTAGTTTAGAAAATCTGTTATGTACTTCCGTCCACTAAATCTCGTTCTGGAGCTGATTGTTAAGGGATATTCTTCCGTGAGACCTTTGAATTTCGGAAACACTTAATCTCTTTATACCCGAGGGCTGTCCTTGTACTACTGTCACCTATTAATTAAAAACGGTATCTTTTGATCCATTGTTCTGCCGTTGATTTCGGACAGTCCATGACGTCACATCTACTACGCCACTGTCATCTGCGTACGTTTGTAAGCTCCACATTGATACTTCGCTGCTTTTCCTCTGTATCCTTGGATCTTATTCGTCAACTGCCAGTGAATAAGAGTCAATTTATAATATACGAAGGCTCTGCTTTTTAGTTTCCTACAGGTAGGTGGGTGGTGAAACGCAGCTCCCCTCATAGTGTGTGACATCCTAAATGATTATGCTCACGTTGGGGTTCTCACATATTATGACCCGGTATTCTCCCTGAGATTGGCAAATATACAGGAGTGAGGTGAGCCTTTGTACGGTAATATTGCTATGTGCGCCACACGATGTTACATCATTACGAAGACACCCCAGAGCTGGTGTCCAATGAGTACGGTCTGCATTATAGTTCACCTACCAACAATGTTTCTAGTTGCAGGTGAGCCTTGGTAGAATAAAGTGAAATAAATTATCTGGAATGTCAAATGAAGTTGTCGTCCAGTGGTGGATATATAATTGCTTTATGAGTCAGAAATGCGCACCCTGACAATATCTTTGTCTAGCGGTATATTTTCTTGTTATTATTGACACCCGACTGCTTGACCACCATTCCGGAGTACGAGGTAACTGCATTGTGGTGGACCTTACACTTCGTTTTCTCTATAGCGCAATACTCTATCTGAGCTTTTGCTTATCGTATTATGGTGACCCCGAAGCTTCCATTTCTCCATCCAAATTTCATACGCGTCGCGCAGTCATATAAACGATCTTCCGGCCGCACCATTCGATTTCCTTTCAGCGGTGGCTCTAGCCTTCACGCCGGTTTCTATACTAGTCTACAATACAATCAACAAGTGCATCCACAGTACAACTGCTCATATGCCAAGCCAAGCCTCCATCCATGCAGGCGATCGAAGGACGGTTCATCCAGCCAGCTCGATGAAGTCACATTGTCCGGAGAAGGCGATACAAGTAGCAGTGAGAGGAACAACATTTTGCCAGACCAGCAGCTTCAAGATGCCAAAAGGGTGACTACAATTACATTCTTTTCAACATCATTCGATAAGCAAGCTTTTCTAGACTCGAAGCAAGGCAACTCGTTGGTAGATTCAGAGCAGCAAGAGGAGCATGTGATGGGCAATGATGGGGCCCAAGATGCCTCTACCTCTTCCGCTCGTCTTGCACGGACGGAAAGCAAAAAGCCACATATATCTCCCTACCCGAACCAGGGCGCGTTTGACGATGCAATCCACATGCCCACCCCCTCAGCCTATCTGACCCCCCCTGGACTAATAACACCACACAACAAACCCCCACGCCCGATACCAATTCGTAGCGAGTATCAACCCGATACTTATTTCTTAGTTCGTGATCTCACAAATGGCGGCTTTACAAATGAGCAATCGGTGACAATCACGAAAGCTATGCAACATATCCTACAAAAGAACATCGATATCGCAAAACAATGTCTGATTTCCAAATCCACTGTCGACAACGAGTCCTACCAATTCAAGGCAGCCTGCTCAGAATTCCGATCGTCCTTACAAACAGCGTATAATTTGGAAACGAAAAGACAACGTGCTTTGCGGATACAATTGGAGCAAGAATATGATACTCTCTCGCAGCGTCTCACCCAAGAAATTGTTGGCATGAAAGATAGTATCAAGGGTATGTTAAATGAATATAGCATTGCCACCCGAGAGGACCAACGGATTATCGAAATCTTGCTCCAGGAGCTCAATTACAAAATTAGTGTGTCACTAAACAGCGATGGGAAGACCGCAATCGACAGTATCAGATGGATGTTGACACGTCGCGCTGCCCTGACTATTGCATCTTGCGCTTGTGCGTCTTTAATGCGTCTCGAATAAGATCTGAAACCTCATGGCTGACGATATCCTTTTACCAAGTGATGATTGTCTTCTTCCTGAAGTACTCTTCTACCCGCGCGCAAGATTCAGAGCAAAACATCAAAAACGAATGACAGTCTGTTGCAAAGGCACCTCTCAAACAAAGTGAGACATCCTCTCTTTATTACCTTCTGATGGTTATCAATACTGATCATGGTATCTTCAAGTGTGCCCCGAGGAACCAGGACAGAAATAATGGTCTAACTCCGGGGCACCTTATTGACGCATACTGTATTGAGCTGAAACAAACTTAAGCCTTATCATATTACCCATTATCTTCGTACTCAAAATGGGGCTCTTAAACGCAGCTCCATAATACCAACCTCTAACCTCAGGAATATATGATGGAGTGTGGTTCATGGCCTACTGTACCCTCCATAAATGATACTAGAGTCCTCAACCACCCCAGAAGAACCACTGCATTAGCTGACTTTGTATTTTGCAGGTCACACTTGTATGAATTGTGGAGAAATAGTCCATTCAATTATTACTTCTCTGCGAATAAGACATGTTACCAGATCATTTGCTCGGTTGATCCCGAAGCGCAGTCACGTTTTATATAAATTCAGCACTTTGTTTTCCGTCGAT